AATCGTATCATTGGCAGATGCCTGTACTTTACTCGCTTGGACTTGACGACTGGGCTTAGCTAGCCAGATGGAGATTGGGGGGCAAGAAATTCAGTCTTGGTGAGCATGATAGGTGAATTGTGCAGGGGGTGTTCTTGGCTTCATTATATTCCCAGTAAACGGAGTTAAAGAGGTAGATATTTAGTCCGAAGTGAAGAGAAGATTCGGACTGGTGTCGACGGGAAAAAGGAGAAGTTCGAAATAGTCGTAGTAAATAATTCAGGTATTCGTATTGGAATGGACTCTCCACGTACCCATGTAAGTACTTCGGTAAGAAACACATTATTACTAGCGGTGCCGGAAACATTATTGATCATGTGATCGGTTGCCTTCACAAATCCAAAGCTTCACACCAATACGAGTGTCACATGATCAATAATGTTTCCGGCATCGCTAGTAGTCCAGGCTTGGACGAAGGGCTTGGCATTTAATTCAGTACTCAACCAACCAGCTGTACTAGAAGCTAGACAGAATTTGTCTAGACCTTAATTATTGTGCGGGTAAATCCTTTTTTGTCTATCAGTTGAGCGATGGCCGGTGGAGTGATTTAAGGGGTGGGGCAGATAAGTTATTCCCGTTGTCGGCGGTGTACCTTTGGTACTACGGGCTAGCTGTTACCTCCCGTCAGGATTCGTTTGCAACGGTGCACATCGGGCATGCCGTTGAAGGTGAAGCAAGAGCCGTTCGGGAATTCTGTTCTTCGGAATGGCGTGAAGGGTAAATATGCTGATAAAGTAAATCGGGATGTTGGAGCCTATCAGTTTAGGAGAGACTAACTAGATAATCAAACCTAGTGGTGTGAATTACCCGCCAACATCGCCAGTTAATCAAGGGCAAGCCTGGATCCAAGTTCCTATAGGCGTCAAGAGAACAATTGTTTTCCTCCTACACCCCCAAACACCTTGTGATGAATAATTGGGCGGCTGTGATAAACAGATTTCTTAGATCTCCCGTGGTTCCAGGCCGGCCCCAAGGCAAGTGGATTTACAATCTTGGGATGCATAAAATATAAAAGTCGACCGAGAATCCATGGGTAGACGTAACATGCAGGATAATGTCGACGGCGATAACTAAACTACTAGAAGTGATGATCAGCGACTGCTACCAAGAAGGTATCTGGGAGAGCACACAAACCTCAACTAGCAGGGCTCTTTGAGCAATTGCAACTAGTGCTGCATATTTGCCGAGCCCATCGGGATCCTGTATCCATCTAAAGACGGAATTAAGCAGAGCGTCAGTGACAGTCACGCTTAATGTATATTGTAGATGACGGGATTGAAGATAAGGGAGGAGTTGCTCTAACCGTGAAGATATATCAGCTAGTCCAACATATATATTCTACTTGTAAAGTGCTATTCTCTCTAGCATGAATGCAGTGTTTCAAGCAATAACTACATAAATGTATGTTGCCTTTTCGGTAGTCTCAACATCTGTCTGTAACGACAGGTGTTGAGAGAAGTCAATGAAAAGAATGTCAGCGTTGACAGAAACAAGAGTGGTATAACGTGCTCTACTCCCGGAAATCCTAGCCATATCGTGTCCTATTATTTTGTAGCGTGTCTTATGATATTACATTATCACCTTCACCTGCCAACGGGAGTCCCTGCATGTAAAAGGGAGGTTATGCACTATTCGAGTGATAATCCATGATTGCTATTATATCTTTGCTGGTTCATTCACCAGGACCAGCTTGATACATTTAGTGTGTTTTTTCCCAATCAAATTATGCTAGTATTAGCCTGTTAGATATAGGTGGTTTTGTGGATATCTTGAGAAAAGATATCGAATAGTATGATCGGAGTGTAGAACATTCAACTGGGTATATTGGATTTATATCCGTGAAGCACCAATACCAAAGCTCATGCTCACAGATACTAGAGCCCAATAGACACAAAGACAAAATAAAGCGGTTCACCGGAGACTACGATGAGGTGACAACGGATGAAATCTTTCGATGAGGTGGAGCCCCACATGCATAAGAAGAGGCGAATATACGAAATCCATTCACGCCCCAAATCTATCCGGGAACAAAAGGCGGCTAAGCCCAGAGCAATCCAGAATATGTATCGAAACCTGGGGCTAACCCGCCCCCCACAAAATCCTGGCCCGAACAGGTTCATGTATGCTGGTCTACTAAACCTCCTGCCACGGGTTAGAATCGGGAGCTTTTGCTTTCCAGCGAGAAAAATGTGGATGATGAAAGCACCTGGCCATTGATTACATGAGAGGTCTCCTCAGCTTTACTACTGGTGTTAGAAAATATAAACGAACGAGAGAGCCAAATCCTGTGATACCACTTTCTCTTGTCCCTTGCGTGCTAGGGCCCCAAAGTACATTCCGGCCCAGAGCCTACTGTATGTCTAGTGAGCATTTCAACCCGCGGAAAAAAAACATATCATCGCCTCAAATTATACCGGGCGTAAGCTCGCGCATTGTTCCAGCTCCGGCCTCCCTAGAAAATCTAGAAACATAGCCGATGCTACTGGAATGGTTAGCAGCCCCCCCCCCCCCCCCCCTCAAGCTACCGAATCCTAATCCCCCGGGTTTTTAACTCAAGTATTCCATTTGTGCTCTGATATTCTGCGGCGATGACGAGAGGGGATTCCTCGGCAGGCAGAGACCAAAGGATGACTCGTCGAGGGAACATTCAGACCCCGTTGAGGGGGACTAAACCGTAATTTACATACGGGTAACGGAGTGCGGGGAGTACAGGAATGCCGAGGAGCTAACAGCAACCCCTAAGCTCCATCTTCGTGAGGGGCAAAAGGTTTCAACTATTTTTGGTGGCAATTCGGATTGCCTACAGGTTCGGGATCTAGGGAACACAGAGAATGAAGTCTTCAGGCCTGTTGTTTTTTGGGGTCCCGCTCTTAGTAGTTCAGAAGAATTCCTTCTCTGCGTTTTCGAGACCCCAAACCTGCAGGCAATCCGAATTCGCCAGCTAATAAAATAGTAGAAGTCTAGTTAAGGATGCTCACCGGAACTTCGGTAGAGGCCAGATAATGTTCGGTGAGAGTAAAAACCGGCGTGTCATTTCCTACTCTGTAGATGTATCCCCACATGTCTAAAATTCCGGTCGGCATCATTAGCATAATGCGAGGCTATGGACATGCGATGAATATTATTTAAATATTATTTAATTCCACATCTCAGGTCGTAGATTACTATGGCCTTGGCAATGAATATTGCCAATAGATATTGCCAAGAAACCTTCCCTTGGGAAAACCAACAGGGTGCACTTCGCAGACAAGCCCTATCATCCGGACTTTATTAATAAGTAAGGCTGATCCTGCAGGGGAGACAACATTAAGCGAGACCCCCCAAGACTGCCAGGATATAAGCGAGTGATGTCGAGTGATCTGAAATAACAAATGTCTGATGAAATATGGACTGTATGTATTCTCTTGATATTTATGTCGCGCCGTCCTCTACCATGCATACCAATCCCACGTGCGTCCATACTTTGTCGCAAGATATGGTTAAGCAAAAAGGCGAATTCCCGCCTTTGAGCAGAAGGACCCATGGAGAAAAATTCATACTAATCCTCAATAGGCTCGTGCTTGTCTCGCGCCACACGGAAAACAATTTCGATGTCCCCCCACGGGGATCCGGTTTCATTAATTTAAGCCTGTGATCTCGAGACAAAAAACTATGAGCCGGATCGTCTCATGATGAATAATAATAGCCCCTCACCCACATGTGTTGTAGGTGACACGATATGAAAAAAATGCACTTAAATTGAAATGTGCGTTTCTAAGCCTCCACATTTTCAATCTTAGACCAATATGCAATTGAGATAATTTAGAGTAGGGGCAGTGCCAAAAGTCTTGTGGGCTACTCAATCCTCAATTGCAGCATTGAAATAGTTCTGAGAATGTTAGACAGAAGGACACTGTTGACTCTCGGAAACATACTCCAGTTCAATACTATAATCCAAAAGAAGCCGAAATCTGGTGTTTGGTTATATGATTCGACGCATCGGATGTGCGGATAGCTAGAGTTATCAATCAAGTGTATAGAAGTGGCCCTGACACAATTGAATATCCCCATCTCCTCTATTGTCTGTTAGTGACACGAGCACTTAAATTTCTGATAGAGTTTCAATATTTATCCGCCAGAATTTAGGGTTTCCACCACTGAAACAGCCGGGGAGCATGGTCGGAAATGATACAGGGCTTTGGGGCTGTGTTACATTCCATTTAACCTTCTCCAAATTGAAGGACAAGCTTTTTCTAGCTGGTATTGACGTCACAACACTTGGTTACTCACGTGTCGCAAGGTCTAATCCACGCGAAAGGTAGACCCTAGAATCGTTGTCAAAATTAGAACCCTAGATAACCATCTCATCTGCAGGCGGATGGAAAAAGTAAATGGGTGATAAACACGTACCGTACCAGAGTCAGCAACGAAGTTTTGTGTAAAGTAGGAAGTTTATCGCGCCAAGTTTTACGCCACCGGCCAGTGGAGTGGAGTCGAGTGATAATCGATGGTTACACATATGGTTAGTAATCTACCCCTCACCTCTCGAAAGCACAGCCCCAAATGTTGAAACCACAGAACATGCAGCCGCCACATACATAAAACCGGGACAAGACTATTATCATGGGCTAGCAAAAAAAAATAAAAAATAAAAAAATTCCTTAGGCACTGCCCCCCAAGGTTTCCGATTTAAACACTTGCTGTACTAATACCTAATTCCTAGGTGGAAGTCCTAATAAAGGAGGCGAGAAACCTATGAATAGCGATAATACTATGCATACTTCGGAAGTCGGGTCGTGCAGTAATAAAGTCGAATCTTGACCCTGAAACAGGGTTATCGTTGCAAGGTGATAAACTCTTCAGGGGGTAAGATCTGGATGCGGGTATTGTAACCTACATATATACCAGTAGAGAACACCGAGCTGGATGTTCGCAAAACTAGCAAGAATACCCCTAGAAGAACGAACAGTTAACGAAACAAAATGGAAAGAATACATGTCGTGGACCTCTCATCCTCCAGCCTTACCGGCGGTGCTCCAGTACTCACAAACTATACGGCCTTTCCACTCGAGGATAATCCGTATCCAGATAACCCTAGCATCAGGGTCGAAAGGTAAAACCCTGACTCACCTCCCCTTTATGTCTATACATCCGTCCGGAGCAGGAGGCTACTTGACACAGTTTATGGTCAGTACTAACAACTTCCAGTCCTCCTCTCGAAGTCTATGTCGGACCTTCCCGCGTCCACTTCACAGTCCCCCGAAACCCGCTCATCAAACATAGCGCCTACTGGCGTCACCACCTCACTCCACAAATTCTCTCTCAGCCCGCAATAACACTAACTCTCCCACACGACCATCCGGGTACTTTTGATCTCGTCCTTCAGTTTCTTCAACGCAGCACCTACAGTGTTCCTCCAGAGTCACAGTCACAGTCGCCGGCTATATTTGTACACACGGCCGTATATCTCTTCGCGCACAAGTATCATATGCCACTGCTGTCAACACACGCCTTGCAGCAGATTTACAAACTGCTAGTGTCATATCATAACGCACGGTATAGCGCGTTTGCAGAGAGGCTGGAGCTACCAGAGAGAGTAGAGCTGGTGAGAATGGTGTATGCTGGTACAGAGGGTTTTCCGAAGGATCCGTTGCGGGCGCTTGTCTTGAAAGACTTCGCAAGAAGGTGGGAGGAGTGGAAGGTTTGCGGGGGTGTTGAGGGAGTATGGGGAATTGGCGGGTTCGTGAGAGATTTGATGGGCTGTTTAGGGAATGGAAGGGATGAGTTGGAGGTGCCGGGGGGTGTGAGAATGAGTGCGAGGGGAGGACCAGGTGACGGAACTGTGTAGGTGGAGCAGCGTGTGTTATCTGTTGTTCTGTAGGCGTCTTATGGTTTGGTTATGATTGGGTATCTTTCTTTTTTCTGTGGGCGTTCTAATTAGCAATTTTGTATATTCGTTTTTAAGCTTAACCTATATTTCATAGTCCTACATATAGATATAGATGCATAGATGAAGATGAGAGGCGAGGCGTGGTCTATCAATTTTATGCCATAAATATCCCCAGTCCAGCAATGTGCTGTAGCAATATATTGACCAGTTTTCGCGTATTGTAGGTGAGTACCCCCCCCCCCCACGCATTCGCTAAGACCAAAGTGTTTAGGCAACATAACTGAAGAAAGAAGTTTGAACCAATAATCCGTGAAACCTATCAGATTATATCTCAGTTAGCCTCTCTTTCGGGGAAAAGACATTAGGCTAGATCAAATACTTTACATTTACCGGCATGGCAGGTGGAAGTTTCTACTGTGTGGGGAATCAGAATTCGATATTGAGGAGCCAAAGGGAGCCTAACCAGACGTTTGTCTAGAGACCACCATTGGAATCCTTGGTCTCATGAACCTGCAGACTTGTTGCTTTGCTGTTTCATGCTAACTCTATCTACCTCATGCTAGCTCGATGAATAGAGGGATAGAGTCGATGCGATCTTGATGAACGAAAATGGCAGTAACAAAGAACCGACGAAGTGGTGATGTGGGAAACAAAGGAAGTGTGGTTGACAGATTGCCTTTGTTGCGGCTTGGTAACTTAGGAACACAGCCGAGTGACCACCTATGTCCCGAGGTCAGATCTGCAGCCCCCGTGCACAGCCGGCGAAGACCTACATACGTTATCCAGAGATACATGTAAGCATCCCGAGGATCTGTGTCACGACTGGAAGTCTCCGTACCTCATCTTCCCCGCATCGTTTTTACCCCACTTCCCCACTTCCCAGCCCATTTACTATAAACCCTCGCCTTCACCGCCGATCCCCGGCCCCCTCCGTTAGTACTTCCAACTCGATAAATCCTACTGATGGACGCTGTCCTTTACAGAGTTCATGTCCTCACCCGCCTCCCATGGTGTTGCCCGATGGAAAAAGTACAGTCTTTATACCAGCAACTCCTGCGAGCCGCTGGCTGCAGATGATGCGATTGCTGCAATCACATCGGGAAGATGTCCAGATTGAAGTGCTTCTACGAATGACTCATAGAGTGCATCTACGCCTAACGCCTTCTACAATCAATAACGGGCTGAAAACCGTATCTGCGGTATTAAACACGGGTCGGGCTGAAATGCACTGTCATTTACTCTACCGCAATGTTTGGCGGTAAACGCCGTATCAAAAGAAGCGTTTAAAAAATAAAATAAATCCGATCTGCGGATGGATCCTATAAGTAACCAGCCTAATCGCACTTTCTTTTTTTTTACTATTCTATGTGACTCACGAGTATTTTGCTATCCCAGGGAACACTGTATTGTACAGAATCAATTGAGTACTCCTTTTGCTCTCATACATCCACTGTCACTCCACACAACAACACGACGGAAGAGGAAACCATAAAAAGACACCACGATGTCCTCTAGAGCTCGTACCCCAATGGGGGGGGGGGGGAACGAGCCTTTTTTTTTTAGAAAGAAAAAGATAAAACCGAATAAAGAATTATGATCACCCAACGTACTCTATCACCACCCGGAACAACCCTTTCCCGTCCGAATGGCCTGTCTGCGCGAATATGAACTTTATTCTGGGTCCGGATGGGTTAAGCTGAAGAACAGGATAATAGAATGGTTTTCCCTCTAGCATGGGATTACTTTTGGATCCTTTTGCAATATCAGTTTGAGTTGAGACAATATTTAATAAGTCGTGAAAATTTTGACGACGACGACATTAGGCAACAGTCCTAGTTTGGACGAATTGGTGGCAAGGTACATCAGGCCAGGCTGCATAAACGATAGGGCACAAAAACAATAAACAGAGAGAGACACTCGCTAAGAAAAATGACAGTTACCTGGGATTTTTCATCCAATGCAGGCTAACATGCACGCTCTTGTAAGGCAACAATACTCACCACCAGCGGAACATCAAAAAAAGGGCAAAAAGCACAGCAGCTTCAACTGAATGAAGCCCCACGCGGGGGTCGAACCCGCAACCTTGAGATTCCGCTTAAGAGTCTCACGCTCTACCGATTGAGCTAGCGAGGCATGGTGACCGGCGGCCGTTGAGCATATTTCAGGATGTGCGGGTTGTGTAGAGAAAATTTGTTGCCCAGGATGTTGTGACAGGGATTGGTTGTCGTTGATTACAAACGAACGCGCCAAACATCCCTGGCTTGTGGAGGACGCGATATTCATGTGGAGCATTGCCTAAGAGCATTGCACTGTAGAGGCATTGTAGAGCAGGTATCCGACGATATTTTGCAGCGGTGTTCCAAGATTCAATGTGTGCACTCTACGAGTCTATCTGCACACATAAACCAAGTCGTTTACCCAAACAGCACATCCAGACCCCTTTCGCCCCATCCCTGAGTCCCTGGCCGTGCGCACGCTCGCAGCGCACAGTCAGTCAAACCAATTAACCCCGGATTGCCTGCCCCAGACTCCAGAGCCTGAGCCCTCAGACAGCCTCGCACGAGCACACACCGTTTTTTCTTTCCTCACTCACTTCATCATGATCACACCATATTTCTCGCCGCTGCCCCCCCACCCCCGGATTACTACACAGACATGGACGATCACTCGAGGCTTGCGGGGGCGGCTCGGAGACGTCGGCGCGGATTAACGTTATCGTTGTTTCTTTAGGGCCGGCCGGGGACGGAGGGTTGGGGGGAAGGGGAGGGATGGGGCGGGGGGAGGGTTTGTTATCAAGGATCGGCGGTGCCAAGAATAGAGGGTCCTTAGCCTGTAGATAAAGAGAGAGTGCCCTGGTATGTAGTGGACAGACTAGACAAGGGGGACCCTTTGTATTTATCTTTTCTGCTGCTTGCGCACCGTAGAGTATGTATATTGGGCGTCGTGTGGGTACATGTAGGTACCTCGAGAATTAACGTATAACAGGAAGGAGAGACAGAACTATCGAATTGGGATTGCAAGCTGTCCTGAAGGCGTGAAAGTGGGGTGCATGACAGGCGACCGTTGTATGTGCACTACTCTACGTTACCTGCACTACATACAAGTTTACCTGCAATCCGTATTCGCAGTATGTACTCTACATACAATCTCGCCCCCGGCAGAAAGACAGATGCTCCCCATATTAACGTGAGCGATCGACAGAGCCTTTTTATAACCACCACGTTTCCCTCTCCTCTACCTACCCACTCCTCTAGAGTTTACTAACTAGAAATGAGTCGTCGTCAACAAAGTGAGCAGGTGGAGTGGTGGAGTGGAAGGAAGGAACGGATAGCCGCATGGCGTTATTCAGCCGGCAGATCATGGCCGGCCTGCCTCTCCGCGCGCGAGTGTGACGGTTGGGCATTCGTCTGACTGAATACATCGATAACACGTTTCCTTTCCTAAATTTGTGTGTGTAATTGAATGGGAAATCAGTAATTCAGTGGATTTGCAGCACGCAGCGAATTTAAGGCACGGCTTGCAAAAATGCCATCATGTCGCGTAACAGTGGCTGCAGCTTGAGTAACCTGAGCTTCATGTGCAAGTGCATTTAGACGTTGGATCGTGGCAGTCGAGGTGAAGAGGACGGACACGGGCCAGCCAGATAAACATTGAGCTGTTTGTGGAAACGTTGATAAGACGGATGCTGTCATGATAACCAGCCGGTCTGCTAGCTATGTACATGTAGACTCTCGTCTCGGGCTCTTTCAATGGCTTCATGTCTGATCATCCAATATCAAAAGTGGCAGCAGAGCTAGCAATAACAACCCCCCCCCCCTCCATGCACTTCACTCAGAGATATGCACATGCACGATAACCATGCACCTCCAACCCCCGGAAACCAAAAGCAAAGCTGCACTGCACTACCCGCGAGTGCTCTTCCATGACGCGGAACCCCACCTCTCGCACTCACCGCGCAACCTCTCACCTCACATCCTCTCACCACCACCACCACCACACATTCCTCATCTCCCCCCCCCCCTCCCCCAATTCCTCCTCCCTCAATTCCTCACGAAGAAACTCTTGACTGAGTTTTCTGCCCCGAGCTGCGCTGCCCTTTTTGAAATCCTGACGCTCAAACTACATACTTACTTACTGCTCTCGGACCTTGATCCAGAATACGGTGGGTCGGTTGGAACGAGCACGTGCGCGACGCCTCGTTAATCTCCGCTCTGCTTTGCTTTGCTCTGCTCTTGCTCTTGCTTTTGCTTTTGCTTTGCTCGAGGGAGACTGTGTTGGGACACCAGACAGACTCCTTAATTGCTTTTGGACCGCTTTGGATCACTGTTTTGTTGTTGTGTGTGCACAATTGGGGGTCTTGGTCTTGGGTCTTGGGCGGGGGGTGGTGGGAATTGTTTTACTCCTTTCTATTATTTTTCTAGGAATATTCTACGGATCGAGGAATTGGGCCCTTTTTTCTCCTTCCCTTCCTTCCTTCCTTTCTTCTTCTCTTACTTGCACCGCGCCGCGAAGCAAACGGAAAAAGAGTCGGGATTTTTTTGTTGTTTGGGGGATTTTTGTGCTTCTGTCTGTCCTTCCTTTGGGTGTGAATTTGTCGGTCGTTATCGTTTCGGTTTTTTTTTGGGAGTTTTTGTCTGTTTGCTGCGCGGTGGTGATAATTATTATCAGTGGTTTATCAGCTGGTTTAGTGGTTTTTGCAGGCACGTCTATCGTTAATATCAGCGCCCTACCTACCTACCGACTATCTATACAGCTGCCACTATCTACACTCCCAAGCTCTCTATAGCCCACAATGTTCAAATCCCACCCCTGGGTTCTCAAAGTCCTCACCTACGCCCTCATCCCGCTCAATCTCTCCCTCTTCACGCTCATCATCCTCCTCACGCACGCCTACATCCACCCCACCACCTCCGCCCCTCCTACTACCTCCGCTCCCACGGCGCCCGCACCTTCACCATCCTCACCATCAGCACCATCACCGCCAGCGCGCTCACAGGCCTCCTCAACGCCCTCCTCCTCCACCACACGCTCACCTCCCACCCCCGCCGCTACGACTCCTTCAAGCGCACCCTCACCGTCCACCTCCCCGCTTCCGCCTCCGCACACACTACCTCGTCGCCGCCCTCCTCCTCGCCGTCGCCGCATCATACCTCCTCATCGCAGCACTCGCCTTCCGCGCGCCCTTCCAGGAAATGGCATGGGCAGGGGCATGCAGCGGATACGCGCTCATGGCCGAGGTGGAGGTTCTACCGGGCTGGTACGACGGCGGCAACGGCAGCGTGTTCGGCGCGAGTAGTCGCGTGCGGTACTGGAAGGACGGGGAGGAGGTGGGGGTGATGGAGCTGGTGCGGCACTATCGCATGGAGCCCGGGTTTAACCTGTACCGCAGGGGCGCGCCGGAGCGGGAGCGGTTTGATAAGCTGGCTGGGTGGGGGCTGCTGGATATGAGGTTGGTGGTGGGCGAGGGGGCGGGCAGGTATTGGGGTGGGGGGAATGGGACGGGGAATGGGACGGTGGGCGGGGTGGTGGGGAATGGGACGGTGGCGGCGAGGGGGAGGGTGGGCGAGGTTAGGCTGGATTTGAAGTCGTCGACGTAGGTAACGTGCTTTTCTTTGGTTTTGGCTTTTTCTGGCTTTTGGCTTTGGTTGGCGGGTGGTTGGCGGTTGGTGTTCGCGGGGGTAATGATTGGGGCGCTGGTTTTTTTTTTGGTGGGGCGCTATTCCGTGGCGGGCGGTTAGTGCGGGGGCTAGTACGGATTGGGGGGGGGGGGGGGATCAGTTGGAATCTGATAAGATAGCGGGCTTATCGGTGCAATTGATCTTCCGGATGGGTGCAGGTGCTACCAGCGATGTCAAAGAAGCTGAAATAGTAGCAGAGTAGGGTCTTTGACGGAGGTGGAGGTAGCGCTAGCCGTGTTTCCAGGGATTTGATTGGTGCACATGGAAATGATCAAATCGCTGGAAACAGAGCCACCAGCTCAATCCGCCGTGCAGCGCGCCCAGCGAGATTTATCAATCCCCGCAATTAGCTACAAATCTCATCCCTCCCCATAGCCCAAAAAAAAACCAAAAAAAAACCAAAAAAAAAACCCTCACCAGCTCACAAGAAACCCTACTAACACCTTCCCCCCGCGCACAGCTACGACGCAACCTACACAAACACCAGCCACCCGCACCTGCGCGGCAGCTACGACATCCTGCCCAAGAACCTCACCTTCCCGGGGCTGCATCTGCTGCACGCCCAGGAGGGGAAGGAATGGCGCTTCACGGACCACGTGTGTCTGCCGCCGCGCATCTCGCTCGGCGATCCCGACCGCCAGACGAAGGAGGATGTCCATGGCGAGTTGAGCGACGACTGTACTAAGTACCGGTGAGCCTTTCTTTGTCCCTGGTGGTAGCCGTTGTGGTGGGAATGGGGTAGGTAGTGGTTGTGGTTGTGGTTGTGGGTTGCTGACAGATGACAGGCTGTGTGCGCTGAAACGCGCATATCCAAACACCGAGAAGCGAGCGGACGGGAGCAAGGAGCTAGCGGGAGGCGAGGGCGAGGGGTGGAGGGAGTGGTGGGCGTGGGTGGAGGATGTGTGGCCGATTGTGACTGGGGTTGTGGCCTGGGAGGTCGAGAAGTATTCGGCGTGTTGTGTACGGAATGAGTAATAAAGGTGGTGGTAGTAATAATAATAATGTTTTTTTTTATTGTTTGGGGTTTAGCGGATACCCTGACTGGTTGGAGTGGGATAAATGGTTTGTTTCCTGCGCTTTTTATTTGTGGGTGGGTGGGCTTCCCTTTGTTTGGTGGTGGTGAGGGGGGAGGAGGGGAAACAAAGACTTATGTGCTTAGGTTTCTCTTTGACCGTGGGGGCCGGACAATACAATGCCATTTTATTTCCCACTCGAGAGACAGCGCGGGTGCGAGTGTGTGTGTGTGTGGTTCTGAGTTGGGTTAGGAGTTACGTTAGGAGCCGGGGGGAGGATAATAACATTAATGGGGAAAACCATTAACAATGAAGCTCATAGTAGCCATTTTTCCCCGTCTTTTCCACGGTCCTCTTCGATCCTCGAGGTCATACACAGGCCCCGCTTCCCCCCCTTTGTCCGCGGTTTTAATTTTGGTTTTTGGTTTCCTTGTAAGAAAAGAGATCAAGTACAACAGCAGTCGCACTGACCCCACTGGATTGACTGACTTACTAGTCTTTTTGTCCCTTCCCGACTCTCGACTCCGCCTGAATTCATCTCGATACTCGGATCCCGGTGGGTTTCTGGAGATTCGATTCCATACGACGACCAGACTGCCAACATCAACAAAAGACTAAGACCCGAGGGATCAATATCAAAAAACCGCACCCTACGGCCTTGAAAATAAAAAGGTAACAAAAAAAAACCCTCCATGATCCCAGTGTCGGACCACCGACACAGCCACCACTAGCTAGCCCGGGATGCACGCCAGCACAATAGCTATCTGGTTATTCGCCTCGGCCTTCACAACGCCCTACAACTGGTATCAAAGCGGCGATTTCGTCGACCAGCTCTTCCGCATCTCAAACGCCATCTACTTCGCCCCCTTCCTGTTAGTGCACGCCTTCCCCACGCTCAGCGGCTTCTACCTCTTCCAGAATCTTTTATTCCGGGCGACGGGCCGCGGCAGGGGCCCCCGGGCAACCAACTACCTGATCGCACTCTACAGCCTGCAGGGCTTCTGGGTCATTGGGGGTCTGCAGCGACGCGGGTGGTCGGGGGACTCGCTGCCCATGCTGAGGTGGATGGGTAATAACGCGGTCCCATGCATCGCCGCGCTATATCTGACTTTGCTGTGGATGAGCCCGCTCGTGCAGGAGTACCGGCGGACCAACGTGGTGATCCTGGAGATACAGTACGCAACACAGGATGCGCTGCCGTTCCTGGGTGGGCTCTCGGTCCTACTCGTGGTGTCGACCGTGATACTGTATATTGGTATGTCGCCGACGTATTATCGGAAGTACCAGCTTGTGGCGTTGAGGTTTGTGCGGTGGGGCTTCGTGACGTCGATGAGCAAGACTGGGATGCTGAATTTTCTGTGGTTTGCAAGATGGGGGTGGAGGTTTTATGGGCAGAATGGGCTGTGGGCGGTGGGGGTGGCTGCCTTGCTGACTGCGTTTATTGCAATCATGGCCTGGGGCGGTGGAAATTACGGGTCGTTCGTGAATGGATTGATCTCTAAAAGCGGGACGGTCTGGGATTTCTATCTGCTGGTTTCGCCGTTGATTTTTGCTCTCTTCTCGATGGAGGCCTACGGCGCCTTGTATTGGGTCGAGGTTTTGTGAGCTCTCCCTTCTCTTTCCCCCTCCCTTCGATCAAATATTACTCTCTCCCTGCGATCATTGACTTTGGGCACAACGCTCCCCTCAGTCGAGTGATGGTTGGTGATGCCGAATATGAAACTGATATCGGCCGTTCAGGTGGGAGAGATTTACGGGCGAGGTGGTATATGGACCAGAATTGCCCCCACCCCTGACCCCAGCGGAGGCTGCTGAAAACGCCCGACTTGCCGCATCACTCGCACGGCAGATGAATTCCGACAACCTGGCCGTCAACGCCCGTGCCCAGGCCCAAGCAAGCGTACAGCTCGCAAACATCATCGAGACGAACGAGCAGAGGAGAGTCCTTATAAGTGGCCTCAGAGCTCGGCTAGCCGCAGGCATCAAGGGGCTGCGGGTTGAGCTCCCGGTGAATCCACTCGACCAGGTACTGCGGGGTGCGGCGGTAGCGGCGACGGCAACGGACGACGACGAGGAGGCAGCGGCAGCAGCGAGAAGAACTATCATGAGATTGATAGTCCAGGGATACATGACACGCCAACCGGTACCACTAGAGCTCGAGATACGCATGGCAGACGCAGCCGGTGACGGTGTTCCTCTTGCGACATACCCTCCCGCCGCCGCATTGGCGCCTGCCCCCCCCGCCGGCGCCCCGGTCTGGCCTGTTGCGGATGGGGCAGATGGGGCAGATGGAGATGGGGCCAGTGATGCCGCCAGCGAGGACGTTGGCGGTGCCTCTCCAGTATCAGTGATCGGCTACGCGCTCCCGGCGGCTCCACTCGGGCCTCCGCCCGCAGTGCGAGTCCGCCGCCGTGTAGACGTAAGAGCCGCGCGCAGGGACGACTATGAGTGGGGTGAACCAATCTACGGGTTTCCGATGGAGCCCTTGCACGCTGCGAATATCAACATGGAGGGTGGGACGCATGCGGCAGCTGCCACATTCGATCTGGTGCCGGCTTATGATCCTGACGCGGACTTTGATCCCGGGGCCGATATCGACGATCCGGTGGACGACGACCCCGCGGAGGCGCAGGCCGATCCGGAGGCGCCCAGTATGTCAGAGCAGGATAGTGAGGTTATGTCGCCCGTATTCTCGCTGCAGAATGATGCTTATGAGGAGGAGTTTCTGTTCTGGACGGCCCCCCCACCCCCGCCGGCGGGCGCGGCGCCCGATCCATATGCGGGGAGGGTCAGAGGTCCGATAGTACCGCCGGTGGGAGCGGCAAGGATGAGAAATGGAGCGCCATGGGCGCATGATGGGAGTGTTCCGCATCCTACTGCTGATGCTGACGGTATGTTGCGTTGTTATCATTACCCCCCCTAGATTACCCCCTAGATATCATTACCCTAGCCCAGATATCATTCCCCCTCCAGATGCTATCCCTCATGCCCCTCAGGTACCCAAGCACACCTTCGAGTATACCTGCAGCTTCACACACATCGCTCACACATTATATAATAATACCCGTTCTTGAGTGCACACATACTGACCTGGTCCAACCCCCTACTCCTCAGGTTACCACTACCAAACCGACGACTCTGTCGCCACAGACGGCCTCTACCGCCCCCGCACCCCCGACACAATTCCAAACGAAGCCAACCTGATCGCCCTCCAAGCAGCCTGGACTACCGGCCACGCAGCCCGAGTCGCCCAAGAACGCATAAACTTCGACATCCTCGCATCGCGCGCAGACAATGAGGAAGAGCTCAACATCGATATCGACACCTACAACAACTGCTACGCCGTGACGCGCTGTGTGCGCAGTAACAACGAGATACATACACGCGGCATGGCGCAAGAGCTGCGCGAGAATATGGACAGCCAGTATGCGTACGATAATATCGAAGACAACTATGCCTTTCCACAGCGGCGTGGGGTGCCTCCGCGGCCGGCGTTCGCCGCACTGCCGCTTCAGGACCCGCAAAATATGATATGCTACGATAGGAATACTGCTGTCCAGGAGCGGGCCGGTTTCTCAAGTGAGCGGAGACTATATGAATTATGGGAAAATAATGAACAGCTATATGCTGCATATAGTAGGGGGAGAAACGAACATATCGCTGCTAGAACAGCTGAGAGGACATTAAGAACCGGGTACAGAAATGAGTTGAGGGCACAAAGAACTGCGAGAGCTCCGCCACCGAAGGATGGCCCCAAGGATGGACCAAAAGATGGACCTAAGGATGGGCCGAAGGATGGTCCAAAAGATGGTCCAAAGGATGGCCCGAAGGATGGCCCCAAAGATGGACCAAAGGATGGCCCGAAGGATGGACCAAAAGACGGCCCTAAGGATGGACTAAAGGATGGCCCCAAGGATGGACTAAAAGATGGTCCAAAAGATGGTCCAAAAGATGGTCCAAAAGACGGCCCCAAGGATGGTCCAAAAGATGGTCCAAAAGATGGTCCAAAAGACGGCCCCAAGGATGGTCCAAAGGATGGTCCAAAAGATGGTCCAAAAGACGGCCCCAAAGATGGACCAAAGGATGGCACGAAGGATGGACCAAAGGATGGGCCAAAAGATGGACCAAAAGACGGCCCCAAGGATGGACTAAAGGATGGCCCCAAGGATGGTCCAAGGATGGTCCTGCAGATGATTCCAAAGACGGACCTCCGCCACCACCTCCACCGCCTCCACCACCTCCGATGGCACTAGGCACACCAGGATACATGCCTCCACTACTTCCGGCCCGTATACCTTATGATGTTGATTTTGTACAGACGCAGGACTCAGCGGATCTATCAGCTGAGCGACTAGCCAAAAGTATAGACTCCCGCCCCCCCATCAGTCCCCGTGCCGCAGCACTCGGCGCCGATGGCTGGTGGGACGACAGCCCCGATGACCAATCCCTAGGGGAAGACTTTACCCTCCTCAACTCGCACATCCGGGATCCCACCGACAGAAATCGAAACAGGAGTTCACTATCTTCACGACGCGGCCACAGAACACTCCCGACGGTCAGAGACGAGCCCAGCTGGCTCAACTACGCATACCACCAGACGCCCGCGGTGGCGCCAGCGGGATACCAGCCGCCGCCGAGATGGACTCGCAGAGCGATACATGTTGAGGAGCCGGGAGTGGAAGGCTTGACGGAGCTAAGGATTCCAGGAGAGGACGGGGCGCTTGTGGACGACGGCTTTGGGAATTTTGGATATCCGAGATATAGGACTCCTCCTCCAAGGAGTCCTCTTCCGTATAGATCTCCTCTCCAGAACCCAGCACCTACGCAAACCCAGCGTCACCTAGCCACATGGTCTCAGGAGTCACCTCAGGATAAGTATCCTCTAGAAAACAATGGAAATGAAGGGGTTCCTGAAAGTAGTTATAGAGCAGTCCTAGCGTCATGGCTCCCATGGAAAGTTGCAGGTTTTGCTTGTGTAGATGAAGACTACAAGCCATTGGGCACAAATGACCTTACCGCCGACGAATCAGCAGCCATAGTGAAGGTCAAGGCTGAGAAAATAATATTCGCCCAAAAGCAAGAGTTGGAAAAATGGAACAGGCAAAGAGCATATGAGAGAATGCAGAATAGGCCCAAGAGTCATCGGGAGGAAACAGAATTCGCCTCTAGCCAGGAAGAGGAAGATGAATCGGTCTCTGGGGATTCTTCGGATGGTGTTAGTGAATGCATCACCGACTTCGGTGGCTTTCAGAGCCCTAGACGTCCTACGGGTCCCCAACGACCAAATGCACGATATGGATTCCGAAGACAAGCCAAAATCGAAGCGCCTATATACAGAGAGACAGAAAACTTACACATTGAAAACTTTGGGTCATCAAAACGAAAAGCCGACAGGCCTGCAACTAATCCCAATGATGGCTGGAGAGCATGGACCATTCCCGAGATAATGGGTGAATATTTCGACATGACAATTGCAGCAGTTGGACGTATGAAGCCTAAAAAAGCGGTGCCGATGACAGAAGATGAGAAAGAGCAGGCAAAAGTGGATTCTATTATTGAATCTTACATGAAAGCAGCAGAGGAGCATAGAAAGAATCCGGGCAAGCCAATCAAGGAACTAAACAAAGGCCCGACCACAGAACAATGGATCAGAAACGCTCTTTACAGTCCAAAACTTCCGTCAGGGGCTCGAGGAGACTCACTAGACTTTAAGCCACCTGCCAAAACGAGCTTAAACTATCCTGCAAAGTCCCATGCGATGTTCAGCGGTCACTCACCCTTAAATTACACCGCAGCAATGAAGAGAGAAAATCAACCGGGGCAACTAGGTTTCGATACTTGGACAGCAGAAATAAGCCGCCGTCAGAAAGAAACAGATACTCGTCGGCAGAGATGGTTGGTATATGCAATCTTCATGCTCCTGTTTACTACCATGATTCCACTGTGGCAACGTATAGCTCATGTTCGTGATGAGGGAATTCAAGAATGGTATTCGAGACTAGAGGAGGAGAGTGTTGAGTTGAAGCAACCAATTGCGCGATTCGTTCATAAATGGGAGGAGGATGTGCGTGAAACCTATGTGCAGTGGTATGATGGATCGGAAGAGAAAACGCTGGCGGACCCTTGATATTTCTCGGTAAGAGTAGGTGCTAATTGATGCGTCTCTAACGGTATTGACACTTTCACTGAAGACCTTTATGCGTATCTGGAGTTCTTTCGGTACAATTATAATACGGTGGCGTTCTTGAATTTTTGGATATCCTATATATCATTCCCTGGTTCGGTTGGTTTGTAAATTTTCTGAGTTTATTCTGAGTTTTGATTTGTTTTGGTAGTAGTTAAATAGTGGAGATTTATTTTCTAGAACATAAACAAGCAGCATTGGATTCCAATGATGATGACTCGACTTAGTGACTTAAGTTAGTAATGGGGGGTTATTCTGAAGGAGAGATCGACGAGTGATATACTATGATTGGTACAGTGACTAATTGCTGGTCCAGTAATTTTAGTCGGGCGGTTCGGCTTCAACAATTGGGTGATCTTTCCAGGCTTGTCCATATCGACGACGGCTTGAGACACGCATTTGTAAGATAATCTATGTCGAATGCCTAGCGATAGTGTTTGGGGTGTCGTTGGCCGGTAATCCTCGATTGATGCACCAATATCTTGCATCGAAATGCGAGTCAAAAAGATACAACCACCTGTATTCTTCGCTATTCTTGGTTTTCGAATAAAGACACAATTGAATCCCTGTTTTTGTAATCCAATTGGCACAGATTAAAACTTGTTGAGTATGACTTGGAATGAACACTCCATAGAGACCATCTTTGCTTTAAACTGTTTTCAAAACGCGATATCTTCCGACGAAAGGATTTATTGAGGGCTCAACCACTTATTGTCCCGATGATATTGCGTGTTATTCTTAACAATCTTCGGCCTTTGAGGTGAATTCAGTAGCTCACTGGGAATTATCAGCACGAATTTTTCATCCTAACTAGGTAGAGTAGGGAGTCTATTATATCTATCGATGACTTCTGACGTGTACTAAATGTGGAGCCCCAATCTCGCTAACTCGTCTGTTGAGATAGTTTATAATAACCCCGTCTATCCGCCATTAACCCCTCATTGATCTTCAGGATAGCGCGCATATGACAAACATTTCTCTTCATTGCAGCCCCTCGATGGTTCAGCCATGGAGACTAGGTGTGTGTAGTTAGAAAAAGGTGCGGCGTGCACATTGGTATCGAGATGTGAATTATCTTTACCTTGCTAAGCTTACTCGGGCTCCCTTCTCCTGCTGTCATAAAACGCGGTGTGTATGGTATGAATAGAGTACTGAGTACCGGTATTTTCGTTGAATAAATCTGGCTTTGCCCGAAACCAGAAAATTGCATTTCTGGATTTTTTCAGCATGCTGGTGCCTGCTCGTGGATGTTACATCTGCCTGGAACGGATGGTGTTAGGCGGAGGCGACACGTAGATAGAAGTCTCCAAACCATACCAATAATAATCATAGACAGCAGCGACGGCGCGTTGTCCGCCACTCCATTCCAACAGCTCTGTTCCTCCATAACCAGGTGAGAGTTTTGGTAGCATGAGGCTGGAGGATACGGTGAAAAGATAGAGAGAGCCATCGTCATCAACAAACAAAAGGCCAAGATTTCCCCCAGCACCCATTCTAGACAGTTTGACGCGAACTTGGGAGTATTCTAGAAAGTTATCTATCATCAAACAACCAGGTATTGCGTAGGTGTTCGCATAATCTCAGCTTCAAGAATCAATTAGAAGAGGGCCGCTGACTTGCGTTCCAGGATATCTTACACCCCTTACTATTGATCTTAGGTTCTTCGCGTCAACTCCACCGAAGCAAGCTAGCAACCCACTTTGAGTGGGTGGGGGAATTATTTTTTAAGCCCAGAATGGAAACTCCAGTTCCGATACGGTAGAAAGATAGCCCTACGAACTTTATCTATTGCCATTAGGAAATTTAAGGAGTGATTACTTACACATGGCACATGGACACGAGCTAGGCTTAGGTGTTTAACTTCGCCGTCTTGTTCGATCCTCGCTCCACGGTCATCCGCCAGTCGATCGATTAGCTAAGAATGGGCCACCTAATACCAACCAGCCTGTCTTGCCGCAGCCTCTATCAGAAAAATTTCAAACACCGATGAACACCGATGAGTGATTGCCCATGAACTAGGACACCTCAAACTCACCCATATCTAAATTGAAGGGATAATGATAGAAATGAAAAAAAATCCACTCACTAGTCAAACTATCAAATGTCATAGATATTCGAAAGCGGTCTATCGATACCGTCGGTAGAGGATAGGTTGCTAGTCTGTTGGTTCTGTTCCTATTCCGGGGTTGAGGCGGTGCCGGCGGCGTGGATGTCTTGGCAACAGGGTCATGTTGTGATATGGCGAGGATCGAATAGGTGTGATGAGAGCTCTAAGCAGGTGAGTTAGGAGGTTTCCGTAGTTGATTATTGATACTTTTATTTCCTTGGAAGTTAATCCATTTTAAACTAGCTGGTGAGTTCATGGATCATCACTCGGGTTTCCTACACACTCTGTTAGGTATTAGGAGCCCTGGAATACCTGAATAGGACCGGACCCCACTACGTCATATATCTGGCTGTACAAAAAGCCGGAAAAAGTAAGGCTATGATTACTGGTCTAATTGGATTGTTGACGGAATCTGTTTCATCAAGGTTGCTGATCAATCTTGCGATACATGTCCCAAGATCATAAACAATTCAACCACATGTATTCGGAGGTAGCCTATATATACTTACTGTACCCATGATGTACTAGAATTATGTATGCCGCGACCGGGAGTTTGAAATCGATTTTGAGACCGAGTACTTCCTCGTCTGATTATCCCATCAACCGTGGCAACCGAGTTAAGGACCCGATTGGGCCCCACTTGAAATAAAGTGACCTTTCTTAAATTCACAGCAACACCAGCTTCGTGAGTACTATATTAGGAGCTCTTATTGGGATCGGTTGATAAACTTTCCCGCTTCTTTGTTATTAGTGAACAGGGCTGGATTATATCGTTTTTGTGTTTTTATCGAGGTTAGAGTTGCAAAGTACCCAATTGGAACCTCAGGCTTCTACGGTTCATGGGATAGGATGATGTTCCGACCTTCCCATCATGTAAGTAGCTAGGGTGCATACAGTTATGTAGTTTTAAGTATTATAACCGTGGCTAATAATACGGCGTGAAATAGTTGTACAGATCAAGATAATCAAAATTTCATCTATCCTTATTTTCTTACCTTCAAGTCTTACAAGTATCTTCCCACCAAAATGACGGTGCATGATACCAGCGAGTACATCCTGCACCAACCCGAAACAACGGAATATTCTTCCCAGAATTAACCCAGAATTAAGCTTCTTCTCGGGATGCACGCTTATTGGATCGCGTGGCTACACTACATGTTCTTTCTCTTCGCGGGTGATGTAAAGAAGATTAATTCGATTGGTCCTGTGCCGTAGGCGTGATTGAGGTCCATCCCGGTAGGTAGACCGAGCCCTGCCACAAGACCCCACCGGGATTAAAGAGGGGTTGTTGATACCAATCTATTGGAGGACTGGTGTGATATCAAGATAGGAAGTTTACCTTTGGTGCACAATACATATAGTGTTACTGCGAGAAGGCCGGCCGTACGCTCAAAATGTCAATTAATGTGCGTGTCGTCCGCGATCCAAATGATTGGTGCAAGAAACACCTAAACGAAGTCGCATCGCTGATCTAGCTGGCTATTGAGCTTATTTATCAGAACAATGAGAAAACTCGAACGCTGTTGGCAGTTAGGAAGATTCGCCGCCAAAAGTGATCACCGCCGCTCTGCTCCGGCCAATGACCCACCGTCGGTCGGGGTCCTGGTCGCATGCCGATTGCGGCTCCGCATGAAATGCTTACAATTACCGCCTAATCAGGCCTAGTGCGTGGTTAATAATACCTCGTTACAGGGACGTTGAGTGGTCGAGTCACAACGTTGTCCAGAACCGTCTCAGTAATTGCAAGTGCACGAACCACACGAAGATCAGGACATCTACCTATCGGAGTTTCAGAGGCCTAGGGGTATCTCATGTCCTACGGATACAGTTTTTGTATGTAGGTACATATCTTCGATTAAACTCCCCATCCTGTGACGGTGACCCATCGGTTGACAACATCCATTTCTAGAACCCGTCGGTAAACACCCATCCTTCGGCCCCCGCCATCAACATGGCACGACAACACCGTACTGAGTGAGAGGCAGCCAACATGAGTGGTCCACATAGGACAAACCTGCACCCACACCGTCGGTGTGGGTTATCACCGTTACTTTCCCCACAATAATCTGGATCTTCCGTTCCTATACCGTCTCTACCGTACATAATCTCCCGACCTCACCGTCACGGGGGTCTATTCTTTTCCTTTCTTTCCCTTTTCATATCTTGATTGATTTCCACATTCGTTTCGACACTCACTCTTCTGGTTTGATCTCGGCTGGTCTGCGAGGGTTTGTACAGCTGAGTACTATTCGCCTCATAGTACAGGGTCCATTCGTTTCGAAGAAAAGAAAAGTCCTACTTTTGATATTTGGAGGATTTAACGGCACAGCTTCATCGCTCTTTTACCACTTGATTCTTCTCAGCCTATTGCATGTGCTTGAATTGATCAATTATCACGATCCACGGCGTAGATCGTCTACACGATATTCACAATGACCAAATACAGCTTCACTAGCACCGCCAAACGGCCTATTTCTCCAGCCCCACAACAGCAGTCTCGTCCTTTCGATCTAGAGCAACAAATGCGACAATTCATGGTCGAAAAACGTTCTGCAGGCCTTCAACACCAGGTCTCTCCTCTCACTCCTACTTATAACACTCAAAAGCGGCTTCCAATACCACCATCATCTCCACCCACGCGGAAGCTTCTACGTCTAACCTCGAAATCAAAGAAATTCATGTCTCCAATTAGCAGGGGAACATCAACATCATCACGTACTGGACCAGAAATCCGCTCAGTACCGCATCCAGGCCGCATCAGAAATCACCACCCGTCCGCGTCCGCGCCATCATTGGTCTCACCCGGTGAGATGAGACGTCTTGTGGACTCCCGGCAAAAGAGACCATCGAGCTTCATTGCTCCTGAGACGCCAAATGACATATTCTGGCCAGGTATCGGGTCACCAGGAATATATCCCTCACGTGCACGGCCTTGGAGATCACCGGAAAATAGCCCATTACTACCACCACCCCGAGGCAGCACTGGTAGGACAATCCCACCACCAATTCATCTATCTTCTCCTATCCCGCGAAAAGGAACACCGGTACAGCTTCGCAACAAGACAAGTGAGATGTTTGACTCTGTGCTCTCAATGTACCCAAACACCAAGAAGCAGCCCGCAGCCAGGAGCAACCCGGATATTGTAACACTCCAAAACTCGAGCGGGATCGCGCCGCGCCGAATCACAATCGACTCGGTTGAGCGGCCACCGCGCACGCCGCCTCCTCCACCGACACCGGCAAAAAGCCGAGCTCAAAGACAGCGTGCGAGACCTACCCAGCGGGTATCAACACCAACTGCAACACCAGTGGGGTATATGGCTGAGTTGGTTGGCAGTGAGGTTGAGGTTGCACCAGTGGAGCTGATGGGCGATGTTGAATTTCCGGCGCCAGTCATAATAGCACCGGTTCCACAGAAGCGCAGGAGGGTGAAGGCGAGTGCTGTGAATAGCAGGGTAAAGCAAAGGCAGCAACAGCCAAAGCCAGGTACACCAGAAGGAAAAGAAATATACGCACTTATGCCGCTTCCTGAGGTCCCTGACTCTCCTCCCCCTACAAAACCGGTCTGCGAGTCTAGCCCAGTCTTGGATGTTGACTTTGAATGCTTCAACGACGGCCTTGTGGAGTGGTTCAACAACTTTAACTGGAGCGAATCAGGAGATATTGTCTCGACCAGCACCAGTACCAGCACCAGTCATTCAAGGCCTGCTTCAGACTCCGTTTTCAACGTAGAGGCTAGAGCAAGCATTCTAGACCCAGACGGCGCCGTAGTGAACAGCGAGCCATCCCCACCCCCACCTTCATCACCCGCAAAACCCATAACCACCACCATGCTATCACCCAAGCTACCCGGTGAGACAGCACTGCTATCACCCGTCTACCCGGTCTCACCGCGGCTTGCAAGCTACTATGGTGCGCGTGCCTCCTTTGCCAGCAGTGTCGGTGATGCGTTCCGTTTTGACGAAGATGAAGGCTGCGCACTCAGCGATGTTGATGAGCGCTACGAAGATGAACTCGATGTCGACGAGATGTACGAGGAGCAGTTCCTCAACGAGGGCCACCAGGAACAGTACGGGAACGGTGGCCTCGAGTTTGAGATCGAGATGATCCTCAACGGGAGCTATGGCGGCGGGTCGCCCGACGACTGGCGGGAGGGCATCTACAGTGCCGAGTCTTCCGAATCGAGCGTGGATGTCGAGGAGGTCATTGCCGACTACTGGACTGAGGAGGAGCGGGAGGGCGATATTCTCGTTGGGATGATGCAAGGGGAGGAAGGAGAGGAGGGAGAGGAGGGATTGGATTGGGCGGCGCTGGAGGGAGCGTGGGCAGAGGAGGAATTGTTGGATAGGGGACGCCCGAGGACGAGGTATCTTGCAGGTAGGAACAGCGCCATTGAAGGGGATGTTGTGTTTTGTTTGAAGGGCGTGGATAGCATATAGACGCTGCGGTTGGGACTACATTATAGGAGTTTTTGTTTATATCGGCGTTTTGTGTTTGTTTTTATATCCAACTTTCTCCCACTCCTTAGTTGTAGTATTACTGGGCGGCGGTCTTTTTTCTTTTGTTTTGGGGGCATGGAGGCGCTTTTGGAGTACCGGCGTTGGTTGGCTGGGGGGGAAACGAATTATACTTATGAACAAATAACGAGATCTGAAGATACCAATTTATATACACCTGCTTCATGGGATTGTGACATTGACTCGCATCCACAGTATTGCAAAGTTTGAGTCACAGGCGTTCTCTACAAATCGTGGTTTGAGGTTCGATAAATAACCCTAAACCTGAGTGTATCATATGGTATCACTCGATGCATGGTCTTGGCGGGTCCGGCGTTTGCATTCTGGAAAAACTCTTGAGGTCATCAATTCATAATCTATTGTTCCGCTAAATTCTCTGTCTCTCTAGAACTATCCAGACTATCCTCAAAACTAACTCTATTCCGAGTCGCTGTCGTCTCCACCGATGGTAAAGAGCTCAAACTCGTCAGCATAGTCAAAACTCATATCGTCCTCTTCATCCTCATATTCAGCTTCATCACCATCACCTTCTTCTTCATCCACTGTAGCATCTGCCTCATCAGTCTCAATACCCTCTGGCATCCCAAACCTGCTGCGGAGTTCCGCATCAGTAACAACACTGTCCAGGCTCTCAGCCCACTCATACCATGTTACATCCCCGGTCGCCGCTGCCGCAGTCACAAACCTACATATGTTCTTGACCCAAGCAACAATCCACTCCGCGTCAATTGTGCCTGCCGCCTGTCTGAACTCGACGGTCTTGTACGTCAGCGCACATGTCAGGTTGTACTTGTAGAACCTGGATATACTCGTATAGTTACCGTCATTGGCGCCGTTGATAATACGCAGCACCCTGTGTACACCAGTTTGGTCGTCGATCCGCCAGATCATTTGTGCAGGAGTAAGGTATCTGAGGCCATGGTTGTCGAGGTTAGAAGCGATCATGCTGCTCCTATGTGTACTCGGCGGCGGGGGGCGGCGGTGCCGCGGGTGGTGGTAGTCCATTTGGCGCTCAAAGAGGACGATCGCTTTCGCGAGCTGTTTCAGTTCCCGAAGGGTGTATTCTCGGCCGAGGCCGATGTGGACATGGAGGCCGCAGGAGTCGTTGAAATTTATGGCGGCGCCGCATTGTTCGCATGCGGTGGTGATGGCGGTGCACATGGACCGGAGAGTCTGTTCCCAGTTGTCTTGGGTGAGGATTGGGGTGCAGACCTCAACGCCGCGGCCGTGGAGGCTCTTGTTGGTTGGGTGGAAGGGCTTGATGGAGATGTCGTCTTTGATCTGGAAGTGGAGCTCTATGTGCTCGCGTTGTGCCATTCCCCCGGTAGAGGTGTCTTGGGACTTGAAGTTCTTTAGTTCATGGGGCATTACACCGTCTATGATGCGCATGACACCCATTTCGGTGGCTAGGTCCTCTAAAGCGTTAGCGATAAAGTCCAGTTCACCATATGGAATGTATTTGATAGCGGGTGGTAGCTTGAAAAGAATCATCTCCAGCTCTACACCAATGGTTATATCCTTGAAGTTAATTGTTCCTGTTTCGAGGCACTTGGTGTCCATGAGATCTGTAGTATATATGCTGTGTAGGGCAAGTAGTCAATTTCTTTGATTTTAGATGGACCGATTAGCGAGCAAGGCTTGTGAGTAGTTTTAATCACCCTTGGGGAAGATATATGGCTTTTATGGCCATGGGAAATAATTTGTTCAAGCACGATAATCGCCATCTTGAATTGTTACCCTCAGGTTTATATATTCTTGAGACTTTGATATCTTTATTTTTACTTGAAAGACACAAGAATTCTTGAATGAAAACGTGAAGTAATAAAATAGCGCATATAGACCATCTTGAGATTAATGATCTTGAAAATAAAATTCCCGCGAGGATTTTTATTTTATTTTTGTTTGTGTATTTAGCTCAATAATCTTATAAATGCCTCCTATACAGTAATTGACTAAAATACAGAGAATGAATACACCAATGTACTATATATAGCCATTACTGTGGATACCGAAGATGCGGATATCATAGGGCTTCTATACACGATTTGGTTAGTTTCGACGGAGAAGGTCAGAGAGGAATGATAAGGTATATATACCGATTATTGGTGGCAAACGCCGGCACATAAAAGAGCTACCACAACTGCTGCGGGGAGCTACATGTAGTAGTAATACATCTACACGACATCCATCCAAGATACTAAGAAGGACTGTCAGATTTTTTGATGGCTGCGTCGGTGTCAGCTGTTAACATGTTTCATATAGAACATAAAAGGAAAATTGAGTTATTTACATACCTTTCAGCTCATGCCAAACAGTGAGTTGTCAAATTTATCCCATTCGACATATGTTGCATTAGGGAACGCAACTACAGAATAACTCTGTAGGAACCTAAATCTGTAAACCTCGATATTAGCATAGTTTCTGTAATTCGTCTAATGGGATTAATTGACTAATAAGACTTACTCTCGACATAAGCTGCGTTGAGGAACACAACTGCAGAATAACTCTGTAGAAACCTAAATTCGTAAATCCCGATATTAGCATGCCTTCTGTAACTCACAAAATGGAATCAATTGACCAAGGAGACATACTCTCAACATATGCTGCGTTGAGGAACGCAACTGCAGAATAACTCTGTAGAAACCTGGAATCCGTAAATCTCGATATCAGCACAATTTCTATAATTCATCTAATAGGACTAAGGATAATTACTCTCGATGTGCATTATCTACATTGAGGGAAGCAACTACAGAATAACTCTGTAGAAACCTAGAATCCGTAAATCTCGATATCAGCACAGGTTCTATAATTCATCTAATGGGATTAAATGACTTAAGGGACTTACTCTCGACATATGCTGCATTGAGGAACTCAACCGCAGAATAACTCTGTAGAAACCTAGAATCCGTAAATCTCGATAACAACACAGTTTCTATAATTCATCTAATGGGATTAACTAAAAGGCTTACTCTCGATGTGTATCTCATAGTACTCGCCTTATGGGGGCGCAGGTTTTCGGTCCCAACCGTATCCTTATAGCGAGAGACGGCTCCTGATTATCGGAAGCATCGTCATAGTACTCGCCTTATAGGAACGGCAGTTTTTTCGGTCCCGACCGTATCCTTATAGCGAGAGACGGCTCCTGATCATCAGAAGTATCTTTATAATACTCGTATTCCCGGTAAATACCGCTTTTCTCTCTCGAAGAAAATAGTGTTTGACGTCGAGGTGATAAGGACAGGTGTCAACAAGGAATATGAGGCATCTTGAGAATACTCTCAAACCTCGCCTCGAGCGTTCTTGTAGACCACACTGGATGATAGTCTCTATTCTGTACGCATCAGTGGCGTTCTCAATGGTCATTTACACACATATATAGCTGTGATGCTTACATATGAGATTATTCTCTATAGTCTCGCACTAGACTCTTAGTCTGTGGGTGGTGGAGGTTACGCGTAGATGTTGTGTGTGGGTGGTGCTAAGGGCTAGTGGGGTGACCCTAATTGCCCACAGGATTATCCGAAAAATCTAAGAAAGCGTCTGAGTCTATCGAGAGTGGGATTATTCTATTTAAGTTTATTCCCTTAAATGATATTTATTTAATACCTACTTGAAGCTGGATGAAATCCGGAGCATGTATGAGTTTGAATTCTTCAGGGTTAGGTGTAAACCGGCCAAGGAAAGCCTAGAGTGCTATCTACCAACTACATGTATGTACAGTACGATGCCAGTCGTGAGGGTCAGGCGCGGCGTCGCAACGCCGCGCGCAACCAGATTTCCACAACCTTTTCACGGCAGGTTGGTACACAAGATATTAAATGTCAAATTATTGTTATTTATCTACTATTTAACAACTATACAAAAATTCAGCTCTCCAAAGGATCAATTGTGGTTGCTGTGCTGGTACCCGTGATTGTTCGGGGGGCGTTGCGACGCTGCGCCTGACCCTCACGGCTGGCATCGTACTGTACCTACATGCTCCTCTTCCCCGTCTACTCCGAATCTTCTTCGTCACAGATGTCAGGCCATTATCAGGCTCGGCTTCTCTTTCCTCTATATACCAATCTCATCCTGGTCGCCGCCTTTATTTTCTTCATCCAAGACTTCGTTTGGCAGAGAATAGCTTAGGAACGGGATAGACATTGAGAGAGGTAAATTAGGTACATGTATTTATAAGATGCCAACTTTGATAGCAGAAGACGCTTTTGGCTTCATCGTTGATACCCCCGGCCCATGCATGAGTTGACCGGGACTAGACCGAAAACACCAAAATTTCGCCAACTACCCCACAAAAGCATAGGGTTGATAAAACCACAAATGGGACCATATGTACATCGAAATCTCAATTCCCACGCTTTCCGTGATGGGTTATTTTTCCTGCATAAAACCCCACATTCGGAGCTAAATACAGCATGAAGACTCAGCAACCAGAAGAGGCACAGCAGAAAATCACGCATTAATTTCGCTCTTGGATGCATATTTGGTCACTATATAGTGAAACAATTTGTGTCTAACTCTACAAATTCCCAGTCCTCCTATCACTGGCTGTCGTTTTGACACGCGGGACTCCTCTCGATTGATGGGTCGTTTGAACATCAAACAATAGAATCTAGTCACGTGGAATTTGGGTAATTCCGCACATAATTTTTCGAAAACGGTCTTGCGTAAGTCGAACACACAAGGTGTAGCAGATATGGTTGGAGGAGATGTGCAAAATTAACATATTGTATCCATTTAGACAATCCAACAGTTCTCTGCAAGGGATCTGTCCTTGTTTGCGTACGCTGAAGGGTACTCGATTCCTTTAAAGCTATGACACAAACCGGCCCCAACTTTGAGACAAGAATATCAAAGTTCACCGTAGGGTCTTTACTAATTTACCCGATGATTGTACTATAATACACCTACATACATGTAAGTAGTGTAACGTGACCGAGACTGGGGGGTTGATGGATCGATGGGCCGCACAGATACACAGCCGTTTATCCTTTAATTTAGGGAAATTATTTACAATCATTTATCCCCTTTCTGTCTATCTTTGCTATATTTCTGGATTTGTATTGTAACTATCCCTACTTGATCATAAGCTTTTGTACCCCTGCTAATTCCATAGGCGCTGGGGGAATAACCAACTAGAAAGGGCAGAAATCAAATTTCGCTTCGCTACGACCCCGGTCAAAATATTCCTAGTGGAGGATAACTTGGTGAGGACGCTTTCGTAGACATTCTTGTGGAATATATCTAGATACAGGTTTATGGTGATCAAGCAAACCCTCAAATGCTTAATTATTTATAGCAACAAAATTCAACAGAAGCTTGTTCAACAATAAATAACTTGGACTGGAAGCGTACTTTATACTTTTCCGCAGTAGGGTGCCATAAAACACCTTAACTTGGGAGAAGCACTAAAAAAAAAACAATTGTGCTTTTCCTCGAGCTCTGCAACATAGAAACGATTACCCGAAGGTTATCTTCAATAATCTGGTTTGTTGTGTAGCTCCCCGAAATCATCGTGAGAAATGATTTTTGGGGGTGCGTGAGAAATCGTTGGTGTTACTGGGTTCTCTGGAAAAGTGCCCGGATATTTAGCCTGCGCCCAGCCGCTTATGGTCCGAGAAGGGACCACGAATGGACCAGTTTCCTGGTAACCCGCAAAAAGGAATGTCAACTGTCATTAACATTCTCAGTTTCCCTGGTCGTGGGATCGATAGTTACGGAGGTGCAGGTATACACTCTGAAAGATATCAACTTCACAGTGGAAACATCTTACATTGGCAGCTTCGAAGATGTGATGTTGCACAATACTTTGCGATTCATGGTTCCGTCGTCGGTGGGTGCCACCTGCGGTTCGTATGTATCAACCCCACCGGGAAATCTTCCTGGGACATAAATAGCAAAAGAGCCTCCTGGCCAACCTCATACAGAGATCGGCGCAGGGATCTCCGCCTCCTAAGCGCTTATTCATGCGAATTTAGTCTCCCAGAGTAAAGCAAAGCAATAAAACTGTCAAGGCTTCAAGTTCTCAGATACCTATTCTGTCAGTCAGACTGCGCCGTCGCCAAACATTTCGACCATTTCCATACAAGACATGGATTTTCATCGTCCACGCCGCAAGGGCGGGGCAGGAGAGTATAAGTTCTATCGGGGTCCCCGAGAGAAATCGAGGAAAGGTTTGTTGACTGGAAGGCTTTCTTGAACATTACATGGTACTATCAAAGAATCCAGACGCGCTCAATATATTTCCATAGCTCTTTCCTTTTTCTTATCAACAATATTAACCCACGTGTATTAAAAAGGGAGGGTCTCGCTGGAGGTAAAACTTTGAACAATGTCAGACGCAGAAGTATCAGCAGCGACATCAGCATGTGTCGGGGAGTTTTGCAGTAAATACTTCCCCTCTAGCTTTAATTTTCATTTTTAGTTCTAATCAGGATGAACAACATAGTATCGCCGGCGGTGACGGTCGAACCAAGCTCGGTAGCGACCACAATCTCGGATTCAATATCCACTCCCCTACCAACTGGCGTGTCAGACGATGGTTCATCCACACGGCCTTTGGTGACGACACATGTGACCTCAACTATGAGGCCCTCGATGGTGGTTGTGACAGTTACGACCCCACTAAATGCATCGCCAACCTTAGATATAGATTCATCCCCGACCGAGGGCGCGAATTCAGATGAAACTCATCGATCCGGTGATACAAGAGTTGTCGCGATCACAATTGGTGTTGTCGGTGGTCTTGCTATGTTAATATTACTCCTATATTGGGCCGCCAACTTTCTTGCGAGTCGTCGCTATGAAGATGAAGAGTAGGTGTCTCGGTTCAGAACATGGGAGCGGGGCACAATGGCTAATGACATGATCAGAGACAGAGACCTGGAAGGAGAATCGGCAAGATCCATGCTAGGCGCTGCATCGTCAAAAACAGAGCGCGACACCCCCATGCCCGGGCGCCCGATATTATCTCGACCAAAACGCGCATCTATAATACCATACGCAAGAAAGGCCGTAACATTCGACCGGCTCTCTCGCAGCTCATTCCATAATAGTAATACCAAACATTTCTCCGACCTACTCGCAAAGCGCCTGTCGGCGGTCCATCCCGGAACTAAAGTAGTATACGGAAGCCCGGCAACAAAGGCATCAAAAATAGTACCACCCCGGAAACCCGTACCAAGGCCAGCAGGCCACCCAACACCAGGAGCGCAACCACGAAATTATGCCCCCAGCGGGACGGAAAGTGACTACAGTGACGATGCAGATGATGTATCAACCGTACTTGGAGGGACTGGGAAATCGCAGAATCAGATTCAGCAGGAGGCAGCCTATCATCCGCTGCCGCCGGGGGTACCGTTTGCAAAATGGTTAAACGCCGGGCGAGCACAGGAGCTGCCGACAAGTAATTCAAGACCGTCCTCTGCATGGCAGAGATAGAAGGGGACATAATTTAGAGGGGGGTGCGAAACTTTATACTAGATAGCATAGCAGGTTTTGTGTTTAATGAAGTTTTGTGTATATAACATCTGGATATGTCCAAATAATTCAGCTTGGACTGTATTTCAACCATATTTTGTAAATTGCTTTTTCTAGCTGCACTCCCATGTTTTTCATTCGTCATTTTATAACCAGGAGTTTCTGCAGCGCGACGGATGGGGGGGGGGGGAGGTGGTCTTTTTATTTTTCCCGCATTGTTCTTGACGATAGATCTACAGTCAGAGCGCAAAATATACCTTATTCTTCTAAAACGTCTTTTAAGCGAAGCTTCAAGTAGAAAATCTCACACAGATACAATCACATAAAATGCAATTTCACTCTTAACACAAATTAAAGCTTCCAAGGTGAACATCCGATCAAGACCCCCACCCCCACCACGTGTAAGGCCTCTCTCGGTAAAATAAAGCCCTACAAAAAAAGCTTTGGAACCCATATTTCAGTCAGCACCTCCCAAAAATTCCAAAGTTAATCTTGTAGTACGTATCTCATCTCATCTCACTGACAGTAGGTAGGTATGCCAAGCTGCAAGCAGATGAGAAATGCGGAGGAGTTGTTTCATCTTCAGGGGCTGCATTGGCGAATCAGGGCTGAAACATTCACCACCGCTCACTGGTCGGCGGAGCCGAGGCTTAAGCTTGACAGTTATAATAGCGTAAGGTAAGATCTCGGATCTGCGGCGTGTCATTCCTGGACCTTGATTATGCATCTTGATAGTAATCGGGTCATGGCATGTCACTCGCGTCTGGGCGGATTCCCTTAGAAAATCGCATGACCCTCGTTTTTTTTTTGTTTAATTCATTAATTGCATATCGCATGACCCTCAGATGGGGCCATCGAACTGTAAGCACCAGTCAGTATGCAAAAGAGCCCAGAAGTCACATATGGAATAGTCCAGCCTTTTACTAATGGGGCTAGGAAGGCGCTTCTGCTGAATAAAGCTAACCGCCTTTGTCTAGGATCTTATGTGGATTCTCACCTTTATGGCGGGTAGATCTGAAGAATACCATGCGCTGTGGGTGTCTAGCCCAGATGAGAGTGAGCCATTTATTATCTCCACCCTCAGGTTCTCTGTATGTATTTAGGTGGGTGCCTCTCGCATTGCAGGGTTTGTGGTTGCAGTAAGTAATTAGAACGATTGCTAGTTTAAGAAGATCCGGAATTTGCCAACATGTTTCGAGGATGTGTGCAACACCGCGTCTATTAGAGTATCAACTGAATCCAATCATGCTGTACCGCCGCACCGCTGCGGATGTGGTTGAAGGCGGAAGAGGCGTTTGTTGGCACAGTGGGCGATGCCCTGCGAAATATCGCAGTGCGACGAGTAGTCGGTGGATGACACTGTCTGTCCTGGTACAAATTAAGCAAGGCCCAGAAGACAACTTTAACGCCACCCAAGCCACTTGGCGCCCAACACAGAGTCGAGAATATTTATTTTCTTTTTATTCTTTTTATTCTTTTTATTCACCTTTTTCCTTTTTCATTTCCCCCCCCCCAGAAAGGTAAGTCATATAATATCACTCGTAGGGTAGCAGATAATTATAAACGTTGCGGGAGCGCCTCGGGTCAGTTCGCGAACGTTTATAGATTGTGTCGTTCAGGAGGCAGTGAATTCTTCAAATATATTTCGACTCACCCTCTGCCACAAAGATAGATTTAAAGCAGGTATGTACCCTGTGAAATTTGAAATTAGCGGGAGGGGAAGAAACATAGCTGCTGTGGCTGAGCCCGGCCTAGCCTTTGAAAGGTACTTCTAGTAGTTTTCCTTGTTTCATTCGAATACATCAGCCCAATCCAATACCGGTTCAGTCAAGTTGCGCAGTGTTTTACACAGGTACTTGTGTCACTATGGTACACTCCAGCCAGTAGCAAGAGTCTCTGTCGGCAGATATACTAAAACTCTCACAAAAACAATTGCAAGTAACGTGTTGTCCCGCGCTATAACCCACACGACCAATCGAAGAAACCCAATAACGGGACGGGACAGAGCGGCTGGAACTGATGCTAGCGATCATCTCCTTATAATCTCCACACAACTGCCCCCCAGGGCAGATCCTATTCTTTCTTTTCTGCCATGCAAGTGACTGGCCAGGAGGGAGGAAAAAACCGGCTTTTAGCTGAGATGATCTCGAACATTTGTTTAATTTAACCCTATGCCTGAAATCACCGTTGAATTTTCCGAGAATTACAGAATTTATCTGCTCCTTCAATTGTAACTGTGATAAGGTCTTTTTTATTATTTTTACCATGATTATTATTATCGAGACCTCGGGGAGTTAGAGGGGTGTCCGTACTTCTCGTTTGAAGAAACCTAAGTTAAGTCCAAAAGATCGTGTATAAGCTTCTTATATGTCACATCAGGACTATGCATTTGGAGGGGTCTCATGAAACTAGAGAACCATAATTATCGGGAACGTCGGATATGCACCAAATCTGAGACCTTTTTGATGAGAAACCTCCTTCGACTTGTCTTCCTTCCGTCATCATACAAGTTTCTAGTCGATCATATAGACTAATTGCATATTAATAGCTCTAAAGTTATCTACTACTAGATGATGATAGATCTCTTACATATACATTGGAGTTCACACCACAGTGTCTACCAGAAATCCGAAGATCTTCCCTTAGTCCAGCAAAATATATCCTTGGTCAGACGTAGTACGATGTACTGATATTTGATATCATAAATTCTAATTCAAGGCCTTTTTTATGTTGGACACACACAAAGCACAAGGTTACCGTCAATCCAGCGCGTTACATCATCTGGAATAGTACACATCCTACTCACATACCCTCATAACAAGGAACTCCACTGGTGAAACAAAATCATTTAATGAGGTCCAATGGAATCCGAAGGGTGAACCCCTCAAGGAGCCTAACTAATATTCTATGATGATAGCACCCAATAATAGCAGAACAGCCCTTCCAAGGTAGTGCTTAATATGAGCAAATGCTTTTAACCGGGGGAAAAGCCAGGCTCGGGCTAGCATTGCGCTCCTGATAACGGAGGTGATTAGGATTCGAGTCATTGGCTTGTACAATTGTCTGCTAGTAGTTACTCGTGCCCAGTTTTGGTAGCGTAGGGGGTGGGAGTAATGTAAGAAGAGGACCTAATAGTCGGAAGAAGACCACTTTCAATCTGAGGACGTCTTATGCGAAGACCTTGCTACCTGTCTTGGGGACGACGTGGGGTAGTTCAAACTAGCGTGGATCATATATCATAGGTCACCCGAAAGCGATTAAAGTTTACTCGGTTTTGCAGTTACCGTATGCTATCTACCAAGGGAACTGGTTCTCTCCAAATACCTCAAATTGAACCATTTCATTTTTGTCATACTGTTTTTAATTCTCCGTATCTACAAGGAAATAATGTCACATATTTCTTTCTAAAGCACCATTCCCACTCAAAACATGAAAACCTATAAGAGATACTGACCATCTGCATATGGGGATATGTGTGGGAGGCAAGGCCTTGTTGTTCTAGTTAACGCGCAAGGGACTGTCACTCATTTACGATCGCTGGGAAATTCGAATGTCGATAGCATTTGCTGTTGGTTATAAAGAACACAGTAAGTGTTCATAGATCCCCTTAGATTTAAATATGCCTATTAGAATATATCTCTATTAGTTTAATTTTTGGTTCAGCTTGGTAAAAGCTCTGGATATCAAGCGAATCAATGATCTACGACGTCATTATCGGCAGGTTTTCTTTTTGCGCGACGAGGATCATGTCTCAGCTTGAGCAAGCCACTCGATATCTCCGGCCGGCATCACGAAACAAAATCCCCGGATGGAAATCGCCATGTAGTGCTGAAAATATGTAGATACATGTATGTATGCGCGGCTGGGTCTCGCATCTGTAGGTTTGTGGGTGATCAACCAATCGGTAACAGCACCTCCGATACATCATAATTGTTTGAGCCTGCATATCACCCTTGCCTTTTTGTTTCTCATCGCGTCTGTCTGGTGTGCATAGCGTTGGTCAGGTGGGTGAAGTGAGACGTGGGGGCCACATCGCTCTTATTGAGACTTGAGGCTTACATTCCATTCAAGTATGGGCACGTCATGAAAGATGCTTCTTATAAAGGAGTTCCATATAACTCCATCACCCCTCAACTTTTCGAAACCAGATATTTATCCACCTCTTCGACTACTGTCATCATTACTAGATCTATCTCTCCCCCGGGACCCCAGGTTCTGGTAATCAAAGAGATATTTATTGGCAATCATCTTCAATTACCGTCATTATCAGCTCTTCGCCGCAAAGATTTTCAGACAAAACTATTTGGACCCCAGAACCAGCAGATAAGATAAGATGCATTTCAAGGTTTCTTCCCCCTCGTCTCTCATCTAAACACTATCTAAGATGACCGTTACAGAAAAAATCCTCCCGACTATCCTTCTTATCATTTCCCTGCTCCTTCCGCCGCCAAGGGGCCTTAGAAGAACCGGCACCGCCAACACCAAATCCATACATTCCCACATACGCTGCGCGCTCATTTACCTCGTCGACAACACCGGTGCCACTCGAGCAGCGGTACTACACCCGGCAGAAAAAAGATGATGGAACAACGCGTGAGACTCCGACGACGATAGCTGAGAGATCCGAAGCTATGCGGCAGCGGGGAAGAGCTCGTGGCCAGATCAATATCGAGCTTCAAGTCTAATAAGCGTTGGTTTCTGGGACGCCGTGGAGCTATGGCAGCCCCACCCAGGCTCAGCCCTGTATAAAACCAAGAGTGGGGGGCGGGGAATATTAACAAGGATTGGAAATCCTGCAACCCGACGGAAGGTGGGGTGTAAATAGCAACTTCAAAGTAGATTCACTCTTTTAATTTTCTTTAGGAACAATAAATCTATCCCCTTCACATCCAAAAGCTTTCTCTATTCTGAAACCTCATGCGGCTTTCCGACGATCCCGTTGTATCTTATTATCCCCCCAAAACCTAAAGATAACAACGTCTTCTAAGGAAGGGGGTCACATGCAAGACACGGTTATGCGGGGTAAATTCCTGTTCTTTTTTGAGATCGTGTAACGTCAATTGGCCAGATCGGTACGTATTCAACCTTCTTGTGTTGAACTTCATGAAGTCTTTCTGAGGGTGGTACCTAGTAGATATTAGTTAGACGCCGTGCTAAAGGAGTATTGGGGTCTGGGGAATACACCTCGCGTATCTGGCGGCTGGGCTCAAACTAGCCACGGAGTTTAGTCCGCTGGGTGTGCAGCCCCAGAGAAACTGCATACCGCGGATTACAACACTTTTCAACGGTAGTTCCTAGCTAAGAACAAAGATTCTATATCTCCGGACGGCGCCAGGCAGAAAAGACCGTTGAAGTCAAATGAATTCCGGGTCATAGAATATCACTCGGTCTGGAATCCAGTTCTATCGCTGCGTGAGTCTCTCTGACTATAGGGTTAATAGGGTTCTGGCTCACTTTATTGCTCAGATTTCACGTCTTCCTGACTTCTGGGCCCAAGGTTCGATGAGTGAATCTAATATATAATCCAACAATTAGATATACATGTCGGCGACGATCTGGGGGCCTGTGGCTATGCAGGAATATGGGAATAGAAACCGGGTAGGTCTATTCAGCTCAGTTAAGAGAAGCCGGAGGCGCATTTGACGCCGTGGGGGACAACAGTCGAGGGTCTTTAGTACCCTGCTGGCGTAAACAATTCAGGTCTGCAATCGGGTCAGATCTCCTAATGCAGTGTGATCTGTCGGTGTGCTATTGTAGCAAGCCTCCTATTCTCTTTGCGCCGTACTCAGCCAGCAGCTTGCAGAGAGGTGTAGTTGTGGCCGTGGGATATAGTACGAAAACTAGTGATTAACTACAGTAGGAAATACGGGCTTAGCTTTCAGGGCTAGGGTTTAGTGGGTCACTAATGGGTGTGGTCACAAACCACCAATTCGTTCACAACTTTTTAAGTAATTGAGTCATTTTCTGTATATACAAATAATCAAGCAAGTTTATTGATGCATACGTATACTACATACAAGTCGCTGCCGGCCTTCGGCCGGAGAGGATAATCCATCATATATTATATTTTAGTGCAATTCTGTATGAGAATGAAGCCCCAGGAAGGGTATACTCAAAACTTTATATTAATGTAGAAGGATCTAATGAAAAATTAACAAAAATAACCTTTTAATTTTTGATTTCAAGTATACCTGCATTCACATTGGTCTATTAATACTTCATCAGCAAAATCTCTTGCTAATTTTAACGGCTCGGGCCTGGATTCAGGAACAACTTTGAATACGGCAGAGTTGGAACAGGTTCAAGGATGGAATCTGAGGAGGATCCCCGAGTGGAAGATAATACCAAAATCTACTAATTATAGAGAGAAACAAAAATCAATGTTATCATGATTATATCGTACTGAGAAACTTGAAAGCAAATATTGATAATGTGATATTGTATCAAGTAGAGCAAAAATCAATACCCTGATATCGTATACTAGTAAAGAAAAACAAAAATTAATATAATTATAACTATATTGCTCTAAAAAAGGAAAATCAATTCAATCATGATTATATTGTCACAAAAAAAGCAAAAATCAATACTATTATATTCTACTGCCAGTGAGAAAATCAAAAATCAATATCATGATATCATCTCAAGAAAAGCAAAAATCAATATATCAATCAAAAAAAAATCAATGTGTTAGCAACTCAAAAAAAGCAATCTTAATCACCAACTTCTCAAACCTAGCCAATCAAAACCTTTAAATAACACATTGCATATCGGTATATCTATATACTTATAAGATTTGGTAGCAACACATAAATTACTCATCACCTTTTCCCTCCTTGAAAATTATCTTTTTCACTAACGACTCGACGAGTACGAAGCGCCCAAGCCACCAATTGCATTGCCAGTTACCCTTCGCAGATTAGGATGTTTCTTGTGTATTGCTGTTCATTATTGACTAAAACAAGAATGATCAGCTTGTTTAATTTCTATAAACCAGAGTAAGTACTAACATCAGTGATCCAGTCAAGACAAGCAGTACCTGCGCGTTTCCCATCAAAAGTCTAAGGTGCATTTATTCTGTGTACATCTAAGGATGCACTGACAATATTTCCGTTGACCAGCGGTACGCCTTCACCAGCCCGGCTAACGTTGTCGGAGGCAAGGTAAATGAGAGTTGAGTTTCTGGATGGGATAACAGAGCGGGGGTGGGGATTTAGCCCAAGCTTAAGATGGTTGACTGATTGTCTTAACTCCCTAACGGCTACGGCAATAAAGACAATGAAGTGGGATTATTGTTCATGAGAGGATACTTTGAAGTCTGCTTCAGTACTCATAGAGGCAATAGATAATGCGTAACGGCTTGAAAGGACGTCCCAATGAGCGAAGGATAACCGACCATCGGCGAAGCAGGTGTTCCGCAGCCTGTCGAGTTGTCAAAGAAAAAGAAACTTTCAAAGTGGAAAAGTTAGGGTCATGAGTAACCTGGGTGTTGCTACCAAATATATGGTGTGCGTCAATAAGCTTGCTTGATTATTTGTACATACAGAAAAGGACTCTTAAGCACTCAAATGACTGTCAAATACTCAAAAGGCTGTTATCGTGAACTAATTGGTAAGCACTGTGGGTGTGCATGGGTGACGGTTTGTGAGCGCACTTAAAAGTGACCCACTTCCTCTTTGCCCTGAAACTTGAACCCGTAGTTTCTACCAGAGAAAACGGCAAACGGTACTACGGTGATTTAACATGGGGCTTCCTGATGTGTTATTCGGGCGTTGGTCTCTAGATAAACTCCGGCTATATTAGTTTACTAAGCTCTCGTGCCAACGCGCTAGTAGTACATAGTCGCCTTGGCAAGAAACGAAACTTCCTTCACACCCCCGTACGGAAGTGCAGGACTACCTGGACGGACCTGATCCAGTAACCAGGGAGAGTTCGTTCCAGACACAATCGCAAGGATCCTAGCCAAATATTCGCGGACCAACCTCAGCTAGCCCCGAACCCTAGCCTAGCGCGGATTCGAAGCCATCCTGGCACCCCCAAAACAGGACATCGTGGCCGAGTGGTTAAGGCGACAGATTAGAAATCTGTTTCGTTCGCGAGCGTAGGTTCAAATCCTGCCGATGTCGTTAGCGGGAAGCCAGTGTCGTCGAGACATGCCTTTCCTTTTTTTTTTCTCTCTCCTGCTGCATGGACTGGTTGGGTAAGTCGTGTGTGCAATGAGTGGCGGCTTATTACTAGTACGTAGTCCGTGTAGAACTGGCTGGGGATATCATTTACTTGAAGCTGTTGGTTTCTGCTTTTTTTTTTTTCACCTCCGTCTTGCATCATTATTGTTATTAATCCTCAGGAGTTTGAGAGAAACACTTTGCTATAAATCCCGATACGGACATCAGCTCTAGGACTTACTCGTTTCTATATGTACAGCGGTGGGTAATAAGTCATCGGACGACCTAGCCACAATTTTTCCTGCAAACGCGTATTTTGGTGGCGTTCCGTCTGATGACTTATTACCCACCGCTGTACTCACCGGATTGACATCAAGATTCCCGGTGATCGATCATTAAATATCACTCGTTTTATAAATACCACCTTGAAAGATATTGTCCCCACCGCGCCGGGGGGGGGGAGGGGGTTTCGTGGTGGCTGGTGGTGCGTGGGAAGCTTTTTAAGCTCGTTTCGTATGGTTGTGGTGTGTCGGAAGATTATGTCCTACATATGTATCTGGGTTTGCTGAGGTTGAGGAGCAGAGGCGGATGAGTAGTTGGCTTCGATTCTAGGAGCCGTGGTTCAATATTCATTCCGCAACCGCAGAAACCAGGAGCCACAAACGTTACTTCCACCCCACGTGTACCATACACCTCACCATAACCTAGCCCCAAGCCGATCAAGAGAAGCATTAAAAGCAAACCAGAAACCGAGGACAGGGAGGGTTAACGATTCAATTTTTCCTAGTTTGGAGTACGACGGTGGCGTTATATAGGTACCGTTATTCTGACAGAAACGTACCCTCGAGTTCCCTCCGGCTTACCTTCCTACCTACCATCCTAAGCACTTTATCTACATCTACCTCTCAGTTCAACCAACCAACCAACCAGCTAGCTAGCTAGAGCAGTACTACATACCTATTTCCAACTCCGTTCTAAACCACCCCACTGCAAAACCCCACGTCGATATATACCACGCACAACATACCACTCTCAGTCCACCATTCATCCGTTGGCTACGCTTCGAATCTCCTCCTATTCGCATTGCCAGGAACAACAAATTAACAGCCAATACAAAACCCCACCAACCCTAACCCTGCCACTATCAGCTGGCCCGAGTGATTGTTCATGAGTGGCCTCCATACGACACAGTCGAGAACCCTCTGAGTATGTAATTGGGTTGGTTGGTTATTGCACTGTGCGTGTAGAGCCTGGTTATGATTCTATGGGTGTCAGATCTGGCGGGTTCAATGTCAATGGCGTACGGGGTGAGGACTATGGCTATGGTAATGTCAATAGAAATGAAATCACCTATTGTGTCTGGGGGGACGGATTGGAAGGAATAGAATGCCACTTCCTCAAGAAGCACTGCAGTGTTCGAGTACTTTATAACCTCCTCACCCCCTCGATCAAATCCCCGCTGCAAACACTCCCTCACACCGCACACCCCCCGCCCTATACAACAACTATACACAATGCCCCACCCCACCCCCTCAATCCGCAGCTCCCCGCCCCCCTCCCCCCCGCCCCACTCCTCCTACCGCTCCTCCCCCCACCCCTCACACCTACCTCCACCTCCACCTCCACCCGCCCCCAGCCAGCGGGAATGACAGTCTCCCAATTCTTCACGACCCTCCGCCACCGCCTCGAGATCCTCTCGGAGGCCGAGGTGTGCGACAATAGCATCATCCGCTTCCGCCGCGACCCGTATCTTGGTTGCGAGCGGCACGCCTCGTGGCGCATGGCGGCGATGGGAGACTTTTTGACGGGTGTTGTGTTGGAGTTGGAGGTTGTTGGTGCTGGTGGGGCGTGTGATGCGGAGGAAGAAGAAGAAGAGGAAGACCGTTATGGTGGCGGCGGTGTGAGTGGTCGTGAGTATGTCCCCACTACTCGGGAAGGAAGAGAAGGGGAGGACGACGTAACATATACCCCCACCCCCGCTTCAGAAAGCGCCGGAAGCGACAGCGAAGACCAGATGTCGCCCGTGCTGCCACGGTACCTGGTGCTGACGCCGGATGCGGGGGTGGGGGGCGGGGACGGGTGGGGGGTGCGTAGTGGGGGCGATTGGGGGTATCGTGAGGGGGCGTCGTCGCCGCTGGTGGCGTCGGGGGAGGGGGGGTGGGGTGGTGATGATGAGGGGGTGGGAGAGGGAGAGGGAGAGGGGGATGGAGGCGGGGTTGTGGAGGAGATAGAGGCGGCAGTTGCTGCGGGGGATGACGGGAAGAAGAGGAGGTTGCAAGAGAGGGGGGATGGTGAGGAGGTGGTGGTGGTGGGGCTGGTTAAAAAGTGTCGTAGGAGTGCACGGCTTGCGGAGGCTCGGGGAGCTAAATCTGTGCCTTGTGAATAGGAGAGGGGTGTGGGGGTGGATTTTGTAGAATTAGGCATCTTTTGTTTCGTCTTTTCTCTCTGTTCAATTGGCAGTATTATCCTATCTCTTTTCATATCTCCTCTTTAGCTAGTACCTTATTACAGACAATACCGCCGTGAGTGGTGTAAGGCAAGGTTTATGGCGGACTGGGGCGTTTGGAGCGAAGCAGGAGTTTAGTGTAGATTTTGTTCCCAGACGAATCACAGAAGGAAATCTCAATCGCTCAAGCTCTGCCCATGAAAGTATATATAGTAGACAAGCCCATATGACAGCATTGCCCCAACGAAGAAGAAGCAGGTCAAGGTCAAAGTGAAAGAACGCAGATAGCCAAAGCCACACTGTATACCTGCCACCGCAACCCGAGTGATGAGCCATGTATGTACCGGGTGTTGAGGGTAAGTGATCAGGATCTGACAAGTGAATGCTGCGGTGAATAGGTGTATTTGTCTTATCAGATTCTGACCACTTTTCGCTACACCCTAGTACAGCTATCGATCATTTCTTTTTACAGCCACCGCATTACCTATCCCTCCAGAGTAGGTGCCTCGCCCATGGTATTGTTTTCTTTCACTTCTCTCCTGTCCATGATAATTACATCTCCATATATAGCCTCTCCAATCCCACCTCTATCCGCATCTCCGTTGCCGACCACCACAAATAGCGGCTCCGCAATCATTGACCCATCCCACCGCAACCTGACTGCACCTGACTGCACCGCTGCGCACTCCTCCAATAGCCACCCCGATGCCTCGCAACCAACGAACCAACCACAATCACCTCAACGTCAACCTCAAAACCTGCTTCCCTGCCTACATACCCGGGATCACCGTTTAACAAACACCACCACACCACCCTGCCGTCATACCTAACCCTCCCCTCCCATCAGTCCTAAATATATCCCACCAACACCACCACCACCACCCACCACAAGCCCAGCCATAACCCCCATCACCGTCCACAAAAAATGCAGGCCTCCCCCACCGCCCCCACCGCTCCACAGCAATACACCCACCTCCACCGCGACGCCGCCGACCTCCCCCCGGCCCCCGCAGCACCCCGCGCACCACCACCCCGCACGAGCGCACAATCTCGGACCACGCGCTGTACCTGCTGCTGATGGTGGAGCGGCCGCTGTATGAGGACGTCTCGTCGAGCTCGAGCTCTAGCTGTGGTGGGTCGAGCTGTGGGTCTTGTTCTGATGGCGAGGAAGAGGAGGGTGAGGAGGGTAGTGGGGCTGGCGCTGGGAAGAAGGCGGGAAAGATGAAGACGAAAGAGAAGAACGAGACCGGAAAGACGACCACTGCGATGAAGCCGTCATTGAAGCGCCCCCTCGGTCCAGATGAGGAGAAGAAGGTGGGGAAGAAGCGGAAGAAGGTGAGCTGGGCGAAGGTCGTGAGTGTGAGACATTATCCGGAGGACTCGTATCCGGATGGGAGGAGGTTTGAGGGGAGGCATCGGAAGAGAGGCGATGGGGCGGAGGGGGGATGGTGGAGGGGGGAGCAGTAGGGAGGGTGGGTAGTGGGTAGTGGGTAGTGGGTAGTGGGTGTTTTATTTGTTTTCTACTTTTATTTCTTTTTAACTTTCCATTCTCTGCGCTTCTTTTCCTTCCGTTTGTGATGTTTTATTTCTTTCGTTATCAATTCTGGGTGCATGTGGGTTTTTTGTATTTCCGGCGTTTAATTCAGCTCGGTTGGCTATGGCTATGGGGGTCCCTTTCCTTTCACTTTTTTAAAGAAAGAAAAATACTGGGGGGGGGGGGTTAGGTATGGGAATGGATTGGATTGGAAGGCACGATCATGACCATGATGTGGTATTTACATTATGTACGGCCAGCTAGCTCGTTGATGGCAGTAGTGATTCTATTAACAAACCCAGTGCAGTGCAATAGTCCGGTTTTGGGATGTAACTTCTGAGGCAGGAGGGTTCATATACATATACAGCAAAAACCTATCCATCATAACTCCACCCACCACCGCGGTGGCCAAATTTTGCTAGGCGGATGGAATTTAGAGAGAGGTACTTCAATGTTAGCAAACCACAGACTTTTGTTCCCTCTGAGCGAGCGCTGGAGGTTTGGTGTGGATGGAATTGCGAGAGGGTGGGGTTATGATAGGTTTGGCTTTTCTCTATATATTCGGGAGGGAGATGGAGGTCGAGTAAAGCCAGAGAGAGGTCCAGCTCGTCAATGCTGTTTTCTTTGGGAGATAGAGAGACGCACAGGCTGTAGCTAGCTAAGAAATGGTCTAGATCTGATTGTACGAAGTGAGGGCTATGATAGTGAATGTGTATCATCAAGTATGGACAACATGCAACCTCTCCAATATCGACAGATAGAACCTACGGGAAGAACAAGTGTCAATTAAAGAGCACATATAGTAAACCCCACATCCCCATCCCATCTGACACGGTATATAAAACAGCTACATAGCTACCCAGATCAGATCAAGAAAGATAAGCTTATGAGAGCTTTCTTATATAATTGCGATATGCTTCACCGGAAACACCATGTACCACGTCCGGTAGCTACAGCCTCGGCGCCGTACGGCCTAAATATGCCAGACAAGATCTTCCAGAACTAACACGGCGCCCGTAGAATTCTCTAGAGAGCTGTACCAGTAAATCAAATGCAATACGGTACTTCCACCCCACCATCCCACCACACATCACCACCCCCGCCCCCGTAGTCTCCTATACTCCCAGTCTTAACACACCCTCTCAACCCAACCCACATACACACCTAGCTCACCTCACCTTCCCAGAGATCTATGATCTATCTCCCACCTCCATATCTCAACGGCACCCCCTCCCCCCCGGAAAACCCACCAACCCACCAACCCACCCCCTCCCCCCCTCCACCCCTCCTACCCATCCTCCCACGCCGACCTACCCGTCTTACTGTGATTACAAGTCTCTCAGCCTTCAATCGATATATTTAAGTCCCCGGTACGGAACCCTTAGCTTCCCCTCAGCTGCCCACCGGGGGTCCGAGTAACGCACCACATCACATCCACCACCTTCTAGCTCCAAAGCTAGCTCCAAAGCCGTCTCGCTGTCTTGCTATCGTTCTCTTATCTTAGATGACTGAGAGTGGCCGGGGGGTGTCAGCCCTACGGCGTCTATACATATCCATATCCATATCCATATCCGTAACTGCATTGCATAACCAGGTTGCGTCTTGGCTGTTCCTGGCAAGAGCTCCTAACCTGCATACATATCGCTCGATAGGTAGCTATAGGTAGTAGCCAATGACAAGAGCCCCGTATATCCATGCCATCGCCGCCCATTCGTGCGTGCGGGCATCATATCCCCCGGACTAGTCCGGACCTCCGGAGACAGCGCGTTATACCCGCTGGCGCCGCCGCGCCGTATCCCCACAAAGTCCGGACCAATTGCAATGCTGCGCGTATCGGATCTGATCTAGAGTAGCTATAGATCTTATCCTCGCCCACGTATGTAGAGTAGACGCATCCCCAGAACCACACGCAGCTCTGTTCAGAAGTACATCACATGACGCACTTCACAACTCCAACTTCCAGCGCAGGTACGGTACAGCGACGCTACATATACTCTACCCTACCTACCTACATGTACTTCTACGAGCACAACCCCCCCACCACACGTCTTACGTCCCGCCCCATCCATCTCCATCCATCCAGCCATACACAGAGCAAAGCGCGAGTACGTGTCCGTCTGCCAAAAACAAGCTCCACTCCCACGTTACACCAACTCGCATTCATTGTCGTCAAGAGAATAATCCGGAACCCACAAATTGGTGGTCACGTGACCACGTTTTCACTGGGCGCTCATTTCAGGTCGTGTTGATCTGGAGGCAGCGCTGGTTAGGTAGCAGAGTAGGTAGAACTTAAGGGATAAGGGGGGCAAATTCATCCTCGTTGTTGTCAGCCCTAGGTTTAAGTGATCTAGGCAGCAGCATAACTGTAGCAGAGAATATTCCGATAGGCAGGGCACTACCAATCTATTCGCGAACTGGAAACTGGCTGTGTAGAGTAGGTATTGTAGGTACTTACTGTGAGATGATGGGTTCATTAAGGACGGTGGGGATCGACGGTGATCGTTACACAACCCCCCGGAACTGCACTCGCACAAAACAGACCTACTTTTGCACGTGTATCTCGCTGGAGAAGTGAGGAAGGGGAAATAGTGAGCGAGGGACGAGAGAAGTGAAATCGAAGGGGGGGAAAAAAAACAAGCACATCAACGTAAGGCATTGCGTATTGGCGGCCCATCCCATCCATCCATCCCCCATCTACCTATTCGATCATATTCCCATCCGGTCCCAATCCATATTCATTCCCATAAGTCACCCCCGGTGTAACCAACCAAACCAACCTGCCGACCGTACCGTATCGTCGCGCCGGCCTGCCACTCCGCCGGAGAGCAAGCCTCCGAGCGCCGACCGACCGAGCGACACGGCCACTCCGCTTCGATTGATTCGTCAGGCACCTCACCCCGAGCGCTCAGGATTGGTTTGGTTGCGTTGCACGGTTACGTTGGTTGGTAGGTTGCGTTGCCCTTTTCCCAACCAATCACTGCGCGCGGACACGGAACTCCAGGAACTGACCTGGGCTTCCTTCCTGGATCGTTCTGGAAGTCTTACAAATTCATCGTATGGTGGATATGTATGGCTGGCTGCGAGATAACCTTAATGCGGCTCTCTTGTAGTCTTACGACGCGAACGCGTTGCCGACCCCACGGGTTTCCGAGGCAGGGGTGGCAGCCGGGGAGGTGGGAAGGCAGGCAGGCAGGCAGTAGGCAGGCAGGTAGACAAGCAGGTACTTACTTGCTCTAGGCAGGCAGGCAGGCAGGCAGAGACAGGGGAGGTAAATGTAAGGTAGGGATGAGGGAGGGGCTACACAACCATAAATTGGTTTTCGCTTAGGAATCACACACCTCTGCTTCTTCGTTTACGTCAACTTATCCCCCCCCCCCCCCCCTTCCCCTCGATACGACGGACGGCGGAGGCGGATGAGGTAGTGAGTGAGTGGTAGGTAGATAGACAGCCCCGGAGGGAGTGGAAGTGAGTGGTGGTAACCACGCATGGATAATGGATACGACCGGAAACCGGGGTGTTTTCTGGGAGCATTTAAAGCTTCGGCGGTTCCTCCCTTCGAAAGACTGTACACCCCCACCTCTCCTCAGCTCATAATCCGAAATCCTCCTCCTCCGTTCGTGGTTTCTCTTTTTCCTTTCTTCCTTCGGCAGCAAGTAGAACGTATATAGATAGGTATGCTATATGTGCCCCTCCTATCTCTGTCTGTGTAGCTTCAGGAAAACTAACACTAGCACAGAGAGATACACTTAGAGCCCGTAGTAGCAATGTCGCAAAGTCTCACAGCACCTCCACCTCCCTCGAGGATGTTATTCTACCACCCACGAACCTCACAGAAGCAGCTCTCAATAACATTATTCCTCAACCCCGTACCCACAAATACCTACTGCGGTCCCACTCCTCCTCCGGCTCCGCGAATAAGCAGACTGCCAACGCCGGATATACCAGACGCACCAGAGGGGATGTTTTCATATTTTGACTTTGACCCTCAACGGAGTTGATTCGAGGTAGGCCCGGTTTTTATTTTTCCCGCGAGAGCTCGGTAGCGTTGTTAGTGCTAACTCCGGCCCTACATAGAACTATGTAGATCTTCACCAGGATCCTCATCTTGGGCGGGTTGGGTTTCTTTGATTGGCGCTTTTCTTTCTTTTTGGGCTCAGGCGTTCGGGTTCGGTTCTTGTTTTTTTGGCTCTCTCCATCTTCCTTTTGTTCTTGGAGCAGGCGGTCGGTCGGTTGGGATTTTTTATACTCTTCTCAGCGCATTATCATTCTCACCTCATCATTACACTATTATTATTATTATCATCTCCCCCACCATTTCAACTCACTCTATATGGCGTATTTATCCTTTGTAAAACTGTGTCTACCTTCAGCTATACACTCCACACACAATCAATATTAGTCAAATCATTGACCCAAGAAAAAAAAAAGGCGCGAAAGCAATTCTACCCACTCTCCATTGCAACCCCGCAGGAGGGGAGAGGAAAAAAAATTTCTACATCAGATGACACGAACAAGCCCACGTCTAGTTGCGTTGCACCCATGACGTACCGTCGACATGAGGCTCAACAGACAGTTGCCAAGACTGCTAGTGAGAGTTTTGTCGTGTGTATGTGTACCTGAGCTCTCTGCGGGGAACCACCACCAATGGGTGAAGAAAAAAGAGAGAGAGAGAAGGAAGGGGGAGAATGGAGTACCTTAAACGATGTCTCATGTAGGGGGGACAACAAGTGCAGGGACCAATTTCGTCCGATCTCGTGAAAGTGCGGGGATCGGTAATGACGATAATTGAGACTAGAGGTGAGTTTCAGGTTGGCTTGTGAAATGAGAGTCTGTAGGCTCGTGAGAGAACGTGTGCTGGTCATGCGAAAGAAGGCTCCGGTGCGCATGGCGAACGAGCGTACGTAGTTCCCTACTTGACAGGTCAGTATAATAACCACATCTCGGAGCAACAACTCGACATTAGGAACATGTACTCTACCCACCCGAAGCAATTATTTCTCAATGGACACCTCAACCCGGCGTCCCGAAGTCTCCAACATAGACAGCGAATCTCCCTATGCAAAGACCGAGTATCTCCGAACCAGTAACCGTATTTACGGGAATCCTGGTACTACATGGAACCTAGGTATTGGTGTCAGTAGAGTATCAGTGCACGGACTGCGGGAGAGCTACGAAAGAGGGCTATCTTCCCTGATTATCATGGGTCCGATAAAAAAAAATTGATACTTATCCAGTGCGAGAGCTCTTATCATCAGGTGTGTTTCTGCTGCATGGCGCTTCTGTTCCAGTTTACCAAAGGACGAACAGTTGGCAGCCTTCACTGGTTCTCGCTTGTGGGGGCAGTGTAGATCTCCTCTATTCGGGATGACAGCCAGAGCGGGGGGCCTCCGAGTGATCAGAAGGGTGCAAAAGCTCAAAGTTGCTGTTTAGCTGGCATTGGACGGTGTTGTAGCTGAGTCGATGCGGGTTTATCTGAATTAAGGCCCGTGAGAGAAGTGAGGTGCCTCGAGCTAGGGAAAATCACTGAGTGCTCTGAGCTGCATGATAGAAGTCTCCGTTTTGAAAGTTACCCAAGCACATTTCGATTCGATATCTGCCCGGAATCCGAATGAGATGAGGAGGTAGGAAGGGTCGGAAAGCATTGGTGCCCCATGAGGAGTGGAGATAGACAGGTACTTGTAAATACCTTAGACACTGTGCTGTGGTACACAGTTGCAGACAGATAACGGATATCTCATGGGTTAGGGTTACAGGGGATTTTCGAACCCTTCCTTCAAATGCTGGTAGCATATCCGCATAATCACATGCGATCCCCAGCAAACAGGACGTCGCGATTTCTTTATAATGCACGTGCCGTAAGACACGGGTAGTCAGTCACCTTCCAACCTCGTCTAATCACTTTGCAAATCAATAATATGAGTGCGTACTACATGTATGTAGTATATCCACCGAGCTTATTACTGAAGATATGGAACATCGGCAGCGTTCAACATCATGATTTCTTCCTTGTGGAACACCTCTGATACTCCGAAATAGAAGCAAGAGAATGAAAGTAATCATTCCGAGTCACTGCAATCTGGCTAGCAAGAAAATATATTAAACACAGACATATTCTGTCTATGCCAAGAGCTCCTGTATATCCTCAAGTCGTAGCTTTAGATTGACAAATCTACAAAGCTTGATTATGATCAGAGAGCTTTCAATGAAAACAAAAACGCCTCCCAGGAAATATCAAATATGATGACATCCTAATTGAAACCATTTCCAACAAGGAACAGATACAAGAAAACATATCCGCCGACTACTTCTCAGCGGTGAAAGTAACCGGCTTTTTCTGCCCGAATTCAAATCCAACACTGAGCTTTTGAGGGACGGAACCTTCCATTCCCGAACGCTCCTCAGCAGCCTTCGCGGAAGGTGTGATCTCCCCGAACAGAGTCAAGTTCTTAGCAAGAGGAGATTCATGAGTATGCTTAGCCTCCTTTTGCGAGTCAGCCTTACCGCGAGCTCTCATGACCATCATGAGCTCTTCGAGCACATCATAGAGACGGCTGATAACAGCCATTGGTGGAAGATCGTCCTCAAACAATTCTTCACAATTGGAGCCATGAGTAGCGTCCGAAGTGAAAGAGTGCACGGAGCCAGCTGGCTCAGCGGTCGAGAAAACATATCTGGTAGCGGTCAGTGAGAGTCCGGGTTCAAGAATTTTAAGTGATGAGGTGTCATACCCCCCACCAAGGTAATCAAATCCATTAGCCATGGCGTACGTGGGGACTATCCTCCTGCTCGAATATCAGCATCGAGAAGTCATGCACAACGGATCTTGGAGTACTTACACGTTTCTTCTCATTTTATCTTACTTGATAAGGTAGACAAATAAGTGATGAAGACGATGGTATTAGGATTGGTGAAGGTCAACGAGATCTTTTCACAACAAGGAGAATTAACGTTAATAATTAACCCGAGCGCAAGAAGTCATGTAAACTTGGGATTCTTACCGCTTTTGCTGTCTCTCGGCGATAGGGCGCAGAACAATTTAGAAATTGAAGTTTAAGGAGCAGGTAATTATCGATATTTCTCAGGACGATAGCGGAGAGGAGAAGAAGGAGAAGAAGGAGAGGAGAAGAAGAGAAGAGAAGAGAATGAAGAGAAGGAGAGTCCCGAGAGGCAGGGTGAAGTGGGGAAATTTTCATGTACTACGTGTGCTCTCATATGTAGTGCACATAATACGTAGCATTAATAATAATCTTCACAATTTCTACTGCGTATACATGGAGAGAAGAAACAATTTAGGGACTTATTTTCGTGGGTCTTGGCATTCGAGTGATGTCCTGTGAAGCTAAAGTTTACACTTGTGACCGTGAACATTCATGCAGCTTTTCAAATTGCCGACAACCTATAATTGAATATGTTAATAGATTATATATATCAAGTAAGACCTTAATAAAATGAGACATTTTGATAAAGCGCAGGTTTCTCGAAGTTAGGGTTTGTTTATGTAAGGTATGGGATGACTGAAAGTTTATGAAATTCACCGAAACAATTGCAACATAACAGCTTTGATTAGTGGTTCTAACTGTAACTAAATTCCCTTGCTAAAGATGGTGCTGTTTTCTGTTTCCTCTCTTTCCCGGGATCAAATATTGCATCCCATGCTAATCAAGCTGAACTAGCCGGACCGTACTCAATCACCCCCCACCTACCACTACAACTCTACGTGCCAGCTGCTCAACAACCGATTTTATATCTTGTATTATCCACTGCGGAATTATGGACAAACACAATCCGATCCATGGGGACTTTCCGTGGTGGCAGGGAAACAGGTTATATTCTTTGGATGACTTCTATCAGACAAGAATATACCCCACGCAGTCGTTCGACTCTCCCAACACCGAATCAGCTAGAAGATGCTAATACAGGTGTATATAGTTGACATTTCCGCTACTCATATGCCCATTTATGAAACCTATATGCAGCTAAAAAAAAAAAAAAAAAGAAGCCATAACTCAACCACTTGAAAGCATATAAAAGCCCGAAACTTTCATGATAGAGGAAGATCATTCCAAATACCGAACAGATCACCTTCCAATACCCCTCCACGATGGGAGCATAACCATCATAGCCGGTTCACATACTGGATGGATATGTCCCATAACCAAACCAGTCATAAAACCTACCACCGGCGGGGCCTTGGGTGCATCATCTCTGGCATCGTCAACTCCGACTCTACCTCACGCCTCCACCGCCGCTGTATCTCCCACGCAAGCATCGACTCCGGCGGACAGTTCGGCACCAGGAGCCGGCTCAATCTCTCAACGATCCTCGAGTCAATTGTCGTATCTACTCTGAGATCGAAGGCCGCTCTGGGCTCGACATTAGTATTAACCTTGGCAGAAGATGCTAGACTTGGGATATCCTTGGGGAATATCGGGGTCAATGGAGAGATAGGGAGGTATCTGGTTGCAGCCTCCTTCTCTTCAGTCCGCATAGCGGCAGCGTGGAGGTGGTCGAGCAACATGCGGCCCCGAGGATCCCGGAGACGGTTAGGCGAGGGCTGGACATAGTGAAAGACATCAGGGTTGCGTTCGTGGGCGCTGGCGTCGAGATGAATGCGTCTATCCGGGCTGTCATTGCCTTTCATTTGGGGAACGTAAAATTGGGGGTATCCGGACGAGTAAATGCTGGGCTCGTTCAATTTCGAAGCGACATGTTTATAGGTGCTGGGGTCGAGATGCCTGCGGCTATCAGGACTGTCCTTCCCTTGGCCTTCGGGAACCCAAGACTGGTGATAGTTAGGTAAGTAGATGGGGGGCTCGTTCGACTTTGCTGTGAAAGTCGTATGGGTGCTAGCGTCCAGATGTATGTGTCCATCAGGACCACTACCTTGCCCTTCGGGAATCCAATATTTCGGATCTTCGGGTGAGTAGATGCGAGGCTCATTCGACCTTGGGATGATGGTGTATGGAGCCCATTGCGCGTACCCTGGGGGCAAGTCCAAAAGGGGTTCATTAAACCTCTTGGTTGCAGTGGCCGGACGGGGCAGTCCGCCGCTGACTTTCGGTGCAGGAAGAATCTTCTCTACCATATGGCCCAGCAACACACCGGGCGAATGAGCGGCATATGTATCCTGAAGATAGACTGAGCTGGGCCACGGAGGTCTATAGTAGCAGTTGGTCAGTTAGGTTGGAGTGCTCACTGATTTCCCTGGGCGGGTGAGAGTGAGGGGAAGGGGAGGGGGGGAGTCATACGTGTGAGAATTCTGTGTTTTGTGGGCAGGGACTGACTCGAAACAGTAACTTTCATTCCTGTACATCCCATAAGGGGCGTAGGAAGCGTCTTCATACCCTATTTTCACACCTGGAGTTGATGTGGGACAAAATATGGTGCTTTCGGGGGTGTACATGCAGGGAGGCATGTCAGTGGTGAGGAACACGGAGTGAGGGAAGAGTAAGGGAGGGAGGGGAGTGGTAGTTGTAGCGGATGGATAAGACTGGTTGAACTTCTGCGTTCCTAATGACATACGTAGACTCATCGTTCACGCATAGAATGCATGGCGCTGGTGTGGACGTGATCACCGACCAGTCGAGGGCATCACGGGATATCACTCGTGATATGCCAAGAGCGAGGTTTGATATTGTGAGGGTATACTCACTGGATATAGTTAAAATTAAGCCTGTAGGAAATATTCCATTCACAGCGATTTTTCGGAGCATGTGTTCAATCACATTTAATGCAGCGAGGAGAAGATGCGTCTGGTTGGTCAAGCTACCCGCGTCCCCCGCGGGCGGGATGTGTTTCCCCAAGTGAGGGGCCTAGGCGGGCTCTACGACTTGAGAATATTATTTATAGGCGATTATATTTTTGCGGTAACGATAGGACGCACAAATGGGAGAATCTGGGAATCAAAATTATCTTTAGCGACGGAATGACGTCAAGACCAGAATAGGAACTGAGGTAACGGTCCAGGTGTTACGTGCATATATCATGCATGAAGACACACAATAACAGGGACCGGCTGCATGCAAAAAAGTCGTATAATACCAATAACGTACGTTATAACTAATGGCCACACGGCATTGAGAATTGAAGTTGTTCCTCGGTCGATTTCCCGGTTGGCCAAGGGGACGAGAGGAGGTCAGGGGTACTCTTCGGGTAAATAGACTGGTTTACGTAGATGGTGGTTTCCCTTCCAAGGAAAACCTCTTTCCTGGCGCGTTCTATTCCAGTGAACTTTCATTTTTATCGTAATAATTCCGTCGAGTGATAATCCATGACCCAGCGTTCAACGGTTTTCTCGGATTATCATTTTGTTATCCTAGTAAATATAGTCTCCCCCTTATGGCACGAAAGAGAGCTAATGAATGATACTTGAAGAAATTGTTTATACCCGGGACGACAAATCCTAAGAGCAGATGTAAGGACCACTTCTGCATGGCTTATATGATTTCATGTACATGTCCTTGCGACTGGTGGTCTCGGAGGTCGCAAGAAAAAGCTAGTGTTGAAATTTTAACTAGAGTAGGTATACCATGAGAAGTTAAATATACAGATTCTGAGGACTATCACTACAACGAGTTACAGCAAAAGCTTGGTTCAGGGCTTTCTATAAAGGGTAGACACCCTTCAACGTTTAGAGTATGTATCGCAAGCTTTCTTTTTTAGTGATAGAAATCGCGTAGACCTCTTTATCCTGAAGCATAACCCCAAACGAACGTATAATCAAAGTCTTCCACCGTTTTTTCAACGTTTAGTACGGGATGATAATACTAAAGCCTATGTCCAGTACGTACGACATCCAAGTGATATGAGTCTAGCTAGGAAAAGAGATTCCAGTTTATCCTCGCACATTCTGGGCAGAGTTCAACAGGCTGAAAATTGTTCATATACGTTTCTTTGCATGTTTTGACTGATAGGACAGCTGGGAGGCTTTTGGTTGGAAACGACAATTCACACTCAATGGTACCTGGGTTCAGCGTTTCAGACCTTTTCCGAATGGTATCCGAGTCACTTCCCATCGGAAACCGTGGTATAGAACTCCTTTCCCCTTTCATTAGAACTGTACATACTGGCTGTATTGATTATATGGAGAGAGGTATTTCCTCACTTTAATCCACAATTCAATCTGGTGAACGAACAAGTCTTGATACCCCTGGCGGGATTCCTTGCCAAGAAATTAGCAAGGCGGGAAGATGTGGCTACCCTGAAGAGAGTGAAATCTGGTTGGGGTATATTCCGCCAAGGATGACACGTCCCTCTTTAGAAGGATTAAAGGGATCATACAGTTCGGAAGTTACGTGCGTTCAGTTCCTTACATGTCTTCTTTCTGCTCCTTCCCCATCAAATATTTTTTCGTCTCCTCTGCTTCATCGAAACAAAACACATCCTTGATATCTTCCATGATTACTACAAGAAAGTCACATGTTTCCTCCACTTTCCTATGGAGCCGTATACGGTTGTTTGTTCCACGATAGAGGTAAGCATGGAGTTAGCACCGGATTGATTAATTCGTCACGCAGATCGGGACCGAGCTCTAATATAGTAAGTCAAAATATTCCATAAGATCATGAAAGGAGATAAAGGCCAGGCTTAGCAAGCACACGTTCACACGCAGATCAGAGTGATTGTCACAGATGTCAAGTCGTAAGAAACTAATACAAAGGAGTGTTTTTCTAATTACGCATGAAAAGGCACAGATCACGCGAAGAAATGCAGAGTACTAGATTGCTTCCGACGTAAACAGCCAATCAAGAAATGGTTTGGGGATAGCATTGATGCCCTAGCACAGAACTTCTAGATATGTTCTCTGCAAGCCCCCACCGCAAAAGAAGAAAAATGTCTGAAAGGGTGCACTTTGGTATCACACATATCGATATCATCTGGCAGTGAAGCAGCGCTACCACTTTACAGAAAAACAGAATGGACAAAATAAGACGCCAACAAAAACAGAGAAAATAGCCCCCAATACTTGCCCTCGGCTAGGGAATGTTCAAGGAAAGCGGGAAAGAAACGAACATCAAATCTTGCTCCGCAACCCGGCAAATCAGGGCAAGCAGAGAAAGGACGGTCACTATGTGCCTCGCTAAATATCATATAGCGGTGGTGGGGCACCCCGCACGGCAGCTCAGCAAGCTAGGACAGACCTCCAATCAAGTTTGGGGACGTCGATTGGCCAATGAGTTTGGGGGCGTCGGTTGGCGAATGATGTGCCAGACGTTTGACACCCACAACGACAAGGGATCAGGGACGAGGATGAGTCGGTATTCAGAGTACCGATTGGTAAAATAACGATGCAGTAACCTCACAGGAGGATACCTAAGGGTGAATAGATCACCTATGCCTAAAGTCTGAGGGGTTACTTGTCTGCATCTAGAAGTATGTTAGCTGAAAGCCCTAAGTCCGGTGGAAAATCGATTTGGTGAATCGGGAATAACCTCGGGGGGGAATGGTGGTCATACTTCTTAAAGAATCATTGAGGAGAATATGTCCATTTCCTTCAGCCCTATTAGCCTCGATTGAGATATCTAATGCGGGGTTCGGCCCATGGGGCTTCTTTTCCTTGCCCGGAGGGCGGGGGGAAGAGAGTTGTTCGATTATGTTGTATCGCTCGTGTAAGAGTAAACCAGCGGAGAACGCCACACCACCAGGATGAAGAGAGAGGGAGGGGCCTCGATAGATGCCACTCAGATGTTGGTGATGGAGCCCCGGATCATCCAGCTATGTATCAAAATCGTCTCCTTCTTGGTATGATATTTGTCCAGTGCGCATGGACTGAAAAGAAGAGGGGGAGGCGAGAAAATACAGTCCAGCATCTGCGAAAGATTTCTATGGATCAGGGGTAGGCTCCGGGGAATGCCTTGCCTGAACCGAAACCTCTACAGGGCTTCTTAGACTCTGAGGATATGGCGACGGGTAGTTATTGGTCCATATCTGGGTGGTAATGACAGTGGAGTAGCCAAAGTACTATTCTAGCTCCAAGCTGCTTAGGGTGTCAGGCAATGTACCAAGATATAAATATAGCGGGGTATACTTTACACTTGCAGTTTCCAAAGAAAACAGTCAGGAAAGCGTGTATATTGATAAACCTCTTCAAACCAGTGTTGATGCGTTGGTGGGATTCTCTGGAGAATAAACTGTTAGTCTAGCCACCTTTGATTTGGGCCGGTCAGAGAGAACTGACAGAACGTCCTCCATAGCTTAAAGGGACGGCATTTTTTTTCAGATACACTATACGAATACCAGCAAAATAAGGACCCATTAATGATAGCCAGATTGATGAAACATACTCTCCCCTTTCGGATTTAGAAACTAGAACCATGGTAAATCAGCAACGACGAAGTAACTTGAGTGAATTTTGAGAGAAGCTCACAAATATATCTTCTAAATCGTGCCCCAAGGCAGGCAGTGAGAAATCTCGCTGGCCAAGGACCCAGCAGAATGCTTTACCACCAAGCCAAATGTCAGCTACGCATATATATGTATACCGACTTCTAGAAGTATGTCAAACGATAGACTGACCTTAGTCAATGTTGTTTTCTGTCAGGAAAGCCCATGAATATGCTCAGATTCAAGGTATTCCCATGAAATTAAAACGAAGGATAGCCATTCAAAATAATGGCTAGAAAAGACCTTTGTTTCTGGATGGAAATACAAGAAATCCAAATTCCGAAAGGTCGTGGGGAGGAATGGTGGGTGGCAGAGCTCCTTCTCTCAGACACGTTGTAAGGCGAGCAAAGTTCCCGGTTAACCTCCGTTGAGGTAAGGATAAGGATAAAAGAGGGATATATGATGAAGAACGCAGAAAGCAAGAGCAGAACAAAGAGGGAACGACGACGGAAGAGGTTTATATACGGGACAAAGAGGAAACGTATGGTCCCTGTACCTTCAGGCTCTCCAGCCGGTTCTAGGATACGTGCTCGGAACTTGTACCATCACGGATGGATGATATGCGGAGTGTTGATGTATAGGCCGTGTATCCACAAGGATGTGGTTGTACATGCCCAGTAAGAGGCCGAGTGGGAGGTGGGGGGATTTTAATACCGGCCCCTGGATATAAGGTTTTTTGAATTCGGGAGGAGGTAGACTTTTTTCTCTGAGGTCTCTCGGGAGATGAACTAGAAAAATATCCCGAGTCCCAAATATTAAGCTTCCGGTTCTGAATGATCAAAGAGCCTCTTGCAAGGGTCTCATGGGATTACGCGGAACTCTTCGACGCGGTACCTAGGTTGAGTCTGGAATGGTAGCGGGAAAGGAGAGGGGGGGGGGGGGGGGTGTGGAAATATCACGTTTACCTTTGCCGCGTACGTAGAAACCTATATAAGCGGCAAGTTATCGACGTATCTAACCTAATACCCGGTAATAGCTGGACCAGTGTGTACGCAGTTATGGTAGCTGGAAGAAACAGCTCAATAACATATTAAAAACATCTCCTACCAGACCACAAGCGGGGCTATACATATACAATTTCTGCCAAATTAGGATTGATTGTCGCTAGAACCTATAACTATATGTCCTGAGGCAGCGGGTTTTGCAATTGTTCTTGAGAACCAGATGGACGGGCGTTGGATGGATATAAAACGAATGCTCTCATCAACTGTTAATAATATAAGAGAAAAGTTTTTAAATTTAATTATATTTGATATTGATAACTGAGTTAGAACAGGATTGAAATGGTAATTGAATGAGAATAAGAAAAATGTCGAGAATGCCTCGAATAGGTGGATGAATGTATGAGTTTGAAGTATCTGAACAGCTGATAAGTACCGTTTAGGTGGAAGCCACGATGAACTATTTTGCTGTACTATACTTACATTTCGTGTTTAGTACAGGATTCCCTATAAACATGACTGCTATTTGGAATTTGTTCAGACCAAATCGTGTTTTACTCTAAAAAGCAAATATATGAGCCCATCCACAAAAGGTTTAAGCGCAGAGTGCAATTTCTTTTTTTGAAGTTTTGCAGGGTGAGTTGTACACTGACTTTCTTAAGGGAGGGCACATCATACCCGCAATTGTGAAAGTAATTTGACTTGACCTGTGTGTGCTAGTATGTATCTAATCTTTTTCACTAACATCGTGGAACTCATGTCTCGTATTACATGTACTTTATGATCTGAAACATGCTGTTGACGTGTATACAAGTACATCCACTGCCTGCAAAAACTGTCTAGGTGGGGCAATCCAGGCCGAACTACTACCCAATACCAAGACCTGCACGTGGACATATCTTTGGTGCCGTTACACCTCACAGTTTTCCAACCTATTCATTGGATTTTAGCGGCACTCTTTGCTTACGTGAGGAAGTACCATCATCACTCACTTATAACCTCGCCTCAACCTTGTCGGTCAAACCGGACAACTTCTTTCAGCCCGGAAATCACTCCCAACTTAAAATGACACAACCATAGACTCCCATTATTATGAATCGTACGACTGACAAAGTCCACGTTTTCTAACGATTTCTTCAAATATCTGCCAAACGACCGGGAAACAGGGCGATCACTGACCACCCTCAGAGGAGAGGAGCTACCAAGGTAGCCTTAATATACCTATACCAGTGCCATCTAAGTTCATGTATGCCATCCTAATATCGTCCCTAGATTGTTTCTTAGTTGTCCGCTAAAGTAGCGCGAATGTACGTATACCAACTTTCCACTTCCATATTCATTGAGTAGATATAGACTTACAGAAAAGTCAAGCAGTAATAGCATATCCCACGGACCTCTCCATCAAGTCCATTACTAGGTTAACGATGCGAAATAGATGGATTTGATATACGTTGAACAGGTAGGAAGTGCACTACTTTAAAAGCGGTTATACGTGAAGTTATTCATAAAGAGAGACTTAAACTAAACGAAGGTAGTAACTATAAAACGAGCGAAATATAAAAAGTTGTGTGCAGCACCGATGATAACTTTCCTGCCAGTCCAGCACAACATATAAAAGGACTATCATGTAATCTTGGCCCATCTTTCCAAGAATCCCGGACGGTTAATATTCCAGATTCGGTCATTAGTTTTGAACGTCGCTTCATCCTCCTGGACGCCAAAGAGCCACATTATTTGCTTCCATGTGTAGCGGTTTTCCCATAATACTTGTGTGATGCATGTGTACTTTGGGTGAATCGGATGCATTCTTCTCGTTGGTGGTTTATTGAAGCACGCTTCACCTGGGCTTGGAAATCCGTCCCGTACGTATGATTGTTCCATCTCATCATCCCCAGGAACTGTAACATGGTCTTCAAAGGCCACAAAGTACTGGAGTCGAAGGTAGTGATAGTTATCAGTGGGGACCGGTCGCTGATGCCTTGGCGTTTCATTTACGCAGTTCATAAACACCATGGAGTAATATTTGTTGCAGACGCCACCGAAGGTAATCGGAATGTGAAACCGTTGTCTGAATCTGAGCATGACTAACACAAATGAAGGTGCGGTGCTTCCCTCCAGGTTGATATTAGATTCAAGCCATGCGTGCTGTTCAGCGGACAAACCTGCCGGGACATCAGGAGCGGCATGGCCGGCAGGGGTGATGGGGAGAGCGGGAGTGTTGATGGAAGCAGAGACAGTTCTGCCCGTTTGAGCGCTAGAGGAAGGCGGACCACTGGGGTCAACTAAAATGATATTTCCCCGCCGTGCCTTCTTCTTTGGCTGGGTTGCTAATCGAAAAAAATGTTAAAAATTGACTGCGACTGAGTGGTAGAAAATTCGATGCGTACCTCCTTTGCCGGCGTGACGACGTTTACGGTTCATTTTACCTGTCAACTGAGAGACCTCTGGATTTCTAGATTTTGTTTTTTTGAGCACGCCTAGATGTCGGTACCCGCGGGGTGGGGTATCCTTGCGGGCGCCTTGGTGACAAGCTTCGTGGTAAAAGCCTGTGAATAAAAGCTGTTGGAGTAATCTCAAGGCAAAGTCCGTGAGCGGAAAGGGGAGGGCGACTTCCGATGGTGTGGGAAAGGATGGTAAATTGTTTGTGTTTTCTTATAAACTCTGGGTATGTAGTGGCACTTCAACGTACGATATGGTCTGTGGCCCGGAAAGAGTAGGTGTGGGTGAGTTAGAGGTGAAAATTAAGAAGGGTTGTGGAGTGTTTGGAAGACTAGTTGAGACAGGAAGATGTGAGAAGAGTTGAGAGGGAGAAGGAGGGTCGGTAGTGGGCTTTTAGTGAGACAACGTCGACAGACACTCTACAATGTTGTAGAGAGAGCTACACGACTGGTGTCTCTTTAAACAGGAAAGGCTCGCTTGTGGACACAGCGGATAGGGAGTGGGTGTTTTTCTAGAGAGGGGTTTTATTGAAAGAGTGAGGAGAGGGTTGTTGCGAGAGATAGGACCCTAAAGAGGTGGTGACCTTGCTGTTGACTAGAAAGTTGTTCAGGTTCAAACCAACGTACAATTAACAGACCCAATGTTTCGTTAGTACTGCGCCCGCCACCGCTACTTGTCACTTATGATCCGATGCGACACAACGTCAAGTGAATCTGAAAGCAATACCGGCATCCAGAACACACTACCTTGGGACGTGCGAACAAGAACCATAATGACCTTTATTCTCACTAATTTTGGTGTCCCGAGTACCGTCGTTTGATCAAGACCTTTACTATGATTGATAAAATAGACGAATGCACTATTTATTCCTCGGAATAAGAAAAAAAGAGAAAGAGAGTGAGAAAGAAAGTAGGAACCACCCGTGTGCATTCCCGGCATAAAGCCGCAAGAGGAGTCGATTCCCACCGTCATGATAATCTGAGACTAATGAAGACCAACCTCATTTCCATCGAGGACGTCTCGTATGTCCTCAAGTCACCGTATGAAAATTTATTCTTCGGGTTTAAATTTAATTACAATGTACAATATATGTATCGCTGACACTTACTTGAGGGATAGAGAACAAACTTTGAGAGAAGAGCTCGAGCATTCAAAGTTATAATCACTAAATATATCTTTCAATCTTTAATATCCCACCCTGGATTCGAGCAGGTAGGTCATCAGAGTTTTGATTGAGAATTGGGAGGCTGGATTAGCCAATATTTCTAAGAGGCCGAAACGAAAACTGACTGTTGTTGTGGAGATAGAGTTCCCGGCAGAAATATAAGGGAATTATCTCACTAGGGAAAATCATGTTACATCAGTCTTTTAGTTGAGGAGGCTCATTATGGGATTTACCTCCCGAATGCTCATAACGGTTTCTCCACAAGTTTAAGATCGGATACCGGGAGCCCGGCATCCACGACAATCAGATTACCATATCCTCCGCATGATCCTCTACCCGGCCCCTGGTGGGAGCCGGAGATTGAAATCCCCAATGGAAAGAGTAAGTTAGCCGCTACATACTCGTTTTTCTTTCTACATATAGATATTCGAAGAAAAGGTGCGTGGTTAAGGCATTATTATGATAACAGTATTACTAATAGGCGGGTGAGTCTTTTTAAGAGCTCTTGGAGCGGCTATGGCCTTTAGCATACGGTGGGGCCCGGGGGGGGGGGTGTTATTCTTTAGATCTTCGCACTGTCGTAATGATCGATATTTCCTTCGCATTTCTCCACCAAAGTTTAATAAGTATACATACGTTACCTAACTACTAATATAATCTTCCTGAGAGGTAATTCTCTAAAACTAGATACGTACATTCCCTCCTAACCTTCTTCGGGGGGTCTCTGATAGAGTTACCAGCCTCCGGCTACCTCAGCCATTGGATACATCTCTTCCCTACCAACAGGTTCTTTGACTTAAGAAGGACCAACCCCCCATCTCCCCGCAATTTATGATATATGCATTGAATATCATAGATTTCACAATTCAAGCCCACCAAAAGAAAGTACTGGTGGGGTGCTGCCATAGTGATCCTTTCAAAGGCGATAAAGAGTGGGGGATTATTTATAACTTAAGATCTTGTGCTGAATTTGTGGCCGTTGTGGAGGGCTATTTTGTGAGCTACAAGATTCTTAGTTCGCCACAGCTTTAATAATTAATATTTGGGGGAAATAGAACCACGCTTCTCCGCGTACGACGAATATATTTTCTATATGGACCCTGATGCAATACACGTTACACTACTACAAGACTACTACGGAAAGGTCTATCCTTCGAGAGAGTTAGAATATACCTATTATAGAGGGGAAACTTATATAAAAGGTCTTAAATATACTTTTACTAATTCTTTATAGATCTTTCGAGTAGACCACATTATCCAACACAAGCTTCGGGAGTACAACCTACCCCTCGCACTTATCGAGTAAAGAAAGAGTACCATGCAAAACAATACTAGAAATCTGAGCACTCTGTTACAGCTTACATATATTATTCTGGGAATGCGCAGGTCATAAAGGAGAGGCTTATGGTACCTTTCACAAATTTCCTAATATAGAATTTCCTAATATATAAAAGGTCAGCACGAAAAGAAATTTCGCAAATGGCGGGTAATGATTAGTCCTGCATCCAGGCTCCCGACATACAATGTTAAGGGTGTACTAGAATATATATGCCGGAACAGCCCTTCAACAAAATGATTGTTCTCTTTACTCCGCCCGGGAAAGTACTTCCAAAGTCAAGAAGGTCCCAGGGCAGAGCAGCAGGGAAAAGAGAAACGTAAGGATTTATTTCATTTCTCAACCTGGTTCGAATTGATTGTATAAATTAGTATAAATTGAGATGGCCATGCAATCATGAAATGACTCCAGTTAGTAAGAAGGGATGTATAATACTGCGGCAGACAGCACTTCTGCGTACACAGTGCCCAATCCTACTAAGGGGGCTCGAGGATATGGGTTCAAACATAATTATAGCACGGAAAAAGGCATGCCCTGGTAGTGTAGTGGTTAACACACCAAAAACTCAGCACGTAGGTTTAGAGCTGTGAGGAGATCTTGGGTTCGAATCCCAACCGGGGCAATATCAATTTTTTTCTTCTGATCCTGGGGTGCTGTCCCTCCCGACTTTGGGCCGACACCAGCAACTAGTGGAAACCAGTACAGTATATTTGATAAGCGTTAGTACTAAATCGAGCTGTGGAATTCTCGCATACCATTACCACCTTCCACTCCAACGCCCACTGCTGCCCTGGCTCACTGTTCATATAGAAGAGATTTAGTTTCGTTTCTTAAACTCGGGCTACCACCACCCGTCAGGACTCGGGACCCCCGATATATAAAGGAGAACGCTGTTTGTCTATAAAGAAAAGAATGGGAGAAGAATGGAGAAGAGGAAAAGGGACAGATGAGACCGAGGAAAAAATAAGAAAACGTGACAAAGTTTAAGTTTCCTTCCACTTTTCTCTTCTTCTGGGCACAATGAGCCGGTGCCTTCTTAGAATTAAAATCCATTGATTCTCTTCTGATCTATGTCGGGCACGAGTGTGGAAACCTAGTGGGTATCGTTATTGAAACCGTGGGAGTTTATAGAAGAAAATTCGACATTCGAACTCGGTCTTTTCCTGGGTTCTCTTGTTTTTTTGTTTTGTTTTTACAAGCTGATAGGTTTCCAGAGGAGTCTCTGATCAGGCTCCCAGGTATAAATACGAATATTGGATCATAATATCAATAAATCATATTTCAAATAGCCACGGATTATAATCAGCATTTCTTTCATAACTACATATATTATCTGGCTATTTCAATCTAATTCGAATAAGAACACATGGTATGACGGAGATACATGTATATGTATGTGGTATATAGCAATCTGCCAAGCCTGAGTGATAAGCTATGGACGAGTGATCCGCTATGATTAGGCAATTCATGTACCTATAACCCTACAACAGAACTGGGAGAGAGGCATTTCGGAAGATTGATATGTGTTCTTTGTTATGATTGAAGAAGAATGTTATAATAAAGGTACAAGTTCAGTCTTTTCAAAGGCGTTTGTTTCCGTCGAAAGGCATAAATGGAAGTGCTCTGTTATTGTGATCACGTTCGTTGTAATCGTGAGTTTTGTTGTCAAACAATTCCAGTTCCAATTTCCGACAAGATCTGAAGAGAAAGAAAGTAGCGGGCGGGAGGATCGAATGAAAGAGATGGAAGGAAGATCGGGGGAGAAGATAACGGAGCGCGAACAAAAGATGAAAGGTGACGACAAAGATGCAGAAACGAAACAAAGATCAAGTTCAATTATGAACAAAAAGACAACACAGTGTTTGCCATGGGAAGTTGCAGCCAAGTACTGGTTATATACATGTACTTTGATGGAGTTGGTTTAATGCGTAAATTGTTCCGCTTTGGATGTAATATGCTTGTGGTTCGGGCTTGTATTATTATTCTTACTGTACAATATTAGCGAATATTCGAGAATCTGTATAATTTATAAAAGGCGTACTCAAGACTGCTAGAACCGGAAAGAATATAACAAGAACACCCCTCCTCCGGCCATGTCAGAATAATGGAACCTAAAATGTCGCTTCAGAACCACCCATTGTCTTCACTTGACACAACACCAGAAGATCAGGCTAAAAGGGAATAAAGAAATAGTAGAATCTGAAGCTTGTCTGCTGTGCGGATGAAGAGAAAGCAGAAGAGGACATGTAGACGACAATGAAGTATGCGAGGAGATAAAACACATCAACACCTAGGTTCATACCAAAACTGCCCAATATCAGCAATGAACCAAAGATCATACCTTAGAAACGGTGGAAAAAAACTCGGAAGAGAGCAAGACCGTCCACAACCAAACCATCAGCTCCAGTAGAGCACATGTTTCACCGCATGCCGCAAGCCTACCGCAATCAGGGAGACATTTGCTGCTGGGATGAAACATGTAGTCCCCTCGATCGATGCAAGTATATTCCCTAGTAAATATATATGTGAAGGGAAGGCAGAGAGGGCGCCGAGGAGAGTACGATGCTGTTCTATTAATGCAATTACAAAGTTTGAGCCAAGGTGAGTGTTTTTACCGGGCTTAGGGCATGCCCTGAATTCTTGGCTGGGGCGAATGACGGAGACGGGACGGGGCTAGACGGGGAGATGTGTTAGATTTTAGCGGGCTGAGGTGGTTTTGAATACTGGGGCGAGGTTGGGATTGTGATTGCACTTGTGGCAATCATTGAGTCTAGTTTTGTGGTGCGTGTGTATGTGTAGCTTTATGGTTAATTTATCGAGAGCTTATATGGTATTTAGGGGTCTTGTCTTGCACTTGTTCTTCTGCTGGGCGGTGCGGACAGAGGCCCGATACAATTGGTGAACTAATAACAACAAAAAAAAAGAGGAAAAAAAAAGAGGCCTGATAATACCAAATTCCTTTTCAGAAATATTCATCTTGCGGCACTCTGGAAATAATAATTCATAACGGAAGATCAGGATTATATTTTCGATAGGAAAAGGTTCAAGCAATTGCAATAGATTATTATTTATAACGAGGACTGCTACAATAACACTATTTAAACACGTTCTCAATCGAATGCATTGCCAAATGGGTTTGAAGACCTTATTGGGCCATGAAATACATGCATTACGAGGCGGTAAAACTCAAGGAGGTGGGCTAAGAGCGGGAAAAGACATATGACATGTAGGGATCGCTCTCGGACGTCAGTGCACAACACATCGACAGAAATCACAAATCACGCGGAAGTCACAACAGAAAAACCAAGAGCAAAAACACAAAGATTTTATTTCATCTTTGCCCGCTGTAGCGGGCAAAGGCACCCCCAACCATCACACCCCCCACACACCCGATCACGGGCACCGAATCCCCTCCGAAGCCAGGCAAGCAAGTCTGCCACATTAAGCCTTCGAGGGCTTGCCGGCGCACCCACAGAGAAGGATGGCGTCGGCGCCATGTGGGGCCCGCGCAGACGGTTATTGTTCCCGTTGTGGGCTTTGCGCAGGGTCCGGATTGATGTATTGAGCTCACGCTCAAAGTCTGATAGCTGGCGGCGGAGCTTGATATCCACCATTATGATGATGGAGAGGGCTCTCGAGCCAGGTGTGGGGAGGTTGAGAGAGGAGGAAGGAGGGAGGCCCGATGGGCGAGAGGAAATGCGGGCGCGAACCGGACCATAAATGATCACCGGGAAAGGCCCGCAGGGTCGACGACGGTGAAGCATCAGCCGCTCCTCAGCCGGCGGTTCGAGGGGATGGAAGAGATATCGGGCACTGCCCGATACCTCTTAGTCGTCCATGTTTGCGAGCGGTCGGCGAGCCCGAAGCACCAGACAAGGTGCACAAGCCGGGCTTGCCAGGGGGCCCGGTGTCAGCCCCGACCCGATGCGCAGCAATCGAGTGGTCGCAACCGATAGCGGACACCACCCTGAAGCCGACAGCTCCACGGGTCCCGGAGAAAGAAACGGTGGGGCCGGCGGGCCCGAAGTACCAGGTATGGCGCGCGGGCCGGCGCCTGCCAGGAGGGCGCGGTGTCAGCCCCCGAGTCGATGTCGGGCAACCCACTCGTCGCGACCGAAGGCAGGCACCACGCTAAAGCCAACCCCTTCCCTGGCTCAGGAGAAAGGAGACGACGTGGTCGGCAAGGAGGAAGCACTAGGCATATGTTTCATCGGGCCGATACGTCTCGGCCCGATTACAAAAGGGTCTATATCCGTGTGAGCGAAGTACATTAACAACGACGGAGAGGGCCTTTCAGGCCCAATTTTGTACGCACCACTGTGAGGCCCCGGTGCCTATCTGACAGGCCCAATACGAGATGGTCGACCTAGCTGATTGTCAGTGATTATATACTGGTGAGTTTTCTTTTCCCCTCTCTTTTTTAAATGACAATGATCATGGGATAGGATAATTGTAAGCACATACCCTGGTAGCTTTGGGAGCTGGTGTGGCTGCCCGTGGTCCTTGAGGGAACACCTGCTAAGTGATAGAGCGTCAATGATAATCCTGCTGATACAAGGATGGGAGATGGAAACATACCAGCAGCAGCTTTAAGTGCCCCAACGAGCTCGAGGACAAGTCCTCGGCCCAAAGCTCCTTTTTACAGGATGCAAGGACAAACGAGGCGCCCCCCTCGCTCGCGAGGAGAGTCCTCGTTGTCTTCACCTGCCATCCCTACCGGGCGGATATGCCCTGGCAAACATTTAGTAAGTTGTGACGTTAAAATAGAAATATACTACTAACTAACCTTCGCTTGACCGCCACACCCGTAGGTGTGCCGGATAGACAACACTGGTCTCTCTTAGAGGATAGCCGAGGCACACCGGCAGGTATTGCCAATGTTTATGGCCTTTGTGGCTTGGACCTTTTTGGGGGTCTTTGTTGCTATTTGAGATATGTGGGTTAGCGGAGGTTGAACGGAGATACCGGAGAGGTACCTACTTTTTGCCCCCCTACCCGCACCCCTGCCCCCCGCTCACTCCACCCCACAGTCTATGCGTCGCATAATGGCGTTTCCTCAACCACGGAATGTGAGGGGGTTGTGCCACCGTCCCTCGCTGGCGTATGGACGGAGGCCCGGCTCACCAGTGACTGGAAAGCCTGCCTAAGGCCTGTTTGAGAGCCGGAAGGTTAGCTAAGTATTAAAAGTGATAGGAGAGAAGAGCAACTTACATTCAACGTACCCACAGTCAACTGCTTACCCCTCGGCCTAAAGGCACGGAATGAGGGGTAAAACGTGGGAGGGCAGAGGCCAATGGCGCCAGAGCGGAGCCCAGCCCACTATGTGAGCGGGGATTGCCAGGCCCCGGCACCTAATCAGAGTAGAAAGGTTAGTCAAAGAATCCAAATGATTAATCAAGGATAGGAGTTACATGTACTTACATACATTTGAGAGCCAAAATATACCCCCATTCTGGCTAAGAAGAGTAAGGTCAGCCAAATAATAGACGAAACCGAAAAGCACCGGAAATGGAATATAACATACTCGAGGATGTGCTGGGGCCTGGTCCGTCCCACAGGACCCGCAGTTACCGTGGTCCCGCAGGAGCCACAGGCACCGCAGGTCCCGCAAGAGCCGAAGCCTCCGATAATTGGAGAAGCGACCTGAAGGGCAACGAAATTAGTGAAACATTCCAAAGTTACTAAGGTGAAAGCAGGGACTTACATACAGGCCTATGGCTACACGCCCCACCACTGGATCGAGAGCAGGAGGATTAGATAAGTGTCCTAGATAATCGATGATCGATGGAAAAAGAAATATAACATACACAAGGTTGTATTAGGGTCCTATCCGTCTAAGAGAACCCACAGCTACCACAGGCCCCACAAGGTCCGAAGCCTCCATGATTGGATTGGTAGCTTGAGGAGAAACGCAATTAGCAAGATGTTTCAAAGTTAGTAAGGTGAAAGTAACGATTTACATACAGGCCAAGGGCCATATGTTCTACGACTTGATCGAGAGCAGCGAAATTAGATGATTATTCTAGACAATATATGGTGAAATTGATGGGGAAAAAAACTTACCATGCCCCCAGCACCCAGTCTTCTATGACTGCCGCCCAGCTGCCGCTCGCAGCTTGTGTGTGCGGTGAATCAACAGACCCACAGACACACGAAAGGCGGGGAGAGGAAGGAGAAGGCAGGCGATGGATAAACCCCAAGGCAGCGGCACCGCAATACCACCGCTTGTTTGGGGAGGAGGACAGGTCATTTGGACCTTGTTGACTTTGGGCTTGTCCCCGTCTGGTATTTCCATCAGTTAAGTTTTTGATTTCGAAAGGAGAAAGAGATAAGACTTACTCTTGCTATCACAAGACCCTATGAATAGCTGGATCCATGGTCTCGATGTCGGCAGCGGGTAAGGTTGAAGGGGGTCAGTGAAGACCTTTTCTTCGTGCGTGTGTTTTTTTTTTCGAGGAGAAGTCTCTGCAAGTGAGAATATGTAGCCAGTTCAACGACTAAGCGCCAAGAAAGACCCTCGATTATGTCGTGATATACCTCGAGGGTGAGAAGGGTGTCTTAGCTTGAGGTTTGGCAGGCCTTTGAAAAATGTGGTTTGTACATTGTGTGGTTTTTATAGTAGTGTATTTACAGTGATAAATGGCAAAGAAATAATTTTTAAGTGAAGCATGATATGTCTTTAGCACGTCTTTAATTGCGAAATTCTTCTTGGTTGTGGTGATGGGGAGTGAGATGGTGTAGTTGTTTGGATCAGGGATTATCACTCATGCGAGTGATAGTTTGTGAATCTGAACCCCCCAGCTTTTGGGGTGTGGGGGAGACTTGAAAATGTGTTTTCTTTAAAGGGATGGTTAGATTTAGTCGCCTGTGTCATTTTTGAGGGTCGATTTTTATTCCATCTGATATTCTGACGGTTTTGCTTCCGTCGTTATTACCATCCTAGAGTCGTCGGTGTTGCCTGCGGCGAACCACAGTGCCGCGTATCTTATACACGCGAGCACAATTTTCATCATGAAACGAATCTGAAGGAATATAGTAATACTGGGCTCCACTCGGGAATGCGGCAGCTCAATGCAAGCTTTTCGCCAGCATGTTGTCCCGAAAGTTAAGAAGAAGGCGCCGGTTCAGAGATTAGAACAAGAGCTACCTACATGTAGGTAGATGTAGATTACAATTGCGACAATACATGCAGAAAATTCCCTTGACGAGATCGATTAAGTTTTCAATGTTATTTATTTATTCTTCACCGATCCTATCCCCTGACACCCGCTGTTACTGACTTCGCGAATATTCCCATGCGAAGGCCACAGCGCCGCCGGGATGGAAAGACTTTTCGCGAGGTTGTGGTGGTGCTTTTGGCCCACACCTAATCCTGAGGCTCCGCGCCAAGCCTCAGATGACCACCACGCACATCGAAGGAAGTGGAAGTCGAGGCTTACATTTTTTGCCTTGCGCCTAACTTACATAAGTTGCCGCCTAAAGTGCCTTTTTTTTTCTTTCCCTCTGAGCTTCGATAACCTTACAATGACAACACGGCGATTTTCAGTGAGCGACACTGTGGTTTCTTTTCCGGACGCGAGAAGTCGGGAAGCAACAGCTCAACGTACGGATTCGAGAGAGCTACACTATTTCAGACTCCTGTGCAACGTGCAGGACTCCTCTGATTTGATGGTTTTTGAGCCTCACTCTGCGCTCTGCCACTGCGCAACCGGTGATCTGCGCGCCCGGTAGAGCACCCTCTCTGATCAACGATAGTTATCTTTGCTAATTCTGTGAGAACATGTTTCTAGTGCTTGTCCCTTTCACTCGCGCATAAGAACCTCTGAATGGTCTCTCCGACAACCTCTCCCGCAGCTATATTGATGAGCGGGAGATACAGAACCCCAAACACCGCATTCAGTAGCCGCTGGTGAGCACGGAATCGTTTTTGAATAGAAGGGCTTAGGAGATTTTGAAACGGTCGTCGGGGAATTCAAAAACTATCTCTCACACCATGAGACGGAAACCAAGCTGGGCCCATTCTGTTCACGCAGTATCACTCGAAACCAACAGGGGAAGCCGGGTAACGTGGAGGGAGAGACCACAACTTCAGAACAGGGGGAAATGCATTCAAGGATTATATGCTGAATTTGGTGTTTTTCCCAATTTTGGAGCGTTAAATTGTTTTCATGGGCTATTAGGATTAAAATGACACTTTGCAAGGCAGATATGAAAACAAGGTGGTAGAAGTATCAGTGAGTGTTCTAGGTTCTAGAACGACATGAGCTACCGTGGAATAAAGGAGGTGTCTTGGCATAATGAAATAAGCCAGATCCTTCGAATTTTGAATGTTGCTTTGTTACATCTGATAGGGCCTTTTTGGAGTTCGGTCATCTTGAGAATTTAAGAAATCGCTCGCCGGACGGAGTATAATTATGTCAGAATTATCTCCTATAACATAAAATGCGGGTTGCTGATTGGTTTGGCTAGCTGCGTAGGAACAATGCTGAGTAGGAACAATTGTTAATTCGGCTTGGTGAGAACATACTGGATTGTTCGTATGGATTTGTGACTATGGCCGACAATTGTGAACAAAGGCACTTCTGAAAGACGTAGTGCTAGCTGAAAAATTACTATATTATATAGGGGGCGTGGTTCCGGTCCTATTCTGAAGTACCCGGTCATACCTATATATCACAAATACATAGCTGTTGCTCGAATATTATAATAATAAATAAAGAAAAACCGCTCGACATCAATAGTTTACAAAACAAAACAAAAAAGTTCACAACGCTGCCTAGGCCTCGGTTGCTACATCTTTCTACGTCCGGTCCGGAGGGGGGTTGAACGCTCACGAGTTCGGTACAGAGTGTGAGTTCTATACCGCTGGGCCACGTCCAACCCCATGTTCACCTTCTTTCCTTTGCTGCTGTTACCTCCATGGGGGGGCTCGTTCTTTCATAAAAATATAAATTTATTCTAAAAAGACCGATATCTTTACGCACAAATTGCAATGTTTTTTTCTTTTCGTGATTGCTAAGTCTAATAGATGCCCTCCTAACACGGTTTTCGGTTCTTACGTCCCCATAATTATTTGTCAAGTCCACAGCCACGAACTTCATAAAACACCTCAATCAAACCTACCTAGCTCAACTCAAGTTGCAATATTCAGCCTCACGATATCGCTGCCCACTCTGCTCACTATCTGCCGCTTCTGCCCTCGCCGCATCTAAAAGACTTTGCACCTCTGCCATTCTCTTATCTACTCTCAGCTTGAACATAGCCAAGGTGCGATGCTTCACCAGGCACTCAGTAAATCTAGACCGCACATCCGGATCCATCCTATTTATCGCACCTCCTATATCTATGCCCTCGAAGCACCTTAGCCCTGCCCGGATGAACAGCTCAAGGGGAGGCATAATCTCAGGACACTGAAAACGTAGCCCGTAGTAGATCTCGTTCTCGTTTTGGTGCAGTTGAATTCGGGAGCTGTCGCGAACTTCATAGAGCTTGCTGCGGCGCTTTTCGAGGCGCGCTATAGTGTTGAGTTGGGGAGAGAGACGAACCCCGAGAGGGACGGAGATCTGCGGCGAAACGATGTTTGTATTAGTATTATCTTGGGTGCTAGACATCTTCGATTGGGGTTTTATATTGTAGGGATGATTATATATGTGTTTGATATCTTTGTGGGCATATATATAATGTCTGCATTCGAGATATATATATGCTTTGGCTATTCAAGATTAGACGTGATAAAATGAGAAGTTTTCTTTTCAAGAGCCAAGTGGTTTCTCTGCGGACCCACAATCTTCCAGCATACGCCCCTTAACACTGAATATGAAATTAATAATACCGGGAAACGATTAAGAGAAACATATCAAGAGAAAAGGATCTCACCCACTACCGTCTTCCAGAAGACAAGAGACATTCCAAGACCATGCTCCCGGATAATAGGGTCATTCAGACTTCCAAATAACCTTACATGTAGTGTTAGTACCTTACAGGAGCCGCCAATAAAATACATGGCCGTTTCAAACCTGCCACGAATCCCCTTCTTTTTGGAGTTTGGTCAGCTTTCGATACCCGTATTCTCCCTTGTTGTTCCGTACTATATCGAGCAACCTTACAACGATCCCATAACATACGTGTGCTGTCTGCCGGTATAAATAGAGAGGGAAATATCCTCTCCTCGCCCTCTACATTATCACCTCCTGGATAGCGGTGTTTCAGTGTTCTACACTCTTTCGCTCGGGTCTAGACACGACTGGAACATCCTGACATTCAACAGAAGGCGTCGCACGAGCTTCTGGGATGCGGCGGCCGATTCCTTGGTATTTCGGGGTGTGTAGTATTTCCAGTCTTATATCGCCTTCTTTGACAGTTCAACTGATGACGTTGGATACAGTGGGTGTAGGTCTGCAGGGCTTGCAGCTTCCAGCTAGCTTCGGAGGTCTTGCAAGGGCTTGATCCCACTGCGTGAGGGTTCAAAGGTAAATTATTCCATCATGAAATTTATTGAATAATTAGGTTCGCACATAGAGATTAAATGGTGCTGAACGGTTGGTAGTTTGCTAGCTCTATAGGAGATGTGAATTATCCAGTTGACCACGAACATGCGGGTTTGCTCTACCTCTGTAAGCACCCTTCTATCAATTTAATTATAATCTGGTACCTGTAAGTAGACACAGATGACTAGACTAACAATTTCTTTGTTGAGAGAAGTGCCAGAAAAACAATTACATGAGTGAGATTCACACGCCAACCCAAGCATGTACTGGGAAGACATGACCGGCGGTGTTCTGAGTTTTGAAAGGCCCTAACTCCCTGGTCCGATGAGCAGTCGCTTTACAAAAGCTTAGCGGACTATGACATTTGACGACTGCTGTGCGAGCAAGGAAAGCAGTAATCTCTCCTATACACCAATGCTTATTTCATAAACATTAGGTGAACTATACCGTCCTAAATCGCACAAGAATTGGTAGCAACATTACCTCCGTGTTATCAGGCACTTTCGGTATAGTTAGCGGTATGAGGTTTGACATACGTTGTGGCGCGTGGCGCTGGATAAGGACAAACATGTGCCTAAGCGTGACCGAAGATGTGTCCGACTGATGAAGAGGATAGGTATCGCACACACACTATATTAAGGTCTTTCGTACTTTGCAGATCATATTAACATATTGTCTGTTTTGGGCCTCCGTCTATATTAGTTTTGTTCGATCGTGATTTGTGATCGTTCTAAACAGGACACTAGCGAATGCAGAAAGGAGCCGCAACGTGTTAGAAGAACAACCCCAGTTATCATGGGAAATTAAGGACTTTGTACTTAATTGGAGAATAGAGAACTAGCCTCTCTTCTCCCATCGCTTACCCCTTCGTCTGTAATGACGGTAATGAACTTTGCCTGTTTAGAATTCTTTAACCTCTAGCGGACCTAACCCACTCCGCGACCTATTTTTGACCACAAGTTACCGTTTGTGACCTTCTCCCTCCCTCTTCTGGAACCACCACCAACTACATTTATCCCCTCAAGGGATATACTCCCACCAAGATAGCATCCTATTTGGTGCTCGGGATATATTAGTATCGTTTGAAATGCCGGGCGGAGGTCCTAGAACTCGAGTGATATTCCATGACTAACAGCATAGGGTCACTGCTGAGGTTTGAGAGTGAGATGAAGGTGGATACTTGGTATCTTCTGTAGCGGAAACATAGTTGACGGAAAGCTATTTTAACTGAGGTACCGACTATATACTGGAAAGAATTACGAGCTTTGTAGTTGTAGCTTTGAGCATTGTACGGGATATGAGATAAGTAGGTCAGAAAATGTTTGGGCTGGGAATGCCGGGAAAACATCTATGGTTATACACAAGGTGTAATTATCTACAATCTCATGCTAAGCTACCTGACACCTTATTCGATATAGCTATAGGCCAGTGCTACATAACGAACCCCCGGCCAGTATCATCCTACGGACTGCGCCGAATGCCCACAGAGACAACGTCCGAACTCTGGTGGGATAGAAAGACGTTGACCTCGACCTCCTTCCCGTGCTACACGCCCGTTCGTTTCCAGAGTGACCATTCTCATCGCTAGCATTTTTGAGTCTAAATTGTCAGCGCTACCCCCCCCCAAAAAAAAAAAAAAAAATTTAACTTTCACTCCTAGTCCTCCCTCCCCTAGCCGCACCTGCCCTAGCCGCACCTCCTCGAGCCGCACCTCCTCCTCGGGTCTCTTGAAGCCTTCCCGATCGATCACTCATATCAGAGCCGTCAACGCCGGTGAATGGGCAGGGCAGGTGCAGGACAGGGTACACTAGAGAAGTGGGGGTTGCTTTCCGTAGGAGTAGAGAATGCGGGCTGCCGGTAGTATTCCGGATCAGCGCAACGCGGAGATCCATCGACCCGGCGCCGCGCAGGTTGATTATTCGACTGGCGGTAAATCATCCGTCAGCTTGCCAAAGGGGTATAATTGGAAAGCGGTATTTCTTTCGGGACCCGGACCCGGTTATCTCCTAAACGTGCAAACTGTAAGCACATCGCCTTATTTTGGAGTAACTCGGCGATGGCCGAAGGTGAGGTAATGCGGTTTCCTGGTCACACCACCGGAGCCGCGGCCTGTAGCCTCGATCTGCTGCCTGCCCTGTGTTTCTTGGGCTTGCTGAGCGGCATTTGTCTGCGATGGCTATTATTATAGGTTGGTGTTCAAATGCAAACTGCAGTCGAGGTATGTTGCATGGAATTATTCCTTGAGGCGCTCCTAGAATTCCGTTTCGGCCAAAGGCGAACTAATCTAACATGGACAAGTTCTCCCCGAAGCCAACGGCGTCAGAACAAACTTTTCCATGCCACATCGTGCCGTGCCGTGTCGCAGTTGAGAAAGATATGTGGTATTTCGTGGCGGAGGTTTGTGCGAGGATTGGGGTTGTGGAAAGGAAGAGAAGAGGCTCTCTCTACGGTGCAAGTGAGCTAGCCTTGCCAAGACCCCCGTGCGATGTGTTGTCTCTTTCTGCTACTGCAGACCCCCACAGCGCAGGGCCCAGGGTCCAGGCAACAACATTTCTCACCGCGAACATGCGTATCCGAGCAGCGATGCTAGTTAACCACCTCTGGAAGAATATTCCTAAAAGAAATTCTTAGCATTACCATGGCCCTCGGCCCGGTTCGGCGGTACCAGAGAAAGTGAACCATTTACGCATAAATACCGACCAGTCCCCCCCCCCCCCCCCACTCCTGATCTGCTCCCTGCTTCTATTATAGTCGCAACTCGATATGCCGGAACTCAATGCGCCGAATCCTTTGATACCCCGGACGAAATCCCTCGGATATTGGCAATTCGGCATATCGAGTTACGACTGTCATCATTAAGACAACCCCACTCGCCCGAACAACAAAGGTATCTTTAGAGCGCCAGCCGACGTGAGAACTCGATTTTCAACTCAGAATTAGCTATCATGTCTTCTCCTAGGTGGAAACAAATTATCATGTGGGGGTCTAGGCTTGCTCTGTCGTTCATACTATGCGGCGGGGGGTGTACTGTTAATAATATGCAGATATTATACAATATTTGTTATGCTATTAACTAGTAGAGGTGTCGGGATATAAACGTTCGGGGTCGAACTTGTGTTGAGTTCATTTCGCGCCGATTGTCATCTGGGCTCGACAACCTACTGAGGGGTTTTGTGTCAGCAGGGGCCATATTCCGGAAGATGGGCGGGGAGATCATATTGACGACCGCATACTCCAATCGATCAAGACGGGATGCAGATATTCGCGGTTCAAGAGGAAATACAACTCTTCCCCAGACCTCTATCTTCCGAGACAAATTTTCAGTATGGACAACTGCCGACCTAGGACAGTTCCGGTGTTATAGGATAGCAGTGATAGAGAGAAGAACAACATAGCAAAGCACCGCGACTCTAGTTTTATATCTTTTTAGTTGTTGGCGTTAGGAGACACTTCAAAATTTTATTTCGTGGCGTCCAGAGCAGTAGACGGAATAATGCCAGATAGGCTGGTCCTAAGAGGACAGGCCATCTGCTTACTGCAATGTTTCTGTCGGTGTGCTGTAGCCTTCGCAGTGGGCTCGTCGGCAGAGCGGCGGTGTGCACTACACAAAGTAAGCTATATTCATATCGATTCTTCTAGGAGATTTGGCGGGACTCGGCAGGAGGAATCCTCCTCTGAGGCTATGAGGAAGTTATGTAAATCCCTAAGGAGAGAAACTTCAGCAGGTGGAGGGTTAGGACATGGCATTGATTTGGCTCTCACGAATAGCCAGCGGGGGATGGCTGCTGGATTAGCACCGATGCCAGCACTGCCGACTCATTTGAACGCAAGGTCTGAATGTCGCAAGAACTTATAGAAACTCTGCTTGTACTTTACCATTTGCCATTCATCAAATGTATTTATATAGCTTTCTCGCGGTGCAAACCTAAATAATCCTCACCGCAAAGTAACAGATCAATATATCCTTTCTCCCAATCCTTATTTTATTCAGGGACGAGTTGGAGTGTAGTGCGTTGCCCTTACTTTATATTATCTTTCCTAATGCGTTCAAGTGATGATGGTGGAGGCGGAAGGGAGGTTTTAAAAAGAAAATTATTCCATATCGCCAATGTTTATCGCTGCTACGTATAAATAATTGGTTAAACAGCATATAGTATTATAAATCTTGAGCTATGTAAGTGGGAAAGTGGGGGAATGCAGGCTAGAAACTCTCATAGCCATAGGGCTGTAAAAAAAAGCATGATAGTGGTGCAAACCTGGGTCACCGATGATCACTCGCACCATGGACACCTTTGTGGTAGGTCGCGTAGAACGTTGATATATTCTAGGTGGCAAGGAGAGTAAGGTAGAGTTATGCCACTCGAATTTTCCCCTTTCTGTAAGCTGTTGAGGTTGTCTGGTTTATGCTTTAGAGAACAGTTAGCATCAAGTCATGGCAAGAGTGGTCACTCTTGAGCGTTCGCACCATCCGCAATTGCAGAAAATCCGCTCAGAGCAAAGCACACCTTTTACCTCCCAACCAACCAACTTCGCGTCTGTACAAATTCTTTCCTTACCCAACATCCACTGCGTTCATACGGATCGAAAATCAGCAACAAGCCACACGTCCTCGCAGCGCCGCAAAAGACAGACCAACTCCCCCAACACCAACGAAAATGAGCTCCCCACTCGCCGAACCAGAGTACCACCCTTCACCAAATTCCGAACCGGAGCGCCTCCTCTCACCAAACCCCCAACCGGAGCACCTCCCCAACCACAACTCCCACGTCCTCGAGCACTGCGAAAGCCAATGCTTCGACCTCATGGCGGACGTCTGCGACCTGCAGCGCGAACTGCGCATTGCCCGAGCCCTTCTCTTCATGTTGCATTGGCGGAACGTGATGAAACAGATTGTGGAACGGCGCCATGGGGTTCCGGACGCACCGTATGTCGTGAGCTCGGGTGAGAAGCTGGTGATAGAGTGGGCTAAGAATCTGCAGAGGAAGATTGCGGAGGCGTGGAGACTGGTTGATGAGAATGATCGTTTGTGGGATGTGGAGCTTGGTAGGTTCTCTGTCTATCTGAGCGTGGTCTGGTACTGTTACTGATGTTTGGGATGCTTAGTTGCCGCCTTCGGAAATCGATCTTTGGGAGGGGGTGAGCGTGATAGAGGGGAACAAATCTCGAATCTTGTTTAAGGAGGGGTGAATGGGGAGGAAACATGGTGTTAGATATCATGCGCTTGTGGTTGGCTTCCTGGTGCATGTTAGGTGTATCAATTTTCCCCATGTTTGTTCTCTTCGTTAAATTCAATACTGCCCGACAAGTCCTCAATGATACTCTCTTCCTGTTTTAGTACATTTCTTGGCGACAATATCAAATAATGTTTTTGTTAGTGTGATATATTTGACCACATGTAGCTAGGGTATATATTAGCAGGGAGCGGAGCCGCTTCATATCTCTCATTCGTCATGCTGCGGCTCTCCCCACATCATTTCCGTATTTTTAATTCGAGAAACACTACCTCTAGCTCTGACGCCCTATACACTACATCTACTTATACTGTCTTCACTCTTATACGAGTAACCAAGGTTTCTTAGTCTACTGCTAATTTCCCCTCACATACCACGTCCACCCGTTTCCCCCAATGAGGTTTAGCCAAGGACAACCATCTGTCAAGACGTTGAGAAACCATAGGCAGAACCCAGATTCCGACGTCATTCATCATTGCTATGCTACTACCCGGTAAACTCTCATTTCTCCCAGCAATGGAACCCATCAAGCTCCCAGCGCGCCATGCCTGGGAAGACTGCCTACGCCCTGTGGTGGTAGAAACTCTCAATCTGTCACAGAAGAACAAGTCTTTCTGTCTCCTGTGTCTCCATTGACGCTTAGGGAAGCTGCCTGTAAGTAGAGAACTGTTACGAATAAACACATTTTCTTCTTCCCGTTCTTACGATAGTATAACCTCCGTTGAGATAGTTAGATGGATGCTTAGACCAGCTCATACTCCGCTCCTATCATCTCTTGTCGAAGGAGTAAGGACTTCAATCCGGAATCGAATGCTATAACTGAACCCACCCAGCAGGTCCATTCCTAACGGAGGCGGGTGATCTAGAATAGGTAGAGCTACATTATTTGTCCTTGTACATAATCGATGCAGCGTAATCTTTCCCCTGTTGTTTCAACCTTGTCGTTTTGTGAGTTTAATGCTGATATAAAGGGAACAAAGGGCCGGCTAGGCAAAAGGGAAACCGTCGAACCATTACCTCTACATACCACGAAGGCAAGCGGCTAACATTGAGCACGAGCCCTCCAAACCCCTTGGCTTGTTGTATGTGGAGTGTTGGACTTCTTCGAAAGGGCGTTCCGGCAAAGACCTCTTACCCTCTCTGATTCGTGTGGGTCTCTACCTTCTTATAATGATGGCACAGTGGGTATTTTATACTCCGGTGTGGGGTGGCGGTAGATGTGGCCCACCGGCGAACCAATTTGACTGAATAGATCCAATATTATCCAACGAGGAGGAATTCCGCAGTATTTCGGGATTGTTACAGCCAGGCTCACACCTCTTTCGTTCAAATCTGAGGCCAAAAGCTCATCTTCCTTTAAAATCTTGTTGAGGTGAGAAGGGACGGAGAGGGTTCAATCTAGATGGGCGTAACCATCAAGGACCTGGGACTTTGAACGAAAAGAAAGGAAGAGAGCTGGTAACTGGTTTGACGAAAGCTGGTGAGAGCCAGCCTGGGACAAATCTAGCTGGATAGATTTTTATTACTCCCTGGCTAATGCTAAAATCTACCCAGTTAGATTTATTCGCGGATCGATATAGGTGCTCGGGAGTATTCATCTATGCGCATTGTTCAACAATGATCTAGACGATCCTGCTACCCGGTAGATTTTCCTTTGAGTTCTCTAAAGGCAGTCCGTGAATTGCGGTTGTTGGTTCAGAGAGCTATGGTATATTGGGCGATGTTCGCAATCTTCGTTGTGGTTGAATAGTTGGTGCTTACTCTAATCGAGCATTAAATGAAAGAGTATCTAGAGAGGCTTTCCGGTTCATGCCAAGTTTGCCCACAAACTCTGAAGTTGATTATAGTAACAGGTTTTGGATGAATGGAAACCACCACGAGAACTCCTCCCGGTAGCTGGGAGATACCGGCGTTACGGTGGAGCCTCGATAATAGCATATTGTTCGGAACGATTCTTCGTGTGCTGCTATTAACAACATGCTTGGATCAATAATGCTACTATCGGGACTCCACTGTACCTGACCTCTACCGGTAGCCGACCCAGGCCTATGAAATCTTTAATAGTCCTATAATTGGGCGGGAAGAGACTATGGTTTGCGAAACAATGCTTGGAATAGCAGGTTTGAGTTGTGCCCCAGATGAGATGGCCGATCGGATGGACCTGGAATCGAATACCGCCATAACTCGAAAGATTGGCTAGATCAGAATTACTTATATAGGATACTTCTGATGTAGATCGATGCCATCCAACCAATTATTCAAGGGTAGTCCCTGGACGGAGATAGCCAATTTTTCGAGTTTTGGCGGTATAGCATCAGGATAGCGGTCGTAGGGAATTTTATTAATAGACGCGCTATTCCTAATTGGATTGGATCTGTATAAGTTTCTTGCAGCAGTTTCTTCTTCCGATTTTCCTGTTTCATAATACCTGGCTGCGTCAACTTAACTTACTCACATACAAATACGACTCCCAAGGTCTTGCGCTACCTGCTCGGTGGGGTTAGAGACTATCAAACAGGATTCCGGTACTATACCTGTACCATGGGAAATATAATTGATGGGTGACTCGGTATATGTGTGTGAAGATTTATGCAGCCAGATAATATTAGAAAGGAAAAAGGTTAAGAGAAGAAACGGCTGTAAGAAACGGGAACCTCTTCCACGCTAAGAGGAAAACGAAATATATGGTATATAAATCCAAAGTGTTCTGTATTGCCATGCCTTTGAAATTGCAGCTCTAACTTGAAATAGTATACCGAGTTACCTAAGTAGCACACGACCTTGATATCAGCTTTAATCAACTACCGGAATATCAAGTTAGGACCGATGAAGTACATACATTTGAGTAATCTCGATGACTTGGAGTATCGCTTGGCTTCCTCCCCATCAATGAAGGAATATTCCTATGCCATGCCAAGAAATTGGAATCCTGATTTATTCCGTTGCCGATCGCGAGGAATATTCCTCCATTCGCAGGACGCCAAGAGATACTCCTAAGACATTACTAAGACGGTAACGGTGGCTCTGAGCCTAGAGCATCGCTCTAGATCTTTGTATACCTCTCTTGTTGGATGGATCACCAGAAGATTTAACCCCCAGATCTATGTCTCATATTAGGTATGCCTGTTGACTCCACGACATATCTTTACGCTCATATACTCGGAGATCTATCTATCCCTACATACCCGAGTTAGATAATTGAGTAATAATTGATAATTCAAGACCCAGTCTTCCAAGTTTGTGTGTGATGAGTATCACTGCATGACATAACCTGGACATGCGGGGGTGGGAGGGATACAGGGATGATATCAGACTCCTCCGTGATCCAGTAGAGTACCTGCATTAAATTCAAGTTCCGGGTAGCGTTGTACCCTATCAATACGCTTGCTGTCCGACAAGGCCCTGCAGCCGGCGCTGACATACCTGATAGCCGTACTTGGCGGTGAAACTTATTAATGTCCCTGCGGAAGATCCGGATATATGATGATCTCATCAGAGCTGGGAATATCGCCCTCTCAGGTATCCGGCATTGTCCTCGCTTTTAGGCCTTCATGTGTTTTTGTCCTTTCTCAGAATTAGATATTAAAATCATCATCAACATTGGAAAGAGACAATTCCCACTAAATGTAGAACGCCTATCGATTCTAATACGCCCATTAAACGCGGAATACCGAGGGGGGGGTATGACAAGAATAATGACAGAAGATGAAATCTTAAGTTCGGAGGAGATAGTGATATGCAATTAGGCCCCCAAAAGAATGGTTAAAGTAGAGGCTGATTGGGAAAAGGCCAGGGAAATATATCCCGGGGGTGGGTGGGGTGGGTGGGGTGGGAGAAACCTGGGCTTGCATATCCGCTGTGTAGATTTTCACAAGTTTATAGAAGAAATGTTCTTTGACGGGTATAAGGGGTTTCAAAACAACAATTTCTGGGGAGTGGTGGCTTTATACATGAGAATTGATACTATAATAAGAAAAGAGTGGCGGGGGCGAGGGGGGCAATAAGATTTATTTTTTACAACATGCATACGCAAATATGGGTGTACGACTCTAGGTAAAGGTGGAGATAATAGCAAATGTGATGAGTAATAAGATTAAGAGTGGCGGTATCACAGTATGAGTTTGTCTAGTGTTTGTCTTCAAAACTATGAAAATTTACTTGTTATGATCAAGAGAAAGTCATCTGAAAAAGTGGAAGTTTAACATAAAATGCTCGTTTGTCTGGGTAGAGCCTAGGAAACTAGGAATAACTTGATGGTATTAATGATGCGAAAACTCTCGTCTAGTTGGTCTTGTGTTTTTTTTAAAACAATTTCAAAAGCGTAGTGGATGGTGTAGTCCTGTCAGAACGTCGAGACGGTTGCCATGCGGCCTTGTAACTAGGACAGCTCTTTATTTAATAATGTGAATGAAGATTTAATATTTGGGAGGAGCAGGGGCTGGAGAGATGGCTTAGGCGGGAAAGATATCAAGATGCTTTCCGGCAAAGAAAAACAAGGTGAGGGGGTAAAATCAATGCGGAGGAGGCAGAAAACGAGTGATATCAGATCTTCAGGCGGAGTGTTTTCTATAGGCAATCTATACTTCGCATATGCATCAAAAGGAAAGAAAGTATCATTGGGCGGCGAGATGAAAGTGGACCTAGAGTAGAGTAGATGTGGGCGTGATTGCGAACTTGAAAAATTGGCTATCTCCGGCTAGGGATCATCGCTCTAGTGATTGGTTGAATGGCAGAGGTTTCCCGCATAAGTAATTTTGACCTCTGGAAGCTGCTAGCCAGTTTTTACAATCTGTACGCTTCCGCGGGTGTCCACATCAGGGCATTCACTCAATTCTTGGTGATCACTCTTTCGACCGGTACCCTTTCAAACCACAGTCCCCATTCCTCTCCAAGAAAAACCAGCCTCAATACCCCACGGCTTCATCTCATATAGTGCACTCTGCATTTCATATGGAACACTCTCGGTGATAATGTTTGTTTCCCCGAGCCTACCGGTCATGCCGGAGGTTTAAACACGACTTCTCACTCGCTATAGCAAACGGACCCCACGGTAACATACATGCAGCATGTGCCACTAGAAAGAAATAAATCTGCAACGTGACCTCATTCTTTCGCGCAGCTTCTATCTCTCCCTTCATCGCGCGGTCCCCTCTTTAGCGAGCCAATGAGAATACCTACTATGATATCAAAATGGCAATGTTTCTCGACACTATTTGTCACTATGCGCAACCACGCTTCTAGATCGAGTACATGTCACTAGCCTTGCCGCGGATCGGGCTATTGTATGATTAGTTAGGGCTCCGGATATCAAATCCCGGTTTTTCAAAACAAGGCTGAGAAGTCTGGACTGCAATGGTGTCGATCCAAGGCTGTGGTGCAACACAACCACTCCCACAACGGTAAAGCACATCTCCATATTTTTGTCTGTAAGATTTCGTTTGCAACTATCTTCTGCACCTTTACCCCTCCATATCCTCCGCGTATCATTACTGCCGCATAACGCAATATCCACTAGAACGAATTGTCTAACGAAATATCGAGTAGAACGAGTTCCCACACCTTGATCCCAAAGGACTCCCCACTACGCTTGCTATCGAGGATGGGTGAGCGTTGCGGGTTAGTGTTTTCTTCGATTCCATTTCATTCCAACCACAACGCGCACGTGATCGTGCACCTTAATCATCTCAAGATGAAGAACAATCAAGCACAGCAGGATTGTATACTGAGAATGGAGAACCTCCGAGAGTACGCCGAAAATGATCATGAGAGCTTGAAATTGCAGCTAGCCGATATGATGGCCCAGCTTCAGATGATCGAACAGTGTTTGTGGGATGAGGCTGGTCAGTATCGTCTTGTTTCATGGTGTTAATTCATGGCTGATTGGTGTGCGGTTCATAGGGGATGATTGTACAACCTATTGCAAGGAGTTGGCGTCTGGAGAATCTGGAACTTGGACTCTTGCACTGGGGAATTTTGAGGTAGTATATGAATAAAATAGGCCCAGCATGGTAGAGGAAACGTTTGATTTCTATACATTTCTCCTTAGCTACTACCAGATATATTTCTACATGTAATATTAACTATTTCAGAATCATCTTTCTTTACAGACTCACGTTTGAAGTATTGTGTGTTAGTAAAACAGCAGAAATTAATTTTCGAACAGGATATACAAGGTCGTTTTCCTTTCAATACAGGTTCGATATATATTTTCACGGCTATAATTTCATAATTATTTGGCTTGCATGGCTTGTGACAATTGAGAATTTCTGATGCAGTTGTGCAATTGCGAGTACAGATTCCTAGCTTAGTTCAATCCCTAGAGAAATTCTAATTCGTAAATAGGAACAGTAACTGACAACTATATCTCAGAGGCTGAGGGCGCCATATCGAGATTTAAGTCAATCCGCCTTCATATAACTCTATTTATTACATTTAACTAATACGGTTATGCGACTTTCAACATAGCTGGGCGCAACGTCTGCCGGAGCATATAACTGCGGTAGAGCGTTTTTCTTTGCCGAAATCCTAGCTCACGCGAGACCGATAGACTACATGTACGTCAAAATGCATACATATCGATTGCTTTTCATATCACTTGCACGCGCCGGATATCACACATCATCACCATAAGCTTCCGTTGCTGGCGGTGACGTTCCCAAAAGTCGGGGTTATATGTATGTACATGTAGGTACATGTAGGTACATGTATTGGGGGGAATATCATTGCTTTTACGAAAAAGCAATACTTCAACCCCGAAGACAACGCCAAAGAAGTCACTATCGCTCGTGCACTACGAAGTACGTATAATACGGAATATTTCTTTATTTCTCAATTCTTGTTCTGTGTTTTATCGTATTCTAATTTTATATTATTGGATGTATCTTCTAGTCATCAGGCTCCCAAGTAATATGCTATCACAGTAATCTTTGTGTTTCTATCTTATCCTTAAACCTCCTCACCAACAGGAACAAAATCTTCTTAATAACCTCATCTGCTCTCCAGATTCCTCACCGACACTCCTTCCTCCATCAAGATACCTCTATTTCTGTTCCGGTATCAATTCTACCAGCAGGATCATGCATAGATGCATTCATGGCAACATCCTGCATGCTTTGTCGTCCTGAGCATGTTACCATGGCGAAAGATCCCTCCATGTTTACCCTTGAAGAAGCAGGAGTAGATACGCATAGGCTCAACATATATCTCAGCGCAGTCTAGCGGAACACTGTATATAAATATTTTGCTCCTCTCATCGTTCCCTCCTTTCTCCGCTCCCTCATCCCATCATCAACCAAGACTTCGCCTTTCGGTTTCAATTCTCACATCAACTCCTACGTCTTTCTTATCCTTTTGATCAGAGATGGACGTAGATATCGCCCCTAATCTCAACGGCCATGTCTTGCTCCACTGGGCGAATGGCATTAACTTACTTCATCGCTCGCTCTGGAATTACACAGTCGCTGCAGTGACCCTTGGTCGAGTCCTCGCCGGAGACGACTATCGCATTCTCCGTGCCAACCAAATCGTATCAAACGGAGGGCGTATCCTTCCGTGCCCACACGTGGAGAAGAAGGAAGCCGTAATCGCAATGTACAAGCGTGACCTTGCGCTCTACCAGAGGCTCATCTCCTTGATCAGGGAGGAACTAAGTTAGTTAATAAGCATCCTACTTCTCAAATAAGTACTAACCTCTTTGTTAATAAGATCATGGTACTTCCGAAGCGATCGGCCAAATCATACTTGAGAATTTGACCCAACTGCCATGCCCTGCATGGGATCGTAAAGAAGTCCAGGATATCATCAGAGCTCTATAGCTAGATGCGGGATCAATGGCCCCCAATCTGGGTGATAGTGCTCCTGTGAGTAGAATATTAAAGCTTCATTTCATCCCCCTTTCTTACATTCATTTGTGTACCGCCTTGCAGAGATGCATTCCTATCCTTAAACTCTCCCGATAGCATGAAGTATAGTGGAGAGCCAATTTTGCTGATAGATACACGGTGATTGAAATAGTGATATGCTCGAGCCTTCGTTTCTCTTTCCTTCGTTTCTCTTTCCTTCTCTGCATAAGCTTCGTTTGGGGAGGAAAGATCCAGCTGGGAATCTGGAATAGCTCGTCGTGCAAGGAGTAAAATTTTCGTCTTTTTTCTTTCTCTCTTCTTTCTTCTCTTAGTCTAGTCTTGCAAATAAATGTCATGAAACTGGTCGGATGTTCTAAGGTACTGGATTCGCTCAGCTATTCAGAGGATATTGCTGTACAAACTTAAATAGCAGGCTAGGGGTGACTCCTGAGGGACCAATGAGTAACTGTTATATGTACTATTATGGCTTCTATATAGAGGTATAAGAGGTAGTGGCGGGTGCTATAGTGGGAAGTCCGTAGGCAACGTAGTCCGATGTTTGGTCATAATGTTGTGGATCCGGAAGTAGAAACATGGCAATGATGGCATGTAGTGGAGTCTAGATCTCCGGGGTCGAGGTTCAGTCGCTATGACTTCATAGCCGCAACTTCCGCCTACGTCCCAGCCTCGACCTAGATATATGACGTACAAGCTTACAACATATAACACAACTTGAGGACACCTATCTCACCCTTACAAAGCCCAGATGCCAAGAATTTGAGTATAAATTCTTACAAAACACCCACTATCAGACAACAACATTCACAACCTCAGATTTTCCGCACTCGACAACACTCGAACTCACAATCTACGCCACTACATACGATAACGGTACCCGAAGCTCTAATTACAATGGACGGAGTACAAAACGAAAACCTCACCATTACCGGTGAAAGGAGATTTCCTCCTGCCACTCTTGACACCTCGCTTGATCTTCCAAATCGTAAGTATCAACAATGCGAAATGACCATCCTTGGCCACCTCACTAATACCACTGTCTTCTTGCCACCCACCGTAGCTAAACCGGCGTCAGAAATCCCGTGGCGTATTGCTGAGGCCAAGCCCCGCGACGGTCCTCCTAATCCTCCTCCCTATAAATTCAAAGAGGGGGAAGTATGTATTAGAGAGCTGCTTGAGGCTTGTACCTCCATACGTCCGACTAGTCTGGCCTCCTGGGTGAATGTTGCCAGTGTGTACAATGCCGGGTGTGAGAATTTTGACTATGGGCGACAGGACGGGGAGGTTCTCAGAAAAAACTTCAACCAGATAATTAAGACCCCTCCTTCTTGTAAGAAAGTGGTTTGCCGGGCAACGGCTATTGCACAGAAATCTGGCGTCAGATCGGAATTCAACGCCTCAAGGAGACAACCGATTACTTCGACGCCCAATTCTAGGAGGATGGAGGAAAACTCCACCGCAAAGGAAAGGGATACTGCACCTTCCGAGTCAATGTCGATCCCCTCCGGCTCCAACTCCAACGAGAACAATCCAATCTTACCAGCTTCGACGGCAGCCGAAACGGAGGACCACCCTGTGGATAAGGAAAAGACTATTGCTAGGCTGCGTAAGAACATAGCAATTCTTAAGACAAAGCTCTCTGTCTCAAACGGGAGGAGAGAGGCACTTGAGAGAGGAACTAGAATGATGAAGAGAAATAATGAAGGTCTTCTTCGTGACATGAAAAAACTTTACGAGAAGATAGCAGGATTGGAAGGTGTAATCAAAGACCTCGAAGGGTTTGCCTCAGACCCTCATTACGATCCCTCTAAGAATAAAAGAACCGCCGAGCCTTGCAATGACGAAAAGGTCCTCCACCCAGCTAAGCGCAACAAAATCACCGTCGATATCGGTCGTCGGGGTACTCCAGGCGTCGTTGATGATACTCAACACAATATCGATGGAAATGTAAGCGAATAAGCGTATGTTTCATTCATTACCTCCTTGTGTATATGGTATTTGAGGTGTTGGAGTTTTATAAATCGGGATACTGGTATCTCGTTTTCAGTTTTCATTGGGAGGATTCTATTTTATGAGCAGTCGACTCACTGCTCACTGGTTTCTATCGTCTCATTGACCCGCACTTGAGTTATCTAAGATGCGTCTCCCCCCCCCCCCCCCGGTAAAAAAATGTGTTTCATTTATCAAAGATTATTTGTTGCCTTCCCCTACTTCCTTCCCTTTTATGTTTCAATCTCTAAACGCTCTGAAGACTTTCGACTTCGTTTTCTGTCCGCTATTATACTCTTATTTCGTTCTTGTTACTACATACTCTGCCAGATATGGCCATAGCCCGTGGGCTGCGGGCCGGAGGGGGGGGGGGGGGGGGAAGAGGTCGGCTTACTATCAGTAGAATTTACTTTACGTTTTACGCTGGTTCGGACTCTTGTAAATAGGGTACGTTTAGTTGAGGGTGCGGGAGAATAAAAATGGTGTTCTTGCTACAAGTTCAAATTACATTATCTCATTTTAGTGTATTATTGCCTATGCCACCCAATTAATGCATCTCCGGACCTGATCTAGAACAAAACGTCTACGGCTATCTATTTAAACCATGTTGTGCAAAGCATATACCGTTCGCGGTTTGCGTTTTCTTATATAATGTGGGAGAAATGTGAGCTTACATGTATTATATACGAAGTTCGTCGCAACAGTCTTCTAGTTATAGTCAATTCTCAATATCTCCCATAGTATACTCAGGTGTTCATTAAGGGCCCGTTCGGACAACCCAATAATCTAGATTATTGGCGATAATCTGACGGATTATCGACTTTTGGATTATCACAATAATCTATGCTGTTCGTGCAATTGAATAATCCAACATTCGGAACTCCTGATTATCCCAATAATCCGCCAAGAAAACAATCACCTTCGGAGGTAACTATTCCCACACAACACAGATATCCTGAGAGCTAACGTTATCCGGACATGTAGATTATCCACTTATTTTGAGTATTATGATTATCACTTCCGCTGCCTGATAATCCAGTCTGTCCAATAACCCGACGAAATAATCTAAGGTTGTCCGAACGGGCCCTAAATGGTCGGATATCGTTGCAACCAAGTCCCTACTCAAAATTCCAACCATTTAATGAACCCATGAGTAGCTATATAGCTTTATTGATCTATTCGTCTATATTCCCCTACCACTTACCCGCGCCGCCCCCCGGTTTCCCAAGATTCGAAAATCAGACCCTAGATAGTTCTCTCGCACAGTCATAGAAGTGATAAGCTTTATATTGATTATATCTACCATTTTTTTTTGAGGAATATCACACTAAACAACTCCCGGAAAAAGCCCTAATGCCTTAAATGTGATACCAGGATACAAAGACTTCATTTATTAACGTCGTACAAAACCGAGACTCCCCGCTTAAAAGCAAATAGAAGCCCCCACCCCCCCCCCCATCAAATAAGACAAGTCGGATAGGAAGATTGGGTAGAATAACCATCGAGTTCCAAGGAGGGGCAAGTGTTGATGTGTAATCAATTCGTAACCTGGCTGTGATTATGGTATAGTTATGTGTTGACGGTGGAATTAATACTTTTTTACTCCTATTATCTAAGACTATCCATTAGTAATAGTAGACATTAATTGGAATAAGAGGGTGTTTTAACATACTGGTGTTATCAGGCAGTATAGAGCAGGCATTAGCTTTACTATACTCGGCTCCTCTGAATCAAAGGAGATCCGTTTTGAAGTAGAACATAGCGTCCTTGGAGACAAGGAATAGTCAACACACTGTGGGACGCCATGAAGTACGCTTTTTGGATCTCAACCCATGCCTCCATGCCTTTGTGCTTTTCTTGAAATAGCGGTACCGTTTCTAGCAGCCATTGATCGTTGGCCGCACTGAAGACGTTGTTGTTAATTGAGCGTGGATCCAGAGTCAAAGGGTCGGTCAAGGTGAGAGCAGCGAAGGCGTTGCATCCATCGTCGACGGCCTTGAGATCGGCGTTGAGGCTTTCGCTAGCTTCCAACACATTCGGTCCGGCGGCAACATTTAGACCCTGCTCTCTACAGCCGTTTTCCTCTTCCTCTTCCTCTTCCATGAGTTCACCCTCTTCATCATCTCCTTCGTAACCGACCGTCCCATGAAATTCCTCCGCGCCATCAGCATCGGTGCCCTTTGCCCACTGGTAGGAAGATGGATCGAGCAGATCGTCATCCGAGTCGGAGCTGCTGCATTGAAGCTCTAGATTGTAATCGTCAATATTATCGTCGTCATCGTCTTCCATCAACTCGTCACCGACATCGACATCACTGCTCTTGGCCTGGTTTTCGATTGAGAGCCTCACTCTCTTTGATGGGGAGAGGATCTCCTCGTCGTCACATAAAGCTGGATCCTCAAACACGATACCCGCAGCGCGCATTTCCGCAATCTGTTTGGCTCGTACCCTTTTAGTTCCCTCTTTACGCTCATCAGTCCACTTGATGAACTCCAACGGATCCATACTCGCAGTACTGGTCGGACGGCGCATCTCGGGAGTCTCTGGAGTAGTCGGACTCTTAGCAGCCCAGGGGGAGAGACGTTCCTGTACAGAACTCCATGACTCTCCTTTGGCCGCACTGAACACCACACTCTCAGTTCTCTTAAGCCGAAAGGAGCGGGCTCTTTGTGGCTCGGGAGTCGCTGGTCGATCCGGAATGTCTCGAATGCTGTCAGTGCTCTCCACAAACATGAAGGGAAGGCGGAAGGTCTCTTTGAGATGGTCATTGTTCCTCTTGCGGCGGATGCTGTTGGTTGGGATTACTAGGCTTGTCGAACGCTGGTGAATGTGAACGGGGGAAAGAGGGCCGTATGCGTCGAAGTGTTGGCCAATCATGCCCATGCGGCCGATGGAGGTGACCTGGGAGCTGATTGGGTGGATATTGTGCTCATGGGGGCAGCCTTGAGTAGTTATAGTCGGGAGCGAGGTCATCGAGTAGTTGGTGCCCAGGAAGCGAGGAGGAGTTTCGGGAGAGTGAGAAAGGTTATCAGGACCATGTAGGCGTGGGAATTCGGGGATTTTGCTGCATTGGGCGGGAAATTGGAAAATTTCTGGAGACATTGTTGTTGTGAGGGCAGGAATATATTGCGGATGGGCAGATATCTTGTTCGCGGACATTTTATCTGATGAGTTAGATGCACGCCACATTGAACGTAAGGGTCGCCCAAATCTGAAGAATTACACCGGTTTAAGCTGACGGCCTGGGCAGGATCGGAATCTCCAAGTTCCAGACAGAAAAGAAAGACAGACACTTTCGAGAAACGAAAGGAAAGAAAAAAGAAGGATCCCCTGGTGGGGAGAACGTATTCGAACAGAACGAAAGCAGCTGAGATTGGATGAAAGCGAGCGTGTGTTATTTTGTGAAGGAGGAAGGACAGACTCAAAATATCAGAAGTGGAGAGCCAGCAAATTAAAGGAACCTTTCCTTGAGGTCCGTTTTCTTCACCCATAGAAAGGGAATGCTTCGTTTAGGCTTAGCCCACAGTTTGTTTTTTTAATCTCCCTCATAGAAAATTGAATAATATTTTTGTTTCTTTAGGGTTAGGCTACATTTTATCCAGCACAGTGATATCGGCCCACAATCAGGTTTGTTGATATGCAGTCGGTCTCCCGTCTTTGTGTAGATCCTCCCATTGATCGTCTCCTATCGGCACTCCATCTTCGATAAGAATTTTCGAAGTTCACACCATGATGGGATGATATAAAAGAGCGCAGAGAGTGGAAAACGTATGTAAACACTGCTCCCATTCATGTCACCGGAATCAAAGGCTAACTGAATGAGCAGAAAATCATGTCCGAAAAACGATTGGTCTACCAAACAATGGAAGGCATTTCCTTGATAGGGGAATATTGCGCGCACTGTGTACAAATAGGATCGGTATTGTGCTGTGTCTTGATCTGTATTGATACTCAACGCTGAATGGATCTTTCTGCTGCTCGTTTTCTTATAGTGGGGGTAAGTCCTGGGCTTTAACTCCAGGTCGCAGCTGATGGTCTACAGAAGAAACGAGGAATTACGTTTAAACTTCCCTACGACCTTTCAAAGGGGTATCGGTGTAAAAAGAGCTGGCTCTGTTGGCAAATTTTTACAGTCAATCTTGTTGAAACATGGACATGGCGGTGCTGTATGGATCTATGGGGGCAGAGTTCACGCTGGTAAATTGTCTAGTTTTATTTTCACTGCCGGTGTGAGGTGTAGAGAAGTTCTGAGATTTTATACTTTTATTTTCTCCAGTTTGTAGTTCATAGTACCTCTGTTTCTTGTTCGTCTGTTCTCGAGTCATTTTTATCCGTTAGCTACACGTAGCTTCGGATTTGATAACTTTAGCTAGGGTGACTAATGCGAGCTAGCATAACCGGAGTCCTACATTCTTGTAAAGATAGAATGGAAGTAATCACATTTATTCCTTTGACAGGAATGATCCAATACAGGGATTCATTTATACCGTCCAATATCAGCCCAGAAATTAAAGCAGCTGACATCCCTGAGCTATAATCGATTTTGCACAGCTGCTGGGCGTGCAGGAGGATTCTAGCCCATATTGTGTGAATAAATAAATTCATATCTCCCGAATACCAATTAATACCCTCCCGCCAGCTCTCACAGCTTGTACCTAACTCTCCACATTTCAGCGCAAAAAAAAGGTTCATCCGTAGCTCGAAGAATCATAGTGAGAGAAGACTATCTGTAGACATCTCTGTTTCCCTAGGGGACAGTAATCCTGTTGTTTTTCCATGTTGAAAAATTACTTAAATGTCAAAGATCGTGAAAGAGCAGGTGCAGTGAGGTCCTATTGCTAGAAATCAGCTTCCATGTGTGTGGACACGTCGTGCACATGCTCTGGAGCTAGATGTCCGGCCAGATATAACACCCCAAGCTCAGCTCAACCCGACGTCCAACCACCTTCCATCTTATCGATTTCCTCAGGAATATTGTAATATCAAGCACACATAGTACGCGGTAAGAACTCCATCACGTATCATCCATCTCTTGATGAATCTAGAGCTAACAAGCGAACGGCTTTCACACCTCTCCAGTGTCCTGTTCTATTAGCTGCAGACTGGTATCTGTTTGCTCCTTCTTAGTGTATCAATAGCTGTACATTACCTGTCACACTACGATGCTTCGACACACAATTCAGACCTCCGACTCCGGGCCCTCAAGTTCCACCTCGTCAACTCCGGCCACCCCCACCTCCGCCCCTGCCACTTTCACTCCCTCTGGAACTCCCGGTGGAACCTTTATCCCTGGTGAAACACGGGCCACCCGCTCGGCCCGTTCCACCCAGCTCTACCTCACGCACACTGCCCGCATCCAACTCGCCCCCCGCACCCATACCACTCTCACCGTAAACCTTCCCACCTTCAAGCTCCCGACCTACACTTCAAGACACCCCGTCCATGGCTTCCGCCCCGTCAACTCGACCACTTCCGCTGGCTTCCACTCGCCGGCCTTTGGGGCCTTTGTCGAATGCACTTCGCGCATCGCGCTTGAAGAGAACAGGGCGCGGCAGAGACTTGTTATCGAGCCATGGCTTAGCAGGCGTGCCTGGGCGAGGACGGCAGAGGCGCTGACTGTTCAGAGAGGCTTACTGCCTGGCGCGGACTTGGGCTGGTTTGAGGAGGCCGTGAAGGTCATACCTGCTGACGGCGAGGAGGAGAAGGGAGAGTATCGCATTGCCATCAAGAAGGCCCCGGACAGATTCCAGCCCAGGACTGGTCCGGGCCCTTCGATTTTTCCACGCGGGAAGGGGTTCGATAGTTTCTACTACCGCAACCGCGCTGGCAGCATCATGGTCGTTCTTGACAGCCGGCGCGAGGGACTCTCGAGGGTGGATATTGTCCTGCTGAACTGGATTGTGGATTATGTACGCACGCACTCATGGGCGGTGCTCATTCGCGACGACTGGCCCACTGCGTGTGCGGCGCTGTTGCGTGAGAAGGGCGTGGATATGACTGTAAGAGAGATGAGGAGGAAGTGGTCGTTCTTTTGGGACTGGGTTGTGAAGTGGAGGGGGAGCGTGTATGCCGGGAGATTTGTGCAGAGGGCTGAGGGTATGTAGGATTAGTGGCAGTTTTGGCGTTTTGTTGTGGAACCTTTTGGGGGGAGTATGGGTTCGTGTTGTTGAGCTTTTGCTTGGAGGAATATCAATTTGGGGGGAAGGGAGGATTGTAAATGTAATTTGGGTACTCGTCAGGGAAGGCGAAAGCACAGAGGTTTTTGGGCATTAGGCGGCAATAAGAAAATTTTTCATTGCCTGGTACCACTCCTTTCCTGGTTAAATGGCATTCGTGTAGGTAATCATATCTGTCGGCGGCGAGGCTGATAATGCACCATGACGTATAAATAAACCTTATTAGCCCTGCATAAAGCCTTAAATATCGGTCGATCATTAAGGTTCATGGCACTATTGCACGTACGAAAGTCTAAATAGAGTTCTACGTCCGAGACATTTAGAATCTTTGGAGTCGCTGAGCCAAATCATATCCTTGCAATGTGCGAGTGACGATCTATGATATCTGAGAGGGCCGGGTTTACGCAGAACAATGCACATTTTGGGCGTTGGGAAGCTTGAATATTTGATATCTTTTACCTTTAATGATCAGTGAAAGCGATAAATTAATAGAGTAGCATTGCAGTTCAGGTTTCGAGGACTCCCAATTGAAGAAATATATTTTCTTATTATATCTTACTCTAAAAACATTTACTAGTATATGTAATTACCCTTTATCTAGAGGAGACACAATTTAGTACTTGACAAGCAAACTAATTAATAAGCGATCCATCAAAATTGAGTTTGCTTCATGGAGTATCACTCGTAAATGATATTGGCGAGGTACGCATGTTGCCGCCTTACGGGTAAAATGAAGTAACGAAGTAATAATTAGATACATGCATATATATGGTGTAATACAGAAAAGGTGATGTGATTCGGGAGTCAATGGGCAACGCTACATGTAGAAGTGCCATATTAATTGCAAATGAAGCTTAAAATAATAGGAGGAGCTGCATCTGTATCACCACGGCAGTCAAGTCGCATCTTGATACACCCCACTGAAAATCCACCAGTGTTTCCGGAGTTGCAGCTCCCTCTATACCAACGTTGGAAGAGACATTTACACTTGTTTAGCGGTGGGTCTACTGGTAATCTGTAATGGTCGTGCGATTTATCCTTCTTTTTTTCTCTTTTTTTTCGACCGTCAGAGCAGGAATGGGTTATTTCATCAATGCGGATCCTAGAAGAATGAACCTTTGATGGTCTTATAGAAGTTGAGCGCGACAATGCAGTAGAAGTCGGATTTAAAGCCTTCCCAATGCTGATTTATTCGGCCCTATATGCGTTTGAATCAGGTAGCCTGATAGAATGACCTTCACCCTCACCTCCGAACCTACACAAGGATAACATTAGACGTTATTTAGCTCCATGATAAGTCTTTTTTTCGTGGTCTAGAGCGAGGAAAACAATATCGTGTAGCACTGTGTGCCAAGACTAGATATCTTGCCCTACCAATATCGTCGGTGGTGTTCCCACATGGACAACAGCCATAGAATGTGAGCTTTTGTGGACGAAAGCCCTAACAGAGATTTCCTCTAACCCCACCATCCAGCTTTAGCCCTCTGAAATCTCTACAAAGAGCAGCAATCACCATCACACAACACACAACCACACCCCCTCTTCCGCGCTCAAGACTCTCAATCACAACCAGTCCTTCTCCCATTGATCCATCCTACTCTGTAGCTTCCTCAGTCACTCTTCCGTCTGTTCTATCTCCCAAAGCTCATCACACCTTTACGTCTTTGCAAAGAGCAACGAGACCGAACAAGTACGCACCTCCGGATCAACTTTGCTCCAACTCTCCGATTCCAACGACTACCACTACACACTCTCCTCTTGCCCTATGCGCCTGTACTCACTCTGAGGAACAGAAATTGCCCTTTCTAGTGAATTTGAGACGTTCTCCCACAATCTCCAAGAAACATTTGTTCCCAGGGACGTTCAACAACCACAACATACGCAACCACCTTATCTCTAGTTCGTATAGCATTGACCTGTTCTCCCCCTTTCATTAGCATCGTTTCTAATACGATTTACAGATAACGTCTTCAGTATAATCACTGTAGTATTCTTGTATGGATAAAATATGATAGCCTGTGATGTTGAAAATTCTTACTAAGACATACGCAGATAAATACCTTTCAATGGCTCGAAATCCCCGTTCTACTGCCCGGAGATCGTCCGGGGTCACCGTTGCCTCTTCACCTTCCTTTGTTCCATCCCTTCCCTCCACCGGTCGTGGCCGCGGCCGTGGTCGTGGCCGTGCTGCTCGCGCTACTCGTGCTACCCGCCCTGCCCGAGGAGGTCGGCCATCCACCTCTACCAAAAAGTCATCCTCACCAAATTCCACCTCGTTTACCTCCTCTGTTGATCCGGCTACTCCGATTTCTGCCTCTGCGTCAGCAGAAGCTGCCGTTGCTCCCACTCCCGGTGACGATACTCCCACTTCGGTGGCTTCTTCTCTTCCTCCTTTGCCTTCTCTCGCCACCGAAACTGCTCCTCCTGTCACCCCTCCTAAAACAGCCGATGCCGCTTCCGTCTCGTCCTCTTCTTCACTCTCTTCTCTATCATCCCTTTTAGCTGGGCAATATCAAAGGCTTCATCGTGCCCCTCCCAAGATCCCCCGAAGCATTAGTTCGGCGTTAAAACGGCCCAACAACCGTACATCTGGCACACGAGTCTCAAAATCAGTACGTTTTATTAGCAAGGCCACAGCGGAGTTTTCTCCGGCCAAATTCAGTGAGCACAACAACAGTCCAGAGATTGAACACCGCTCCAAGCCCGACGGATATCGCTACAGAGAGATACAAAGTGCTACCGGGTACCAGCAGGAAGGAACAAGACGCCTTGTATTTAACTACGAGTCGGAGGTCACCGGAAACCAGGGAGCCCTACACCATCAGGCACTCTTCAAAGTCGGTCTCGGTGGAGGCCGTGTCAAGCCGGGGAAAGGAACGTTGCCAAAGAGGACCCAGGTCGTCCTGTACATGAAGGAGGACTTGAACTTGCAGGGCATTCCTCAAAGCTTGGGGATGGTCTTCCACAAGATTGCAGCAGAAAAATTTATGCCTGTCATCACAGTCGAGGGAGATTCCACTGCTATCAGCGCCCCGATTCCTTCTGCGGGCAAGAGATTCGATCCGGAGGACCCGGATGCGTAGATGCCATTGGAGGTTCCGGAAATGAAGACGGGGTTTGCAAGACAATGGGCCATAATTCCTTTCAAATCTTGTCGGTTTACCTCGTTTTTTCATCATTTCCACCGTCATGTTTTTTTTTTTTTTTTGCGTTTCAGTTGAGTTCCTGCAGAGATAGGATCAGCATAACAATAATTAGATATGATTTGTTGTTTAAACGCTTCGATCTGTCTTTTCACCCAGTGAGCGGTGGTTTACCTACTAAATGTTTGTATTTTCATACGATCATCGGATTTAATATACCAGACGCCTCTGTTTTTTCATCAATATTTATCATCCAACCTATCTATTTGGATGTAATATTAGCTAAATTAAAATATTTTCTGGCGCTCCAATCGGCGGCTTTCAAGTATTCTTGTGTCCCAAGTGATCTTGATGAACCGTTCTTGAATGATGACACCGCTTCTGAAATTGTCCTCCCTCCCCGACTAGTAAATCTTTGCATTGCCTGCAGTACTGGAAGGGTTGGCCCTTGCTAAGTTTGATCTGAATTGTCCGAGTCTTCAATTACTTTTTAAACACTGGGACACAAGGCGGGGGTGCCAGTCATACCTTTTTTGACGAAAATGATGCACATTCTTAGGAGCTCACTCACGAAGATGAGCATATTGAAAAAAATAGTAATGCCGATGATGATCTTGTTACTTTCATTCTTGACGAGAATCAAGACGATCACCGCAAGATAGGCGCTCGAATATTGAAGTCCATAAATAGGTAGGCTTGAGGGAGTGAGATGAATCACACGTTCTATCCTCTTGAGAGTCAGATGTCCTACTCTTTTTAAACCTCTATAATCATAAGAGGAGGAAGCGCACGGAGTCGGCGGTGTCATGGGGACATTCAGCCTTTTCCTAAACTAGCTAGCTGTAAATGCGACGTGGCAGAATTTCTAGAGATTCATATGAGCTGAGATGAACTTACCACACCTCATTCTCCTTGCTTCCTATCAGGTTACTTATCGTCTACTAACCGAGCAGGTCATGCATATATCGTGTTGTGTTATTTCAGGCTATGAGAGTAGTCCTCAGCATCATCAAATGGCCCCCCACCTATAACCCCGGAGAATCCCCTAAGCATTGACCGAACAACGGTGATTCTCTGCGCACCTTATTCGCATACAAGTACGTATAATACTCAGGTTTCAAGTCTCAATTGTAGTTATATACCTGTCACTCAGTCGATAGGATTTCCGAGCTGAGAGTATTTTTAACACTTTCTTCTACTCGTAGCTTCATAGCGTTTCCGAACACGACCAATATTGCATGGCATACAAAAAGGGTGGATTTGACGCTTTTTTGTATGGTATGCAATAGCAGTCGTGTCCGGAAACGTCATGAATTTACGAGTACTGACCGAGGGACCAGAATACCTCATATGATCATGTATACATACATGTAGATACATGCCTATAACCCAACCTCTCCCGAGCTCTCAAATATATAGGTGGGCGTTTATTTATGTAAACGGCTGATAACAACAAATCATTCAAGAAACCCTAACCCAACAAGACCGCCAATCATTTCTTATTTCGCTCCCTCGGATAGCTGGCCAAAGAGATCATTGCTCCTTAGGAACAGTCAGCTTGGCATACATGTATCTACTCCTTGCTTCCCCGCATGATCATATGAGCATGGATGAACCAAGCTCTTTACATCCTCAACGGTAGGACTCTCGGACTTCGGCCTTGCTTCCCGCGGATCACATAGTTTTGAGGCGTACAGATCACCTTTCTATCAATCAAAATAAAAATCCAGACCACAGTTACATATACCAGATAGTGCTACGATCGACTTCGTATGGACGAAAGCTCACTGGATTCTTTTCATGTACGGTAGCTTTGGATCTCGAGACGTGCGCATGTATGCGCACTGGGATTTAGGTAATGAATACATCTCTGGTATCGTTCGCCCATCAATAGCTCATCTTTCTAACTAAAAGTAACTATGTATAGCTTTCTTATATAGTGGACTGGAAGCAGCTCCGGAAAAAACTATGATGCAGCTGGAAAGATGTTCATAAAGGAGAAAATTCATGTTAAATATCCCGACCCTATCAATCACAACTGTTTACGCTCCAAGCGAATTAAGGCCCTCGAGAATTTCATATTTCTATTCCTAGCTATCTCCGTTCCAGCGAGTGATCAAAACGATATTTCAGTATGAGTTCCGAGATGCGCAATCTTCCTATTTCAATTCAAATTTGCACATATCTCCTCCCGAATATCTCCGGAGTCGTGAAGATCTTTTCTACAACGAATTACATCCGTATGAGAATTCAATAAAGTGTATATCGCTAACAAGGCGAGATTCGGGAGTCCGGCAATGCGTTCGGCCCACATATATGCCAATGACCTAGTTCCACTTGTGGAGCACAGCAACGAATATCACTACAAAGGACCCTCTGTTATTGTTGAATTATATACCCAGTCAACCCTACGTATGCAGATTCTACAGACAACTTGATGAAAACACTGAACGGCGGTTTCGACCGTTTGATCGTTACTTAGGCCGAGTTTGAATTCCATTTCTTACCTATCCTGATCGGCGTCACTTGAGAATGTAAGCTAAACCTCATACCGCAAATAATTGCTACTGTTTTTTCCCTTCTTTAACAAAATAAAATATCACAGAGGTTGAATTCATTCGATTGCAGTTTGCATGAGCAAAACGATTGCCGGACAAGGATATCATGCGATCGACGTTTATCTATTGTCTGATCGCCCCGAACCATGAGGCGGAACCAAGGATGTGGAGAACTGAAGAATCTCAAAGCCCTATAGTAGACTATTGAACCCTTCTCTTACATACTGTAACTCTTCATCTTACGTATACTAACAACACAGCTATGCCAAGCCATATTTGCCTCTGTGGTACATAAGGATGGCCGTGCCCAACAATTAGGCGTATCGCCAATACAGAACATATATGCTTCTATTACTCCCAAAGACGAACAGGAAAACCCATTATATCCATCTCTAGACTACATAAAGGGAATTTACATATCTCCTAATTCTAAACTCAAGCCACCTTTCCGCCACATGTGGCGGACACTTAACTAAGCTTACTCCTTCCTCCCCCGTTCGGAGCCAACACGTCAACGACGTACCATATCCTCACATAAAGGAGTAAGAAACGCTATTTACGTGGCGAAGACGGTCACTAACGATCGACGGACCGGACTCTGAGGCCCATGGTGAGAAAATGCCAAGCGCTAGAAGCAATCCTTTTTGATGATTCCTATTCGATGAAAAACGCATGTCCGTCATGCAACACCCAACATCTATCGTTACCCGCGAGCGACTCCACTGGTAACCTTAATAAATCCATTGGGTACAGGCATCTATAAGACATCGCCAAAGACTCAGATACATTTACCGAGTAGAAATGGGATCTTCCTCCTTGTTGCGGAGTCTAGACAGTGCAGAGTTCGGGGCAACGCGACAATCTTTGGCTCTACGAGACTCGAAACCTGCAATGAAAATACTCCAAGTGCTTTAAGACCCGTGTTCTCGGCGAATGACGTTTGAGGTTAAATCACCAAATTCACCCTTCCTATTTCTTTCGCCGCCATCATTAAGAGAAAATCCCAATCTCGGAATATATCAACTTAAACCGCCTATCACACTAAGAATATTCTCCTAATGGTAGGCAGGACGGTCACATAATGTCTTGTCATCAAACACCAGGCATAAATTCAAGTCACAGGCTTGATAGACAGGAGCTCCGCCTACTTCCTCTGATCCCTGTCTACCTCCGCCCAATCACAAATACATAGTCCAAAGTCTCCGGCCTGTCGCATGCAGGTTTATTCCAATACCTTGGAACTTAGTCCGATCGAGAACCTCCAATGAAGTCTTCTCCTGGTTCCATTCCTCCATTTATAATGAAGGTAAATGTTCAAGGATGACTCGGTTGGAATCATTTACCCTACTTACAGGCCGGTTAACCTCCGGCCGACTTTTGTGAATAACAAAAAAAGCCCCTACCGTGCGACAAAAACACATGCACCGAAGGAACCAATACACAGCACAGCCCTGAGATCGAACTCCAATTCAGGGCTTTCTAGCCCTGAAGATCGCTAACCTAAAACTTCAAAACGTACGATATTGTGAAAAAAAAATCTTCCAAGATTGAAAATAATTTGTCAATATACCACCACCCTCCGGCCCACCCGCAGCGCCGATCAACACGTTAGAGGCGTTAGGGTTAACCATTGGAGTAAAACCATCTGCCGCAAGCAAGATAGGGGTGTGTGTGTTTCTTCATGTTCTGTAATATGACGTACCTCTTCTCACTCTCAACGCAATATGGATGGTGGATTATGGACAACACAGATCGCGGTTTGAATTATCATTAAGCCATTACTGCTCCAAACACAGATCTAATGAGACCGTACACCGCAGAAATTGCACCCACGTATTAGAATATTGATAGGTGGTCACTGACTTAAAGATCCGAAAGAGGTCAGGCCTTCTACTATAAGAAGCACGAGTAGAGGTGTTCTTCCTGTCTTTTGTTCTTCCCAACTCTCATCTCCTTTCATCCTATAGATAGAGTAGATATCGATGATGACCACCTCAATCACACCAAACGACCACTTCCCATTCAACGGAGCAGCCGGGGATCTGGTGTCAAACCCAGGTACAAACCCTACAAGTTTATCTCCCTTCGCCGAAACCGTTAGAATTCTTAGAAAGAAGAGAAACCGATCCTTCCACCTTGCGCTTTTGAAACGGAATACAGATTACAATGCAACGAAGAAGGAATCTATGCTTGGGCGTTTCCAGAATCTAGATTTCCATCACAATGCAGTCCATGCTGTCAGTCGTCTATAATCTTTCTAAACAGATGAGGGCTAACTAAATGGGTTGTGTTAATAGCAAAGCAAGGAGATTGCACTCGTTGCGAACTATGGCTTGACTGACAAGCAACAGCGAGACCTATATGATGGCCTTGGCTACACCGGCCTTCATCGGTTCCTAGAAGAGCCAGACAACGCGATTTTTAGCTTATCCCCAGTTGGATCCAACGCCGAAAGTCCGATCAATCCCTCCGAGCCAGAAGCCGTTGAAGTGGCTCCACAAACCTCCTCCAGGTTTGAGGTGGGGGTCGAAAATGTCTGCGTGGCCACTCGAAAGCTGAGCAAGGGTGCAAGCTTCGTTGTGGTTGGGAAAATACTCGAGTTCTAGCTAGTTTCCTGATTCCCGGCAGGTCCACCAACCTCTACCAACCTCTTTCTAAGTCTTCGTGGTAACGCTGGTTGGGCCCACAATTATCCTTTTTTAGACCTTTCCGGACACTCCTTGCTTCTATTCGTTAGAGTTATAAGTTATTATGAGTTCCATCTTTCGAGGTCATCATGGAAAAATGTGATGTATGTAATTGATTGAAGTTGAGACAAGCAATCTTAGAGCCTCCTGTCCCTCGTGTGCCACTAATCGATGAAGGTCTATATCGATGCGGATAACTGTAGATATACGTACCTCTCCGCAGTGATTACCATGGGACGGTTAGCGTTCGGCAAATTAATTAACGTGAGCCCGGGGCTTGGATAGGCGGATGCCATGACGAAATGCGCCATGCCTCGGGTGAATTAGGGCGGCTTGCGAAGTGAGCTACACGATGATTTACGAACCCTGAAGGTTGTGGCAACTTCTCAAGGCTGACGAGGCGCTATTTTTTGAGGCTGTCTACATGTGATTGTGCGCTATGCATGTAGTGCCAAGGCATTATAATTGACGCTGGAATCTCCCGAGTGAGGCTGTGCTGCGTGAATGTGATATATCAATTTATGAATATCGATGTAGATGTAATTATATAAGTTGTTTGATGATGTCAGTCTTGCCATCACCTAGATCTTCCTATTCTACTGCCCCCCGTCAGCGCCATAAAGCTCGCGCCGGATCAATGACCAACTTTAAATGAGGAGTTGCAACGAGTGATATTCTATGATTAACCTACATATGTACGCCTCCTGGTTGGTACACACCCAGCGAGCGCGTGTAGCCTTCCGACCAAGGCATATGAGAAAATATGCTGTGTGATGACATCACGTTTCAGTCTTTCCAAGTATCAGGCTGAGGAGACCGGCCTCGAGCTCGCGTACTTATTCGGTATTCAGTGCCAATCGCATGTATACTATATTAGCTCCTATAAGAGTTCTCCATGTATAAGCGATCCAGATAGTGTAGAAACACTGTTTCCCAACTAGCTGGGGGTAGGTTTCGAAACTTGCCGACACCTCCGGCCCGGACACCACGCACTGATCTAATAAACTATGCCTTGAACGGTCAGTCCAAATCTCAATGTGTTATCCCTTCGGTCGTAATAAAGTTCCTACAACAACGGTGGGAATTCGAAATACCGCAGTAATTCTTCTCAGCGGACGGTTACATAGACGTCTAAGTTGCCTTTTACAGCGCGTATGAGGCAGGATTATGAGCGCGTTTTCAAGATAAATGACCAGAACAAGTAATTTCAACGTCAATGTGAGTGTCCGCTGAGACGAATTACTGCGGTATCTCAAGAGTCACGGACGCTATGCTTATTGCAGATGGCTCAAAAGAAAAGGGGCCTCCCCCGAACGTCCCTGTGCAGTAGAATCTTTGTTGGAAGAGCTTGGCGCACCTCTAGGTGAAAAAACCGGAAGAAAATACTAGTCCAAAAGGACCACAATATCGGCTGTTACGACCCAGGGGATCCGATATTTAGTGTGGCGCTATCATTACCATCACCATAATAGTAGACAAATATTTACTTTTTTTTTTTGGGGGGGGGGTTATCATTTACACATTACACGAGGGATAAACATGAGGTTAACGTTGTGGCGCAGGTGAGGCGTTCGTGGAACCATGTCAAGGCCTCGGGTCAAACCAGGTCACAAGAAGAAACTGTGTCCCAACTAGCTAGTCCTGTAACCTATAGTCTCGTCTCTTCTGTTCTCCTAATCATCATCTACATCATCTTCATGGACAATTCGAGCTTGTTTCTGTCATCAGAGCCTGAGCCCGATATCGTCCGTGAATCAAGTAGGTTCTAACAAAATCTATTTAACTCCTGATTCGCTCCAAAACGTGTTGTATGGAAAAGAATATATATATAATATACAGTGAGGCTTGTTAAGTTATTGAATACTCTACACTGGCCTATAGCTACTTAGCTAATACTATGGTGCGAACACTCTTAAAGGTGATACAGTGGTATTTGGAAGTGGAACAGTGGTGGCTGCAAGATGGCTCCAGCCCAATGAGAGGGCCACTTTGCTGCAATTCGCTTCCGAGGGGGGGTATAAATGGGTATAATACTGTTCCACTGTACTCAGTCTTGGCGCTTTTTACATACAAAAACAGCCGATCCAAAGCCCCAGTAACTCCACAACTAGGAAAGATATCAAAAATCTGTACAATGAAAGTAAATTTCATCAGTCCTACTACACTTTCATTGTATATACCGATTTCTTTTATGTTTGTTGGTTGTGAAGTTATTCGCGATTGACGTTTTGTCACTTTTGGTTACCTTTAAGACGGTGGGCACCATAGTACTAGCATTTTAAACACCAGCTATTTGTTTGCAAGGATCCCAGAAACATACCTCAGCGAAGCCTCTAGATACACATCCAAAGGGTCTACTAGTCCAAGGGCAATGACCAAAGTTCTTTTGATCTTTATTTCATCCATATCGTTTCTCTATTAGTTAAATTGATTTCTTCTATCCCTTACCAGTCTCCGATATTGATTTGGGGGGGGGGCAAGATCAATGACTACTACAATTAATTGATGAAGGATTAAAGGTTGCTAGAAACCCTTCTCGTAGCACCACCGATTCATTGTCTCTCACGAGTACCGTGCGCCATATATAAAGTCCGTTTCCAAATATTAGAAACCATTGATAACTGGCCGAGCTAGCGCGCTCAGTCGAGTTATCACGGGTTCTCCCGCAGTACATGGAGGTAAAGCGTGGGGGGGCCTGGCAATACCTATTACTTCCAGGAAACACTACAGGGCTAGGGTTATTCGTCTTCGCAAATTGCGAAATCTCTGTTCCGTCTGGAAGCCACTCAAGTCATGGTTGCGACGCCCCGGATCATGGTCCTGGACACGATTGGGATTTGGCGACTGTTTGGATACACCGTTCGCTGAGCTCGGGAATCATGATTTAGCAAATTCTACTTTTTCTCTGTTTACTTCAAATTACAATCTGCAACTGCATTGCAACAAGCATGCCCCACCAAAACCCACACTATAACCATCCCTAAAACGCCATCCAAGGTGACTGTTTGGATACCTAAACCGTAATTTGGCCAAATTCCGACTTGCGCCACCCAAAATACAATTGGTGGGGGTGGGGATTGCGGTTGCGACGCTGCCATTCCTCCAGACAGAACCTTAACACTCAACATGCACGCGTGCCAGAGACGCGGTTCTTTATTCCTGCCCCCAGTATATATGCATCTTACTTCCCCACCACTCCAAGACTACATATACTTAAGTAACTCTATTCATAGGAAAAATCGTGTAGAAATTAAATAGCTTAAATATATGTCTATCATTAGGACTTAAATTTTCATAACTTTATTAACTATCACCAGAGATATTCCAAAACTCGACTTACCCCATAGACCGTACTCAAACAAAACTACAAAGCAAAATGTGTGGAAATTGCTCCTTATATACATGTAATTATGAATAAATGTACATATTAGATAAAATGGGTTATTCGTATCGCGATCCCCAAATCGCGTTACGTTCAACTAATTTTAAATTGGCCTGACACATGTACCTGTAGCTTTGAAGAAAACAAACGTCACACACACCTCAAAATGACTTTAACGTTCCATATATGGATCACCAAGCCTTGAGATAAGAACCCCCACTGTTCTAGGTTTACGGGAGACGAAATTCCTTTTTAGTGATTACCCTTGCATGATTGCTGCTTTACATGTATGTACAACTACAGGCTGTGAAGCGGTACATGATGTATGTACATATAATTTATGAAAACCGCTAAATTTTGTACCCCAACACCTACATGTAATTAATACAGAACTAACACCGCGGGTTTTGAGTATGCCCGGCCTCCTTTTGATATTGAGCGGGCAGAATACCCAATCCACATCAATTTAGCTTAAATCAAAATTGAGATACTTGATATTAACTGCTGAGTGAGAAATAGATCCTTTCAAGCGGGAAAACTTGCTATCACACCACTAAACGCGTAAAAGTTCGTATATATGTGGGGATTCTCGCAATTAAAATCAGGCTATAGTACCGTCTCCTGCCGCCTTTGGCGGTTAAAATCAAAAGAACCTTCGCCCGCCAGCCAAAGGTTTAATGATTCAAAGATAAAGCATCGTTCTTTTGGTTCTGGTAAATTCCATCGGCATGCCACACCTGCGTAGATTTAATCCAGTTAAATCAATTGCTAGGGTTTGAAACACAACTGCGCACATGAACTTAATTAAATGGGGGTACGGCATAAAAACCACCTCAAGAATCATGATACTCCAAATGTAATAAAAAGCGACCAACTCCAGCTATCTTTTCAACATTCTTTACAAGTTATGATCGTTCAGAGCTTTGGATCGCTACCGGGATATATACAACTGGCTAGCAGGCAAGTAGCAGTCCCGTCACGTGTTGCCAAGAGCACAGTACGTACAGAATTAAAGGCGGCCACAAAATTACAGGCCTCGACCTGAACCTCATGTTGGTTAGGTGCGGGGAGACGACTACCTACGATTAAGGCTCGCGAATGTCTCAATTATACAACTTCGCTCTAACAAGAACGTTTTGCTCCTCCGCGTTCTATAACCTGTAATATCGTTCGGAACGATTTTCGTATTGGCAGGCCTGTGAAATTACCATATAATTTATTCACTCGTAAGGTATCGATATCTACACAGACAATCTATTTTATTGAATATCCAAGCTAACCGTAGATCTAGAAATTATTAAAATTATAAGCAGTAACAGACAAACGAGGCATCTGTCTGAAGTATAAACGAGCCAGAAATGGATACCAGATCTCAGGATCATCGTCCCATGGGAATGATGTATCGGTCAACTTCATAACTCTTGGGGTGTGGGAGAAATTGTATGAAGTCCTTAAATCATGTTTTTGTGTCCTAAAACATTGATTATCATCATCTATGCCCGATGACAGAGGGACAAAAGATACGACTTGTTACTCTCACAGAGCTTTCCTAAGTTCTCACCAGAAAATGTCCTGCGCTATAAACATTAAACATTGATAGTGTAGTATTCCAACCGAGTCTCATCAACACATAACAGCACTGCAGAGCAACGCTTTGAACAAGATTACTAGCCACAATGGAAGACCTGTTACATGAACTAGGTAAGAAGACTTGCATCGTTTATTCCTATATTATATCATTGTCAACACCACTGGTTCTGAGGTATTATTCATGTCATAGGTCCAAAATTGGGAGCACAGAATTTTGTATAGACGATAACGTTCCTAGATGAAGCCTTTACTAATACATCCTTCTAATATATATGGATACCCAATAATCCTAAATTACATCAAACACCTACCCGCCGCGGATACATGAACTTAAGGGGAAGCGATGACAGAATATAATAAGCTTACATCGGAACTGGACTCCATCTAAATAACTCCTGTGGAGATACCTCGGACAGGCTACTCGATCAAGTAGTTGAACGCGTAGATAACGATTGTATACGCGGTTAGAACGTCTAAAGAGGTACAGAACATACGAGATTACGGCCGCCGAGTTTCACATCAAACTTGAAACGTTGTATACACGAATTAAGAGACTTAAGTTTTGAACCACGAGCGTGGCGAATATTTTGAGGTACTTCTCCCGCCACGAGTGTAAGGAGGTAGGAAACGTTTCAAAATTACGCACAAATCACTCCTAACACCATCGAGCGAGAAGAGAATGGGCAACAGAACAAAATGCACTCCTGAGTGTTAAGCGTCAGCCTTAGAGCTAAAATCTGGGCAATGATACGTACACACCTTCTAGGACAATCCCTTCAACAAGGGAAAGTTTATGAAGGGGCACGGTCCTAGCTCTCCGCTGGGATACGAAGTATCTTTTATGATGCCTTTATAGCATTGGCTTCCTCCTACCTTTCTCGTGTGATTTCTTTGACCACTACACCGAGATACTTGCGACTTTGATAATCACTAATACGATCTGAAATCTTTGGAGTATAATTGATTGTGCAGGATGAGCCAACCTTGTATTCAAGGGGAAATTCTTCGATGGGCTCAGCTTATCCCACATACTAGTTTGTTGTCTTCTACTCTGCCTATTCACGTCGTACATCTTCGAATGGAACAACGTGTTTCTGTTGAATCATGCTAATGATAGTGCAAACATGAAACCAGCCTCTTCCTTGGGGCGGTTTTGAGTTTTTGGGTTTTAATTTGGTTGTTCAGGGCGAGCCAAGGTTTTTGATTGGTTCATTCAATCATGATTATTAGCTGACAAACCAGCAGCGTAATATATCGCCAAGGCCTCCGACCGGAGACGTCAGATACTTCTTATAATCCAAAGGACCTGTTCTCACTGGTATTTAGCTTAGATGGTATTCTTTAGCACCTGAGTTCACGACCTAAGAACCGAAAGTGTCTTTTCTACCCCTATCCTGCCGCACGCCAAGCCGATCACAACCTCTACCTAACACACCTGACACGTACACACGAAAATATGATATCTGTCTAATTTGATCAATACTTAACAAACCCCCTCACCACCTTATCTACAAAGGCTTCCATCATGTACTCAGTGTTCTCTTTTTATTGACGAGCAAACACTACCATCTAACTTTTGCATAGGTCCTGAAGTCTACTAGTAGATGTGCTGGCTTAAATTTTGAATATTTTCGAACACCCTATGGTCGGAGTCAACGATCAGGCTGCCGACCGAGATTTATTACGTACAAATATGAGATGCGGGGTGTTTCTCTATAACCCTATAACCATGGAGCTAGTTGCAGCGGCTGTTATATTAGTAAACAGAACTCACAGCCGTCAGCCTTGTTTCCAACCTTCGCACAATTGCACCTGGCGCGTCACACCCTATCTCTTTCCAAGACATCGAAGGACCATAGTGATAGGACTCGGCGCGTTGGAAAGCTAGGTTTACCCACCACGTCTCAAGGATCCAACATAACAGGGATGCAGGATATGCAGTCAGCTTCAAAAGTGTGAGCTATCGCCTCGCACAAATCCCTTACAGTCGTCCCTCTGGAAAACTCAAACAATTACAGCAATCGTAGGGGAGTTTCTTTTTCCACATGATCACGGTACGGCAATAGCCACATCTTTTTATCCAACAACCCACCAGCTCGCTGGAGTAATAAACCTCCTGTTTGGTAGCATCATCTTTTGCATGCGTTACAGTGGTGCTCCCAAAGGATCTCAGAGATATATCGTTCCTTGGCATGTTACTGTGCATCAACCCCATTGCGTATGGGAGTTGTTAGCATAGGACACAAACCGCCAAACAGGGTCAATACAACGACTAGAGGGATTTCACCTGTTACTTTCACCAAAGACAATAGAGGTCTCGAGCCGAACTGCTCTCTAGCAAGGGTAAAAGGATCGACAATTAAAAATCACCAAGTGCGTCAAATCCTACTCAACATCGTCCGAATGATCGTTCAGAACTGATAGAACACCTGCTAGATGATATTTTGTAAGTGAGACGCGAAAAGAAGTATCTCTCTCCTTAGGTAGGTCTAACAGTCGATATTCTTTTCTTTATAGTTTTCCAGAATTTGAACCAAGCACGAGGCAGAGATAAACATTAACTAATTAAAGAAACGACTAGACTGAATGAAGATGAACCACAGGTTTGCCTGTTACCTCTTCGCAGAATAACTGGATGTTTGCAACGAAAACTCACCACGTAGTCCCACTCTCAGGAAAAGTTTGGTTCGATAGACGTCAAAAAAGGTCCTTTTCCAGCACTTTTAAACATAACTTTACCATTTTTCTGACGGTGTGCAGACATCAACTCTCGCCGAGTCTGTATTCTCTCACATTAAAAATCCCTTCACCTGAAAGGAGTTTCTCACAGTCATCTGCACAGTCCAAACGAATTTTGGCTGGGAACCGGACTTTCGCATAACGATAGACTGGCCGCGCGCGGAATAACCCGAAGAGTCGGACCTAAGTGTTCTACCATCGCGACGTCCAGTCAGGATGGGATCAACTTCTGCAGAATGCACAAACAATTTTCTGGTCATCCTTACCTGCACGGCGCCACCAAACAATCCCTGAGCATTATGAACCTGAGTTGATCAATTGGGGACGTTTTTCTGTGGAAAGGGTTGATACCGCACCGTATTTTGAGGGTAGGAATTTACCCGGACGGTTCCAATTCGCTTGGTCACGTGACACTAAATTCACGCTAATGCAGGGGGTAACCTCAGCACCTACACGAGCTGGTGTAAGACTTTCAGAGCCTCATCATCCTACGAGGCTAGCAAAAGCAAAGTTAAAAGGACACGTATGTGACATCTCACTCGAGCCTCATTCCATATTCCTCGATAACCCCCAAGGTGAGAATTCTGAAGGAAGTTGGTAAACCTTTGACTTTTGCTTCTACTTTATAAAAAGTTAATAACCCAGAAAGGCCAAGGTGGTAGTCTGATATTATGGCCTATAGCGATTTAATTACTGCCTTGCATCTGCCTTAGTTAGGTTAGCTTTATATACGGCCGGAAACTACCTCTAAATCCACGAGTACCAGGCCACTTATTAATGATGCAGGTCAAAATAAAATAAGAGCAGGCAAGTGATATCATGGACCGCATATAAACAAAATGTAGCCAGGTCAAGTATTGCGCTGATCTCCAAAAAACTAGACGCACTGCAAATCTCTTCAATAAAAATGGGCATAAGCTATGACCTGACGAAGGGATTCGCTGAACACGTTTACTACAGAACGTCGTTGATCGGAGTAGATAACCCAGAACCTTAATTCACATTTCAGTATTCAACTCTACCCCTACTCTGGAGAAGGTTTTAATGTCACTTGCATTTAGGATGATTGAGCTTGAAAAGGGGCCTAATATCAAATCTCTGAAAACTTATTAGACCCAGCCCTAGCTTCAACCTATCTACACGCGGTATTGGAGGAATGAAATATTGATTCCATTTATCGAGGTGAAAGCGTTGGCGGTTAAGGCGATTGATGGATGTATGCATGTATCAATCTACTTTTCTTTGTCTTGTTGATACTTCAATAGGATTGGAGCCAAAACCACAATTACATACATGTAGATAAATAACTATATACATGTAGATCAATACAGCTCTTTAAAATACTTCACTTTGGTTCCTTAAGCTGTGCTTAGCGGATTCTATCATCCACTACATCTATGTAGGATTTAATTCTTTGTGCTCGTTAACCACTGTGATTTTCTAATACATAATAGATACATTGAAATATATCTAATGATACCCTCTGTGTATATTTTTGTGCCCATGATAGTCTGATTCTTGCTTACTAATACTATGAAGGGTTAACCCCAACTGACCTGATCTGCCAGTTCTAAGCTACCCCAGACCTTATTTACCCAGCCGCGAGACTAACGGTTTGCTACCAAGTGGTTTGAACAGACTGGTTTCAAGTAATACATGTAGTAATGGTCGGCTTGACAACATACTTGCAGCTATGATCAGTAGCCAGGAAACACTTTGAAACAATCAAACCCTACCAATATATTGACCGGTGGCGAACCAATCATCAGTGTATACATAGCTAGGCTATATCTGGACCCTACGGACTTGGATACAACTCGTAAGAATACATGTATGCTACATACCACAAATGAATACTGTGAACTCATGTATCCATTACAATTGACCGCACAGACCCTTCGCCCATTAGACATATGTAGTATCCTGCAATGGGACTGCTAATATCAGGTGCTATATCACACGATCAGAGCTGCTTTCTCGTTGACTATATAAAGCTCCTTCGTCCACCAAAACCATTATAAATCTTCTAATCTCTTCCCTAGTCTATCGCTTCCCAGACTAATTCCAAGTTTACAAAATTTCATTACTCCTACTCCTCTTACACATAGCTTCACCCACTATCTCAGCCATCAATATAAAATATGCCTCACCCCAAAAATGCCGACTCCAGCTCGGGAACCGCACCAACTTCTAAGACCAGCATTCCTCAAACTCCTATCGGTAGACTTACGGCTCAGGATTCTAACTCGTTCCACTCCAATCTTTTGAAGCGAAAAAATGTCTACAATATGGAGTCAAAGGCAGCAAAGGGTTTGAAAGGTGCAAAGTCGCACCAAGGATTAGCGTTTCACCGTGAAGCCCTTATAATGGTAAGATTCAACTGCAATTTCACTTCCCGATTTGTCCTGGGAAGGAATACTAAAGAGATCAACACTCTAGCAAAGCAATATGATGGATGCTTTGGAAACGTATCATCTAAACGAAAGGCAGCTGCGCGACATTAACGATGGATATGCACAGATCGGCATCCATCGCTTTCTGAATGAACCCAACAACTCTGTTTTGTCGAGGACCAATCCTCGTTTCTACAACACTGGCTTCGTTGAATCACCGAGTCGTGACGCTACGAATCCAACTTCCCCTCACAGCACTCTATCATCATGGGTAGACGTTCCAAAAACCCCAACTCATGACCAGGATGAAGAGGTCGAGCTCCACTGTACTCATAGTGACTTCTACATCGTGGACGGGAAAGGCCTATAACAAATTCTATGAGGAGGACATACACACTCCTCGCTCCTTTGATTTTCGTTTGTTACATTTCCTATGTCGATTCTCCTTTTCTCTTTGGATTTTTTCCCCCCCCTGTTGTTTAGTGCGATGCATTGCCGGTTCTATGGGTTTTGTTTTCTTTTGTTTTCCTTTATCTATCATTTTTCCTCTTTTCCTATCTTCACACTAGTTTGAATTGCAGGCGAAACCGGGAATTTTTTTTTGTCTCATCTGCGGCATTCATTTTTTTTATCTGAGCATTTATTATCAAGCGAACCCGCCCGGCCTCTCTTAAATTCATGTTTTCTATAAAATACAGACCAACTCAAATGACCCTCTGTGATCATAAAGCTTCCCTTGTGCACGATGTAGGCCGTATTGGTTACCACCTATCAGTCTTTTCTTCTAGTTCCTTAACCCCCAGAATTCACAGAATTTCTCTCCGTTATTCATGATCATTGCTGCGGCGGGAAAGTGATTCATCGCATCAAGTGGTGCTGAACTTTAACTTTCCCCACATGGAGAATAATATGATTAGCATACCCGCCGGAGAATTTCCTGAACCCTTGATGGATGACGATGATTATCATGGGAGCTAGATATAAGGGGCACCTGTTATCAGCAATGGCGCAAGTGATCTACATCCTCTTTCGGTAGCTGCTCTCAAAACGAATCTGGGTGGCGGGAAACTTTTACTTCCCACCTTGTTGGTCGCTACGCAGATATGATTCGTGAGAGGAAAAATTATAAGCGCCGTCGGGGCCGGGACGTGGAGCATTGCCATACATAATGTGTGAATAAGAGCATTCCAGAGCGGCACTTGGCTTTTGAGCCCCATTTATTCACCCACTGAAACTTTCTTCCGCCTTCCCCGGTAGTCTAGAGACTCGATTATTAACTTAAAACTACAGTTCATCCGAATATAACATAAATAAGCAAGCCCCTGTTAATTAAGCCTTGCTACACCCCCACCCAAGTTGAAATCACTGAATTCACTGACACAGAAAATCCTATGATCCTATGAGGAGGCGCACACACACCCCACATCTTACCCCCACACTGCACTGCACCCCTCTTTTTCTCTTTTTCTTCCCTTGTTTTTTTTTTTCTTTTTTTTCTATTTCAGCCACTGATCACATTCCTAGGCCTTCCGTTATCTAGTCATAGAAGCTGGCCGTGCGCAAGGGCTCAAAACACCAAGGTAGGGTAGTAAGGCGTTCATATTGTTAGCTACATTCAGTCTCAATAAGTAATGCAGGTATCAGCTAGTCCAATGTGACATGAGAAGCTCCCCGGCATTCTACTTGGTAGCAGTAACAATAGAACTAATAATTCAAGCAACCCACGGCCACTCGCTCTCTAGCGACGTCAAGAAATCACTCGGAAGGGGAACAGAGCCTCCTTATGGACTCGTATTTTTGAGACATGTCTATTTTTGACGCACGCATCTAGCTGTTTTGGGCGAGAGTACATGAGGCTGAAAGCCTGAGCCCGTGAGGCTGAACACTAAGGTACTGATACTTCAACTCCACTTCAATAACGAGGTCTTAGCTATAAATTAAGCTGTAAATACTTTCTATTGATGCTAGAAATCGCTATTTATAATCTCCCGTTGTTCTTATATCCTTTGATACATAGGAATAAGTCTCTCACGTGATTTTGGGCAGGGTAAACGATAAATTATAAAACAAATCCACGAACGAATCAAAAGGATGTGGAAACAACCCCACCTAAGAAGGGAACGTGAAGTTCGATGTATTTTCCACTGTTCGGGGATAACGCAGAATCAGTGGATAGTGGGCTTCCAGGCTTTCGAGTTTCTGCATCGTTGTGCTTGAGTCACCTGATCCGGCCGGCCGCAAAGCTAGCTAGCTTGCTAGTTGTGATATTATCATAGCTATAGCCTCGAAGCCCTGAAAATCACCTTGGATCTACATATCGATAACAACAGGTACTGTGAGCAAAAAAAATCTAACCCTACATGTCGATCATTCAAGATATACTAACAAAGATTGGCCAAGCCAAATTAGCCCCATACCATGCAGCTTGTGCAGGAATGGTGCGTACAAATGCCCGTACAAATGCCCGTACGCACCGCGCGCGCGTCACCTTCGAATCTAACTGGGATATACCTATATCATGGTCTCGTTCATTGACCTTACGGAAGATGAGTCAAAACAAACCCAGGAAATATGGAGCCGACAGATACGTTTTCACCTATGCAAGAGCTCTACAGTACTACGTTTACCGTCTCGAAGTAATGTGCCTTGTTTAGCGAACTACGTGTGGTCAAAGTAACACTGCTGATCCTACAAAACTTAACCTTGTGGGAATGCCCGACATATATGCACAATGCACAAGGCTACAAGAGTTAGTCTTAAGGCTGAGACAGGGGCTGTGATAGCCTTCGGGTCCTACTAATATGCTTCGCCGATCGAAAAACGCTTCTCACTTACTTCTCTCTCGAGTTCTCTAAGGCCGGCAGTACCAACCTCTTAAAGTGATCTGAAGGGTCCTGGTGGAAATCAACTGACAGTGTGGGCTATGATCCGCAGCCTATCTATAATCAACGTGGTGCACAAAGCACGATTGAGGAGGATAGAGCTGTAAACCACGAGGAGTAAATTTAAAGATCACATCAGTCGACAACGTGGGGATCGGTCGGCCTGAAGGAAAAATCAAGACCATTACGCAGTAATAAGGCTTTCTAGGATGATCAGGTCCATGAAGGCCTCAGAGGGAGCATTAGAAAGCTCCAAAGACCACCGCCTAAGATGATCTAATGATCCTTGTTGAAGAGTTGTGGACTTCAGTGCCCAGGACTTCCTTTAGCTTAATCCCCCCTTACTGAAACTACATGTACGTAACACAAGACTAAAGATGGCGCCGGATATATGGATAACATCATTATCCTTCACTTACGGGTCAATCGCGCACGGGAGCTCCTCCTTCTTTGAAGTGCCTAGCAAATCCAACCCAGTCCAGTGCCCCCTCAGATGATAGGAGAGGAGATCAATACTCCGAATCAGTAGGATAGCCATTGAGTGCCTCTTTATTGATATTACATGCCTTATCGTGCGCTTTGATGCTTCATACATTAATATCAAGCTAGATCATAGACAGGATAAGAACAGGGGGTTTATTGGCAGCGGGGAGGTTCCGCGGGAGAGAAAGAGAGGACAGATGTTACCAGTGCCGAGTATGTGATCTTATGGGGTAATGCACGCCGGGTTGACACGGACAGCATAGAATTTACCTAGGTGTATATATAACTAGTCAATACATACATATGTTCCTTCCTGATGAGGTTAAAACTGTTCGTCTCTCGAGGAAGGGGCAGTGGACCACGCCGACAGACACCGACAGGCTGCCGACAGCCAGGAGAAGTGGTCGGAGATGGTAACTTCCTAGATTACTCCGGCTCCCGTGTAGTTATGCAGGCCAAGGGGTGTGGTCCCATGGATATATGTTTTAGGTGTCTAGATCCGCCCGGACCGCCCCTCCCGGGGTGCACACGAGAGAGCCTGTTCCAGCCCCGAATAACCCTTTCATGTGTATATAATTGCATGTGATTAACGTTTTTGGGTACGGGAAGGTGGACCTATATCGGTGAAACCTGTGAGACTTGGTGGCTTATTTCACGACAGCACAAGAACTGACTCTATATATACCCATAAGATATACATATAGTAATCATAACCTACGGTCACTTATCTTAATAGTGATGAGCACTGTTGTGGCAACGTATATGATCTCCTAAAATGGAAAGCTATATATAATCAGTAAATGGATCGCGAGTAAAATTCCTATGTTTGAAGTCGAACCCAGTACATATATGCAGATGCTGTGAATATGACTAGTTACCTCGAACCCTTGAGTCACTATTCTTTGTGATTGTGTATACCGGGGGTTATGTAGTCCGATTCGCAAACTATTGAGGCCAGTCACTTGAAACAGAATGAAGTGAAACCGGGCCTTGCAGGTATGGAAGTGGCTTGATGTAAAGCCCAACGCTTTACTACGAACCCAAATGCCATACAGTAATTTTCGGGCCAATAGAAACGAAGACGATCGTCCAGGAGAATGAGTGCCAGCCAGTGAAAATTAAACCTACGTGGCTCGTGCGGTTTATATTCTCATTGGCTTGTATTATAAGTCCACACTTGCCATGCCAGTGAAACTGGTTCGCCATTAATTGACACGCAAAGGACCACACAAACACTATTCTGGGGCTCATATTTACCGTTGATATATACTGCTAATATGAAATGGCTTTTCCTTGGATACGAACGTCATTGGATAGTTATTTCGAAGGATCTACAGACGTTAGTTGGTTAAGACCTCTTGGGACGAGAATGTCAGTGAATCATGGACACTTCAATCAAGGCAAGGAAGTACAAGTCACTTACTAGAATACGTGGAGTTAGATGAACGGTACCTTTGAATTTCTTGACCAGTTTTACCATGCTCTGGTTCCTCGAAATCCATCAGGCGCTGTTGATCGAACACGGTCAACACGAGTTCAAGATCAGCGACTTAGTATGACGGTTCATGTTATTGGTTGAAGTGATTCATATCATATCTAAGACTGATATTTATGTTGATCATTACGTCAAAAGATATCAAGTGATTGGCTACAAGGTGAAATCATAAGATATCACTCGTAGCTATGCCTTTATCGCCATCAAATATTTTAAGTGAAATAAGATTTCACCGTGGTAACGAAGCGCAGCATCAGTTGGGTGTGCGCAGTCAAGAGTTTCTAGAGTAATGGGGATTTAAAGGTACCCTTAGTATCCAACACTCTCGATCGTAAACATTTTGCTGTTTGTCCTGATGTTGCCTGATTTTAGTCTAGTCACTAAGATAGCAGGCGATAATCTAGCTACATATGGCAATCCTTTCTAGCTAAGCTTTTGTGCCGTCATGATGTGACCGGCCGCGTCTTTTGTGGTTATGTGGACATCCGCTCCTACTAACCCTTTCCCTGCTCATCATCTCTTTGCGGTTTTCACGCAGTTTTACAACCACTTTCACGACGTTTTTTGTCTCCATACTCTACGAACATCCATCCCCATCACCCAGTAAGTTAGCCCACTGGTAATAAACATAAATTTTGATCATGTCATGACCCCTTACGTACATCACCTCTTGCTTACACCACTCTTTTGTGCCTGTAGCAGCGATACTGCACATAATGCCACCCATGTGGGCTCTGTCGCCTTCGCCCTCTGATTCATCCACTGAGCGCAGTCAAAGCTCCTCCCCCGATCGAATTACTAGTGCAAGCCCAAATGGTAGCCGGCGGATCCTTCCCAGAATCCCGCGAAAGGTTGGAGCAATAATCCGCGACAACGAACGAAAACACACGATGGATATTGAGATGGAGATTTCTCAGAACATTCCCGCCGAGGCCGCCAATGGCTCTACGAAGCGTCGCCGGAGCACCTCTATTGATACAGTTATCCTTAGCTCGAAAATAAAAACCAGCGATCAAGAGGCCATGCCACACCACGCGAACAATAATGAGCGTTTCCCACCTAGCCCACACAAAGCCCGCAAAAAAAAAAATATCCCCAGTGGAGCCAGAAAGCCGAATCCCTATTATAATTCAAACAAGGCCAGCTTTGGTAAGCTTAAGAACAGCTCGGCCGATGGAGGGTTTTCTTACGGAGACCAGTTGGGGCCCAAGACCTCCGAATTCTTCTCGGGACCAGTGGATCCCTCAAAATTCAAAACCGGCCATGTATCTGGGCTGCTGGGTATAAAAGCCAAACCTACTTTCAACCCAATGCTATACCATGCTTCACTGCAGCAATGTGATTCTTCAAAGGTTACCGCAAAGAATCTCACCCCTTCGTGGTTCCACTACCCCTCCGTGTCATCGAATCTAGAAAATAGTCCGCGCTTCCAATCTTCTAGTATCTACTACTCCTCAAGGGAGGAATATGAGACTGTCAATCGCATCGACAAAGCGGGATTTAATCACAGGGTTCTGACTCAGCGCAAAGGTTCTGCTGCTTCCCTTACAACGGAGGAGGGCTATTCGACCGACAGAGGTATTGAAGATGAGGATCAGAAACTTGGGCGTGGTGGCAAGTCCTACGAGAAAAATGAGATGGATACTGAGCCTGCAAAGCAGAAAGAGTTGGATCAGCAGAAAGAGGCTCGCGCCAGAGCCTGGGTCGAGAGTAACTGTGATGACGACCTTGGAGATGAGGATAATTATAATACAAGGTGTAGTGGGAAGTTAGGGAAGGTAATCGCGGACTTGCAGAATGCTGTAAGACTGCGCGCCGAGGCGGCAAATCAGGAGCTGGAGCATCAGTCAAGTAATTGATTAGTGAGGGACTGTTTGGACGAGAAACCCCACCAGGGTTAACTCGAAATGCGGCGGTCTTCCCTCTTTTTCTCATCCATTATTCTTTCTTTATCATTTTTTCGTTTCCTACCTTTTTCTTCTTATTTTTTGTAGCGATTTCTATGTCTCCCCCACTCTCGGATCACCCCCGGGGAAACATGGTATGTGCTACGCCCCTTGTAGGGATTGGAGTAGCCCTTGTATCAAGCTCCCAGGCAGCATTTGTTTTTGGTGTTGCCCAGTTTAGTAGATATAAAATGCTCTATGCGTACGTTTGCACTTCCCAGTGTTCCTAAGTACTACTTTACATTGGATCGTTTTAGAAGTAACATGTATACGGAGGATGTGGAGATGCTGAGTCCAATAAATTTCAACTTACTACCGATAACATACACGGATCAAGAGTATATGCAGTTAACGTTCAGGGTATGGTAAAATATAAAATAATCTACGGAAAAGGCCTAAAATGACACAGTTTTCGATATACGTGCTCCGAGATAACACATGATGCAAAAAGACACAGTTTGCTGTCACCACAAGTAAAAAAAGAGAAGAAAAAAAAGAACAAAGTATTCTATAAAACTACAAAAGGTACAAAACTACAAAAGGTACTGCACCGACTTATTGAGACATTTGCGACTGCTACCCCCACCCCTGGTTTGAACCCAGGACCTTATGTGTGATTGGTTGTATCCTGGGTACTCTCGGTGTTAACGGGCGGTCTATCCACTAGACCGCCCGCCCATAGTGAATGCTGTGCCCGAGGTGATACTTGAGCTAGCTTGGCAGTGTTCCAAGATGAAGATCGAACTTGAACCCGACCTCTCGATATTATCATTGCTCAGCCAATACGTATACTAATTGATGTATTCGTTTTGGAATATACCGGACTGTGTCATCTTGCATTCATGTGTGATTGTAGAGCACGTCTACCGAAAACTGTGTCATCCTAGGCCTCTTCCGAATAATCTAACTCCGTAAACGACCCTAACCCTGGTTTTAGAGATCTGGGTGAAACCATAATACATATTAACTACATGCACATACATCCCGAAATGAAATGTTATTCGGGGAAGCACTGTAAGGTGCCCATAGCCCAAACAGGAAGGGGGAAAGTGTATGGGAAAACCTGGTTGTGTCCAGAGGGACCACAATCTCTCTTCTTGCCGCTTTCCCAAGAGTACATGTGATCATGGTACCCCTGTTAGATTGGGAACTACATGTATCTTTATTCATAGCTGGCACATGTCCTTCTAGACACTCTACTCAGCATCGACTCCTCGTTCAAGTCATGGATTTTCCTCTCAGTGCGGACTGTGTATCCGGAGGTGTTGAGTCTGAGGAAATCATTACTGAACTAACGCCCCTCGATGATCTTGCTAGAGGAAGAACGAGACAAGGACGTCCGCCAGTTGCCCTAAACTTGAAACCACAGGGTTTCCTCTACCCAGTTGGCCATTCACCTCTCGAACTTCTCTTTGCACACAGTCCAATTCTTACTACTCTTATTGAAACACTCACGACGCCAGCCCTGCTCTGTTTGTGTTGTACGTCTCGCACTACACGCTTTTATCTTCACCACCAAAAGAGATTCTTCCTGAATTTATTTTTGGTTTCAGATCAAGAGGGTGAAAGATGGACGGTCCTGAAAGGAAGAAAGGATGCCCTTAAGGTCTTCGATGAAGGCTTCCCTTGGGAGGTTGCGGTAGATGATTTTGCAGAGCTGAGACGGGTGAGGATTACGCGGAACGAACGGAAATTACTTCTGGCCGTGTTCTTACATCCTTTTATCAAAGATTCGCCGAGGTTAAATCGATTATTCATTGGTACAGATATTGGGACAGCCCAGGTGCAAATGTTAAAGAGAAAAAGAATCAATCCAAAATACATCCCTAGTTTTATGTCGAGACATCTTTATTGGACACTTCAAAGCATACCAGTAGGACGGGGCCTGACAACATTAGTTCTTGATGGAACTGGTGTTGAGACTGAATATACGAAGTCCCTGCTTCCGCAGCTAGAATGTACACTCCGGGGTCTATCTGTCAAAAACTGCAAAAACCTCGAATGTTACATGTGGTCTGAATGGCTTCTGGAAGCTACCGATAAATCCCGCCCACTTGCTCTTCAATGGTTACACGTAAGTCTCCAATCTCATATCAATTTAAAGAATAGGTTTGGTTAATACTTTGCCAGATCTGGGGTTCTGGAAATACACCTACGACTGAGTTTGATTTTATTCGTCACCCCGAGCCTTTAGAGACACTAGAACCACATGAAGATGATCCTCCGTGTGTGGACCTCCAAATTCCTGAAGAATGGGTTCCTAAGGCAAGCCTATTTGCAAACGTTATTCCCTTAAGATTCCATTTACAGAATACCCTAAAGCTCTTACCACCGATGAACTTGGTCAACCATCAGCGTGCTATGAACATAAATCAGATGGTACGAACTATACAAATTCAATATCAAGACTTCAAGCGTAAAAGAAAAGATAATCCCGACGCGCCTTGGTATTCACCAAAGCTGCCATTGGGGGAACCCCATCCTCTCATTGCATTTATGATGGTCGCAAAGTTTCTCTCAATCAAAACGGATATAGCCTTGTGTGCTAGTCGACAGAATTGCTATTCATTTGTTTATGGGCGTCCACATTTGTCGAGTAATAGTACTCATTACGGTGTCCTAAGGAGTGCTCGAGTGTTGGTAGTTGATCAGCAAACAGGGAGAGTGGTTCCTTATAGCCTTCCTGTACCTGAAAGTACCGGCAGCATGCACACGCATTGTGTGGCTGAGATTGGTGCTAGGAGAAATGAGGGTGGGACAGTTTGTCAAAACTGCGGTTTGTGGGAAGATGAACTTAGTCCCGAAACACTTAGGGGTGGAGGAGAAATCAAAGAGTATGGCGGTATACAGCTTGGTCCAGCTATCGGCGTTGGACGACTTGCTGTTGGGTCATGTTGTACGGATTGTGTAAGGGAGATGACATGCGCTGGTTGCAACAGGTACTTTCCCGCCCTCCTTCCTAATGCTATCTCCTTTCAGGCGTCTGCCAACGCACTTATAAGTTAACTTTCATCTTTCTGACTGTTGACCTTAGCTTCTTCTGTCCATCCTGCACATTCAAAATGAATTCGAATCCTCCCACGGCGCCTCTCAACCCCCTTGCTGCCGATCCTCCTGGTCCTAATCACTTGAAATGGACTTGCTCTCAATCAAGACATGGACCATACTGCATCGATTGTGAGGACAGCGAAAAATCTCATTTGACTTGTATCGATTGTCACGGTTCACTTTGCTACGGATGTCACGGCCCATCTGGAACCACAATTTCTTCAAGTCTTTATACTACAGACGGTTGGACTCCTGAGATGGAGAAAGATTGCTTTGGAGTAGTTGGCAGAATCGACGAATGGGAAATTGGTGCATATGTGGGCTGGGGTGGGGTGGATGAACCGGAGCCTGAGCCATCAAACTTACATTCGGTGGATGAATCCACTGGAGTGCCAGACGCAGACGTCCATTCCACACTTCTGGACATCAATAATATTGATAAACAAACCGGCGCTGACCATATTCCCGAGGTTTTCAGGGGAACATATGAACCAATGAGCTCCTATAGTAACATCATGTCCGAGGTTCTTTCCTCCCTCAAAAGCACCTCTCGGAACGTTAGCGGAATCCCTGCTCCTGCTCCTTCCCTTTCAGAACCTCCTAAAGCAACCTCAGACGACTATGGCGACCCCTTCAGGCGCATGTGTGAAACTCGAATCTGGGAACAGTGCGCACGCTGCGGAATCGGTACATGTGCCGGCTGTCTTGGTTACGAGGAAGATCTCTACGAACCCGGAGGCCCTAAATACATTATTCAAGAACCGGAATATCGGAGCTGTTACGCTGGTTGTGGGAAACGGTTTTGTGTCTCCTGCATCAACAGACCTACAAATGGCCCTGGAGAACTGGTGTGTGGCGCTATTTGGACCGTCGAAAAGGATTCTGAGTACCAGGTTGATGAGTTTCTTTACCGGGGCCTTGCCGACGTGCCTGGAGATGCAGCAAACGGCGGTAAAGGCGGTAAAGGGGTGCGATGCGGTGCTGTTTTGTGCGCAGAATGTCAAGATGGCGAGATGCTGATTAGGCCAACTATTGTACAGAGACCGGGGGAGATTGAAGTTGCGGATGAGAAGGAGAGAGACGGGGTTGAGACGGAAAGAAGACGAAATGATAGGAGGGGTGTATGGTTCTGTGCCAGGTGTGAGCTGGGTATTAGGCCGGTTAATATGTAAAAACAGGGCAACGTTATTGAGTTTTCTTCTTTTCTTTTCTTTTTTGTTGATGCCACCTAATTGTATCCTTAGAAAAATATATTCGTTCCGGAAGGCAACCGAGGAGTAAATTTAAAAGTTTTCAGAGATTCCTTTATATGTTAAGGGACAGTCTTCTTATATATGAATCATAATCTTCTCGTTAGTTCTAGCTGTACCTCTTCCTTTGTATGGTATGTATGGTACACACCATACCTACCCAAGCTACTTATGGAAGTTAAATTTACATTTACGATATCCCCTAGAAATTAATCCTTCTAGCTTTTTTAAAAAGCTCATGGCGGCAGCAGGTTAGTAGGTTCGATTCCCTAGAGAATCCAACCCAAACATCTTTTTCTTTTTACCCCCATGTTATTTTTAAAATGGAAAGTAACCAGCGAACCGGACAGAACCAGCTGGAAATATTTTTGTCACTATATTAATAATCTTGAGGTTAAGTCAAAGCGGTCTCGGTCTCGAGAAATCAATACTTAGCTCTATCATTTTACAAATACTCCCGGTTGTGCGCTCTTTGGGATGGAACTCAATACCCGGGGGGGTACAAACCAGCTGTGCCACTGAGAAGAGCTACTAGACTCGCAACTATAGCCCACCCTACCGGGCTATTGTCTCAACATCTTCCTCCCTATGTTATCTACCCAATGCATCGTAGGATTAGCAAATGAGTCTCTCCGCAGCTGCGGATATAATTCCCGGATTTTTCTGGTGTCTCGGGTTGTAATCTTGGTCTACGCTGTTCCATAGACCTTTACCGTTGTATTTCTCCGGTAATCTTTTTTTTTTCTTTTTGCTGAGGGGGTGTTGGATGTGGATATGGAATTTATGCCTAGGGGTTGGTGATGGTCTCCTGTAATTCAGCCTTCGGGAGTGCTGTATGTATAGTAGTGGAGGTATTGATAGAGGGGTGGAAACTGCCGATAGGGTAGGTATTGGTAGAGCATAATATGCACCCCCGCGGGATACACCCAGGACATCACCGCAGTAGTATACCAGCAGAAGTTGATAGTCCCGACATCGCATCCGCCAACTAAAACAACCAAACCAACCCCACCACCACCACCCCATTAAACCCCGTCCGATACGCGTAGGTCACAACTAATCACTCGGCCCCCAAGCCATCATTCACACCCAATCACTCGCTGTGGCTGTGTAGGCCACGTGGCGCGCGCATGCGCCACGGCACATGTAGTTTTGGCCATCCCTGCTGCTTATCGTCGCCAATCGGGTAAATCGAGCGCCATGTGTGTTACTACGGACGAATTCGACACCGCACCGGGCAGACCTGACGCGTTTGCTTGTTGCGTGTGATGTATTTGGGGGAGCAAAAATTACTCCGACGGTGGATTCTGTTGTTGCGTTTATGATAGAACTAGAGTAAAAAAAAAGAGCTCGTTAAGGCTGGGGGGTAGATAGATCTGGGATATAAAGATATTTGAGGTCATGGGTATCTCGTTTCTGAAGTTCCAGAGCTCAAGCCAGCAGACGAACCCTAACCCACACGATCAGCGCTTTTCATATCCATAAACTCTTTTTTTCTTGAAAATCCTCTCTTTAGTTCTCTGAACATTACCGATAAACTCCTAGAAACTTCATCATGGTTAAGTGTGTTCTCCTCGGTGCAACTCGTGGATGTGGTCTTGAGACCCTCCTCAACCTTGTCGATATGGGCCACTCCTGCTACGTCCTCGCACGAAATGAAGCCGCTTTCTCCAAAACCTTAGAAGCCCGCAGTCCCAAAACGGAGCTCATAACTGTTGTCCAGGGCGATGCATTCTCCGAACAAGATGTTGAGCGACTCTTCACCACCGCCGGAGATGGTGTTGGTTTTGTACTTTTCAGTCTAGGTCAGTATCATTATCTATCAAGTTCCCTTGAAATGATAGCTACTAACAGTGTATAAAGGTGGTCGACCAAGCTTCAAAAACCCGCTCTCGCCCAAGCTCGAACCTCCGCAAATCTGCTCCCGCACTATCAACGTCTTCCTCCCAGTCTTTATCCGCGTTTACCCAGACCCGTCCACCCAGCCGCGACTCGTTGTCATCTCCTCCAGCGGTATTGGGCCCAAGGGCCACAGGGAACTCCCGTTTGCGATGAAGCCGATGTATAGTTGGCTTCTCAAGGAGCCGCATGCAGATAAAGAGGATATGGAGCGGCTGGTCAACTCGTATGCGGGGATCCAACATGTCGACTTTAATCCGACCCCAGGGGAGGTTAAGTTGGGAAATGTCGTGATCGTGAGACCGAGCTTTTTGGTCGATGGGCCAGTGAAGGGAAAGGTGAGAGCGGGAGAGAGCCTTGAGGGCGCGTGGACCGTCCAGAGGTCTGATGTGGGGAGATTTATTGCGGTGGAGTGCGGCCCGGGAGTGGATACGTGGAAGAATAAAGGTATCGTGGTATCTAATTGAAAGCTTCGAGGGCCTTGAGAAAGAACCGAGTAATATTCTTGCATATTCTGTTTTGGTTTGTTGATTTAGATTTCGTTTCTGTGGTCGTTTTATGTAGCCATTTCGAGGCTTTCTTCGATAGACTCTGATTTTTTTTTTTTTTTTGTTAGCGAGTTACGATATTCATTCATTTATTAGCTTTCGTTTACAAACCATAAAATAATATTTAAATATCCAGACCGTGTTGGTTCTTCAGCTCTGTTATATAAATAGAAAATCTCGATGCCAATGCCAGCACACTCCCCAAGACTGAAGCTCGGCAAGGGGCAGATATGATTCCCCATTGCGCACGGACCTCTGATAGTAACTGCAATGGAGATAGCCAACTCTGCAACGTCTGCAGCATGCTCGACAAAGAACAACTTCCATTAAATATCATTTTACGACGATAACCACCACGTATTTGTTAACGATTGTGGCGATTTTCGCCTTGTCGTGTGGAGAGCTTCGATAGGCCAGAAGTACATATCCACTGCCGTGAGTCAAGCCACCGTGATCAGCTCGGTTGTACCTGTGGATGGTCGAGGCTAACTCTGCTTCAGATAGGTCGTCAGCTTAAGCCCCGGGCTGAAGTTGATCGAATAGGAGAGGTAACACCGAATTTCGAGATATCTACCATCATGTCGAGAGCGCGGAAACATCGCCGGCGGTTCCCGCTTTTATAGCGGTACAACTTCGGAAACTATCAGAGACCTGTGTTCCGATGAACTCTTTTGTCCGCCTCGCGCCCTTGGCGATGATTTATTCCTTGGGCGGTAAAAGCTCTGGTTGAATTGTGTGTACTGCAGGCTCGCGATCGAGATGTAACTATCGTGAAGCCCTCGTCGAACAAAACGGCTCACCCACTCTTACGTGCAGTGGTATAAGATGATATGAAGCTCAATACGGCGGTGATGGTGACCTAGTAGTCAAAAAAGGTACCGCCTCTTGAGACAGTACAGGACACGGGGTTGTACGAAGCTATTAGCGGATATCATATAGGGAACTCTTCCGGGCGAGGCGGTTACCTGTACTATGTTACATAAAGCTCGATCACTAACAGTCTTATGGAAGGAATATTGGTCTCTTACCCGTTGCCGGTGTCTCGGAGTAGCGTTGTGCACGCGACCTGTAAGAGAGCTTATGTCGATCCGGAATACCCTATAAATGGGGTATATTTGCCTTGTTTGCCTTGTTTGCCTTGAGCATCCTTGACGCATGTCTTGTTTCCCTCCAACAGGGACATATACACCTTCGGGAATGGCACCCGCCCATATGCATGTATAGACGGGACAAAGCAACGTGGTTAGCATGATGATCAAGAAACGTTTGCATATATGAATATAAATAGCTGCATACCGTGCCTCCTGGGAAATGTCCCCTGATCAGTCGGGCTTTCGCCAAGTATGCCACGATATATACCTACCGAAAGGCAGAGAGAGACATCTCCGGCCAGTTACCTCTACTCGCCTCGATCAAGCTTGTGGATCCCGCTACTCTCTTCTTTCATGGCCGTCCTTCCTCTTGGACCACGGGAGAGGCCATTGATGGGCGGGGGTTTATTGTCCCTGGATGGAACTAACAGGTGGTCGAGTATCTTGCCACGTTCTCGCCATTCACCGCAAAGTCCAGTTACACGATGAAACTCACAAATGTATACGCGTGTCCTGACAGAGCTTTCTTCTGGTGTGGCATCTCGCGCTTTCTGGCCTTCAATGGCTACATGTAAGGATAACCTAACAGAGAGGGTGCTTGAGGCTAGAGCCCCCTGAGCAAACGCGAGGCAGCCAGGCCCAGGCAAAGCAGCAAGGTTCGCTCTGCTTGACTGATCACATCCAGGGCAGTGCGCAAAATAAGCTTTTTTCCACCTGCGAAGACGGCCCGTGCTGTCAGTCACTCGCTAGCTAACAACATGTAGGGCTTAGTCCTAACAACGCCCCACCACCACCACCACCACCACCACCACCACCCCCGCCCCCGTCCTCCCTCGCTTCTTCCCGTCTTTCCTCGTTTCTTCCCGCATCAATATCATCAACATTTCTTTCTTTTTTTTTACACTTTTACCAGTTCACGTGGACGTATCCTTACGTTATCTCATAACCTGTAAGCAGAACTTGTCATCAATATAATCATTAGCCCTCCCCCCTTACTAATCAATTCGATATCTACGTGTAGTGTAGATTTTATCCCTACGTATACGCTAGTGATATTATCAAAATAAAAAATGAGAAACTTGTTGATCGGTGAAGGTGGTGGGGGCGATGGGCGGAATGACGCTGCTGTAGACCAGCTGTGAGCTCATCCATCCTAGCACTACATGTAATGAGAACTGTTCCAGATTTGTGTATTAACAACAACAACTACCAAAATTTAATAGTTCCGCGAAAGAGACCGCCAGTGGCAGCGAGTATTCTGAAAATGAATCTGTTAACTTTGATAGCGACGATGACTCCGACCCCGAGTTCGACCTCTCCCTCTTCCGATCCGGCGCCATCAACACCCCCAACGGAATGTTCGTCTTCCCACTCCTCGCCCAGTACAGGATCGGCTATCTCTACACCCTCCTCCTCCTCTTCACCCACCCCCAGTGCCCCACCCACCCCACCACCCACCGCCTCCTCGCCCTTCTCCGCGACGCGATCCTCAAAGCCCCACTCATCCCCACCATCACCTCCGAATTCTACCTCCTCACCACAAACTACGAGACCCTCCTCCTCACCGGCTGGGCCATCATGCGCACGCACCGCGCGCGCGGCGTCTCCGCCGCCTTCAAGCAGCGCTCCCCTTTCTACGTTGTCGCCTCGCGCTACAGAACCACCTTCATCGTCACCAAGGCCAGCTTCGAGTCGCCCATCGCCGTCTGGGCGGAGGGCGTAAAGACGCCGTCGTGGTTCTATCAGCTCCATCATCCGCGCGGGGAGTATTACTACTATATGCCCGGGTTTAACCTCTCGTTCCGCAGGTGGCTTGAGATTATGGTGTTTCGGCCGGCTAGGAGACATGAGTTGTTGAAGGTGGTGAGGAATGCGCAGATGGAGGTGGTGGGGTTGGAGTGGGATATGGGCTGTGTGCCTGGGAGGTGGTTTGTGGGCCGCTTGGGGGTGGCGAATTGTAGGCGTGTGGGTGGTGGTGGTGCGCAGCCGGGGGGTAGATAGATCTAGATCGATAAGGGGAAAGACTGGAGTCCGATAGGACAAAGAATAGATATTAGGATTCTAGTTCTCATTTCGTAGTCTTTTTTTCTTCTTGTTCTTCTTCTTCTCCACCGTGCATGCCCGCCTTCAAAATTAATATAATATAAACGTGACCAATTCGGCCGAAATCCAACCCCGCCTCCTCCCGCCGGGGTTCATCTGGCCTGAAATCACCTCTAGAGCCCTTTCTCCAATGTTCCCACCACCCCAGCGACCGTCGCCCATATCCGCGCACACGATCATTGACATGTCGTCCAGGATATATTGGTGTGGTGGGCACGGACCCCCATTCTTAGCTCCTCCCACGTGCCGCGTATGTCTGAGCACGGTCCCATGGCCTGGGGGCGGGTGCGAAGCGTGGGCGTGAAGTAGGGCCCAGAGGCGAGGGAAATGCGTGCTGCGTAGGTGCGCTGCGTATGTGTCTTTACGGGATGTATGTATGCTTTGCCTGGTGCGGGCGGTTTGGGGGGTTTGGGGATTTTGGTTTTGAGCCAGCTGTATGCATGGTAATTCGGCCGGGAGTTTTTTTTAGTTTTTAGAACGCTAGTACGTACTCGCTCATAAGAGGCGTGATTAAAGATCTGAGCTAAGAGCCACTCGCTAAACACAAGATCCCCCGTTAATTTTCCTCATAGTTACAGATTTACAGCGAGGGCAAAAGTGTATATACTGTCGGCAGTGTACTCTATATGTACCGCAACACTTCATCCTCCCATAATCAATTGCAATCGATTCCCCCTTCTATACATACTCTTTAACCCCCCAACCTAACCAAGTTCCGTGTTTAGGTCTTTACATCCCGGACTCACTTAGATATGCATCGGCCCGAGTCTGCAATCCCCAATGTCCATACACCGCGCATAAAGTCCGCCAGGCGAGAGCGGCATAAAGCGCTGAGAACACCGTATTGTCCCGGCTGTACGCTGTCAGCGGCTTCTCTTTTCACCGGTAGACTCGATTCGATGTAGTCTCTCGATTTCTACTTACTGCTGTTCTGGTAGTTTTCCAGGTGCGGGAAGACGGCGGTAATAGATCAATTCATGATTCTGAAATATATATGCTGCACCGCACGGCGATGCCGGAGCGCCCTTAGTGGCGATTGGAGAGGGTTATATATGTTCCGAGAAGCAGCGCGGGTCTTGTCACAGCCGCTGTGGTCCCTGTTTCTTGGGCTCGAAACTCGTCAGTGTGGATATCTTGCAACTTGCTACAGCGTTCTATAAATATATCACTACTAATAAGATCTAGAAATAGCCGAATCAATTAACCTCGGTTGATACCTTACAAACCCTAAAATTCCTAATATTTGGATAGGGCTTTATCCCTGTCATTGACTTCTCCGTATATATCTCGGTCTAAGTGCCGGACAATTGTCTTTGTTTCCTCTTTGTAGCAACCTAGCTCACTGATGTGCAATTTCTTAGAACGTACCACATTATAACCGGTAGAGGAGAAAATAAATCCCTTTTTACCATTTAGATATCCTCCGTCACGATTGAAGTGAGAGAGAGAGTAAAGTTCGAAGCCATGCAATGACGGGATTATATGTTATTCTTGATTTATTCTCGGCGCCATTAGTGTATTCTTAATACAGTTTTTAATCCATATGTTAATAAAAAGTAAAGATTGCAGATACCTCGAGATTTACCTGTAGCGGATTATTACCGCTGTACACCACAGAGGGCGTTGGGATCTGCATATAAGGCGCTAGGCGCATGTGATAATGCATATAAAAGATAACTTAAAAAGCCACCTTTACCCCTTGGCCCACATGCTTCAAGAAACATTCACACAAGAGAATAAGAGAGAAAAGAAGAAAAAATTCTCTTTTTAACTAACATTAAGTAACCCTAACCCTAGTTCTCGGGGTTAATTATTGGCAAATACTTCCCGGAATAAAGGAATATATATTTGGGGAACAGTCTTGCGGTTGTAAGTGTATCAGACACATTGAGAGGAAAAGAGAACGGGAGAACATGGCCTCATAAACCGGTGGTATGACATGTCAAGGTGAGTTTTTGTTGACCGATCTTGCAATTAGGGCAGGTTTTTAATTTTAAGGAAAAGGTCCAAAATGACACCGTTTTCGATATATGTGCTCTGCAATAGCACATAATACAAGATTACGCGCCGAGAGTACAAAGGCGGCCAGGAAAAGAAGAAAAAGAAAGAACAAAAGGTTCGCTCTCCAAAACTACAAAAGGTACTGCCCCGACTTATTAAGACATTTGCGAATGCTACCCGCACCCCTGGTTTGGACCCAGGACCTTATGTGTGTGTGGTTGTATCCTGGGTACTCTCGGTGTCGACGGGCAGTCTATCCACTAGACCACCGGCCCATAGTTGATTCTGTGCTGGAACTGATATTTAAGCTTGGCTGTGTGCCAAGATGAAGCAGAACCCCTAACCCTTCAATATTCATACCGAAAAGTGTTACCTCAGAGCTTTTCCGTTAATTTTAATTTTTATGGCGGTATTCTTATTTCTGAATCAATATCTAGATATTGTTTTAACCCTAGCGTGGAAGAAGTTGCACGAACGGGAGGGAACACGATACGGTTGTAAACATTAAAATTCGAAGTGTGTGGCAACTCCTTCTAGTTCATCTAAGAATTGTAAATATTTCAATTAAAGAAAACTACGATGATATTATGAGGACCACGACTTTCTTTGTCTTCAGCTCCCTGCTTCGATCGTGCTATTGCATCACGTTACAGTTACAATCTTGTCTTAAATACGCCTCCTAATCTCAGCTTGAAGAGAAAGCTTTGATGTCTTGTGTGACTAGCTGTGTTCCTCACTCATTCGTTCTTTTAAATCTTGCCGAATAGTCGTTCCGGCCCATAGCTGGTCTTCCCTGAAAAGTACCGGTAATGACTAGCTACGAGTCAGGATGTATTCGATATACCCAGATCCAAGAAACTAGCCAATAGATGCCCGAGTACCAGGATATATTCGAAGACCTTAGAGACCCGATGGAGACTAGGTGGTTAGCTCTTTGTAACGCGACTATGCAATGAATAAGCTGGAGCTCTCGGGGCCAGAAAAATCAATGATCCAAGGAATCTTGGTTATAACTTACCTTGATCAAAAGTGGGAACGTGTTTTGAGATGGCTCAGGTGCTCGAAAATGAAACGGAGCGCATATTGATACTCCAGCCATTAGGATATCAAGTATGGGATATCGGCTATGTGGCATTTTGCGTAGTAAGGTCACGATAATCAATAGGTGGCCTCTATAGATCTAGCGGCATCTCATTTAAGACAACATAGCTCTCCACTAGCTTTAGACATAGAAATAAAGAATTTTCATACACAACTTCCCTTCTGACTCGTCTCATCAGCCCATCATTTCACGACATGGAAAACTGGCAATGGATGAAAACCAATCAATTGGTCAATATAAAAAACCGGCGGGTGCGAGTGATGTTTGATGATGGTACTGCAATATTCAATGAAATATCGCATCTCTTTCTAAGATAATTACAATCCCGACATCTTAAAACATTGATTACATATGCATCGAGAGCCTGGGAATATATGCTGCTGATGCTGATGATTTAGATGGCTTAGATCTTTTCTTCATTGTTCCAAGATTTCAAATTCGCGGTATCACGCAGTCAGCTTGCTCCGAGCTGATAGTCCTGTACGTATAGGTCGGAGGATTTGGCCGCCGACTTTCGCTTCACAACCGAGAAAACCTTTCTAAAAATCGCACAGCCATCCTAGGTAATATAATATTGACGAATACATCCGAAGTTAGTGCCGTGCTTGAAACAAAACACCGGAAGACACAATACCGTTGTTCTTCGAGGCCAATTACGGTAATCCACGAATTCATATTATACACATGGTTCGTATAGTTGATGATCTCTCCGCGTTTCAGCTATCTACACTAGAGATTCTGACTGACATGGATACGGTACTGTACATGGATAGTAATCGCTCATGTCCAGCGAGAACCAGTTGATCTCTCACACTTTCAATGCCACGTCTCATCGCGTCTTCTCATATTCGCGTCCGCCTGACGTTATGCTCTACCGTTAGGTTTTACATAAACCTATGGCCAACGCCCACCCCCGCAAATGGTTTGGGGGGGGTAAATGATCGCCGCCATCAGATTCTAACCGCTCCCTGCTGTTTGAAACAATTACAAGGATATCGTCTCCTATGCTGCGTATCCGCCTAATTCTATCCAGAAGTTATACCTATGGTAGTGCTAGCAGACCATAGGGTAACCGCCACGACCACGAATAGCAGTTGAAATATTTTGGTTAGACCTAGACTGAAGATTCGATTCTAACCAAACCGGATGTGCCGGAAGCAACTGTTACTTTCAGCTCATGATTCTAGTCCAAATACAAGCGGTGGGATGGAGTGGGAAGGTATTTTGTCTTACCATGTCATGATTTTGCGTACAACTCATCTCCAAAATGCAACGCAGAGCCTACCAGCTCAATCCTCCGATTTCACAGCGCTCCATAGCTTCCGGAAAAATCGCTTTCCCTTCCACGCAAGGTACACCCCTGAAATTGCCATGTCCAAGCGACGCAGATCACAGCAAGTCACTCGATCGGCTACCAGGCCGGAATGATGTGCATAAATGATGCCGAATGAGGGCCCAGCATCAGCGCTGCTGCGGTTCATACCATCTCGGAGAACGTACGAAGCCTTTCACCATGGCTCCCATGCGGCTGGACAAACACGATGGCTTACGTCTGTTTTAATGTCGAGTTCGCGATGAGATTTCCGATTTCCCGGGACGTTACAGTACGGTTTGGGGCTTATGCACTGCCGCCCTGATGATCACTTTGAGAATGTCTTCATCGACTAGGTAAGCCGATGAAATAAGGTGAGAAGAAGCGATACTCCCCTTCAATGATCATTTAGGGTCTATCCAGACATGTACAGCCATTGCTCTAGGCAATTGTCTAGACAAATACATCATGTAAGGAACCCAA